CTGTTTTCTATCTTGATTTCTTAATGTAAAACATATACTCTTAAGAAACAGTGACCGGCAAAACCGCTTTGAAGCTTTTCCTAGATGGGGGGGGGGGGCGCTTTTTCGAGACTTAAAACGGAAGAATTTACACTAGATTGTTGAGTCGATAAACGTTACCACTATTAAAAGAAACCAATTGTATTAAAACGTATTGTACGATTGTTGAACTGTAAAATACGTTAGTGACTTTTATCAAGATGGTGCAGGGGGGCGCTTTTAGGCTAAATAAAATAGCAAAATTACACAGGATTCTGAGTAAACAACCTTTAGCTCTCAGAAAGAAACGAATTGTACTGTGCATTGTATAATTGTGTAACATTTTTTTTAAAAAAGTTAGTTACGTTAAAAACCGCTCTACAAACTTTGTCCAAGATGGTTGTGATGAGTGTGTGTGGGGGTGGGGGGGGGGGCGCTTTTTTCGCTAACAAAAATCGCAAGTATTTGTACTGGATTGGTGAGTAGATAACTCTCTTAACACTTAGTAAAGAAACCAAGTGTATTAACGCGTAATGTACAATTTCAATAGCCAGTTTTGTTAAAAAAAAAGACGCGACTAGTTCTTTGTAAGATTCTTACGATTCTCTCAACTTCAACGTGAGAGATCAGATACTTTTGATCAGTGTTTCTTCCAGACTTTTTTCTCCGGGGGGGCACTTGAAATCTTCGGGGGGAGGGGGGAGGCGGTAAACTTTCTTCGGGGGGGGGGGCGGACACTGTTAAAAGTATATATTTTCTATATATAAATTATATAAATTTCATTTCGTTCGGGGGGGGGCGTAAAAATTTTTCCGGGGGGGCTTCGACCCCCCGAAAAGATGCCTGGAAGAAACTGTGTGCGAGAAGGCAGGGCAAATCTGCGAAATCCAAGACTACGAGCTGTTAACATCCGTTGGATTCCAGTTTGTTTTCTCTAGCTTGTTTTGTCATACCATCAACCAATCAACGAAATACCCATGTCGTATTCCAATGTGAACAATAAATATTTCTGATAACTTCTTCTTGTATGTCACTTGTGTGTCCTTACTCTAACAAACTTCGAATCCAATATGTACCATATCACAACAGAGATCGTTCAAAACTAGAACATAAAAGGCTGGTCTAAACATATTAGCGTTAGCTACAAACTACCCTCTAACACAGATCAGGCTTATTTTTTTTTTACTGACATTACTAATCTTTCGCAAAAAAAGTTAAACGCATCTTAATGGGAATTAAATTGTCGTAAAGTTTTAAGGAATGAAAATCATACAATGTAATTATTAAACCTTGTCCGGACTGTAGCATACACGCTTACACACACGCTTACACACACAAATACACTCTTACCCACACACAAGCTTATATATAAACACACTATCACACACACATAATTATACACACACACACACACACACACACACATATATATATATATATATATATATATATATATATATATATATATATATATATATAAGCGGGGGGGGGCGCCAAATTGAAAGTTCGCCCCGGGCGCCGGGAAGGGTCGCTACGCCTCTGCCGACCCGTTAGGGTAATGGAAACTGGAACCTCTTTTGTTGAGCTTGGCATATCACCCCCCCCCCCCACACACACACACTTCCGGTATGTCCCCAAACTATATCTTCCTCCCCGAAATCCCATTCGGAATTACATTTGTTGAGTCAGTCATTCTTTTGGATTTATTCGCACGGAGTCTACTCAAGAGTTCAAAATTTTTCTTGATTTCCAACCCTCCACCATTATCCAGGCTTCAGACTTTTCAGATAGACAAAGTAATCCTAAAGGCTCGTTCATCAGACCTATATGTCAAAAAATTGCTTGCTGGAGAAAAAACGACAATTTGCAATTTCAGCAAAGAGCCGGACTTTTAATTAGATTCAGCCTTGTTTTTTTTTTAAATTCTATTGAATATGTCTCGTAACTATCCTAGTGGAGCAAAAAAACGCGCATTATCGGTGAAAAAAAGAAAGATCGAAACTGAGCTTGCTGAAAAAACTACAAAACTGCTCTCCTTTTTCAAACCAACTTCGAGTACCAAGGAAAATAGTCACGTAGAAAAGGGATCTGCAATTGAATCAGACACCGCCGGGGTAAAAGATGTAGAGCAGGCTCCTACTTTAAAACAATGTGATTTGAAAGATGATACAGCAAAACCCCTTGAAGATAGTCATGCTATATACGACCTTCATTTTTGGCCAGAGCGGGAAAAGATGTCAGAGGCATTTAGAAACTATTGGATTCAACGTGGTACCACACCATGTCAAAACAAAAACGGGGACTTTAAAGAATCAGTCATACAGTTAGAAAGAGAGTCACAACGTCGGTTCTGCACCATTTCTTTATTTACACGTGTCCATGCACGAACAGGAGAAAAATTTGAAAGAAATTGGTTGTGTTATTCCAAAACAAGCGGGTGTGTTTATTGTTTTGTATGTAAGCTGATGTCACCTATAACTAACAAAATGACATCAGGGTTCAAACAATGGAAAAGTGCCCATGAAGTGCTATCTAGGCATGAACATTCCAAACAACACATTGATTCATTGGCAGCGCTGTGTTCACGAAAATCTACTGGTCAGATTGACATGAAACTTGTAACGCAATATGAAAGTGAAATTCAGTACTGGAGACAAGTACTTCACAGAATCGTGAGTGTGGTACAGTTTCTTTGTATTCGTGGTCTTCCGTTCCGGGGCAGAACTGAAGAGGTTGGCTCTCCAAACAATGGGAATTATCTCGGGTTGCTGGAGCTGTTAAGTCAGTACGATACCTTTCTCGCAGAACATATGCGGATACACGCCAACAAAGGACGTGGACATACATCCTACATATCTACAACAATATGTGAGGAGATGATTGAACTTATGGGTCAAAAGGTTTTGTCTGTAATTGTAGATGAAATAAAGACAGCGAAATATTTTTCCATATCTGTAGAATCGACTCCAGATGTTTCACATGTTGATCAACTCACAATCTTTATTCGCTATGTACAAGACACCGGACCTATTGAGCGCTTCTTAAAATTTGTACCAATGTTTTCACACACTGGTTCGGAAATAGCTAATTTAATACTAACATTTTTGAAAGAAAATGGAATTGACATAAAAAATTGTCGCGGTCAATCATATGACAACGCGTCCAACATGAGCGGCAAGTATAACGGCGTTCAGGCTAAAATCCGGGAGAAGTGTGACGTGGCATTGTATGTACCGTGCACAGCACATTCACTCAATTTAGTTGGGAACTGCGCAGCTGAGTGCTGCCCCACGTCAGTTGGGTTTTTTTTATCTCCTTCAGAGCCTTTACTCTTGGCTTTCTGCATCTACCCATCGTTGGCATATACACAACAAGCACATGAATGGATTGCCTGTTGCTAAAGCTTTGTCGGAAACCAGATGGTCCGCTCGACATGATGCTGTTAAGGCTTTAAATAGAGGGTATAAGGAAAATATATCGGCTTTGGAGGAGTTAGCAGCCGATGAAAATCAACCTCTTAAATGTAGAGCTGAAGCTGAAGGATATCTTAAAAGTTTACAAAAACTAGAAACAGTAATATTAATCGAGGTATGGGATACAATTTTAGAGAGATTGCAAAAAACAAATGTATCTCTTCAAGAAAAAGGTTTATCTCTTAATACAGCAGTTAATTTGTTAAAATCTGTTCTCCTTTTTATTGAAAGTCAACGTAATGAATTCGCTAGCTTCGAATCAAAAGGAAAAATTAAATGTGAAGTCAAAGACTACACATATTCCAACAGACGACCACTAAAGAGGAAGCGACAATTTGACGAAAGCAAAGTTTCAGAAATGCAACTTTCTCCTAGAGAAAAATTTATGACTGAAGTATTCATCTGTGTGATCGACCACCTAACTGCAGCTCTACATCATCGCTTAGATTCCTATAAAACTGTTCAAGAAATGTTCGATTTCTTCAGTGACCTGACCAACCTTAGCACTGGTGACATTACAGGAGCAGCTACAAAACTAATCAACAAATATCCCGATGATTTTGAAGAATGTTTTTCATCGGAGTTGATTCAATTCGCCGAGCTGTTTAAATCAATTCATGGGGGAAAAGAGCAAAACGTCTACAATGATAGCATTGAATTAGAAATGTTGATGTTTTTAAATAGATTCAAGTGCATTCAGAGCTTTCCAAATGTGCACATTGCTCTTCGAATTTATCTGTGTATGATGACATCTAACTGCAGTGGAGAGCGCTCATTTTCCAAAATGAAAAAGATTAAAAGCGATCTTAGAAGCAATATGGGACAGCAGAGACTTAGTATGCTCTCACTTATGAGCATAGAAAATGACATTGTAAGCTCACTAAATTATACAGAACTAATAGAAGAGTTTGCTATCAAGAAAGCTCGAAAATGTTCCCTATAAAAGTTACTTGGTCTTTAGTTCTAAATAAAAACAACTGTAATAAATGTAAGTATTTATAATTTCTTTTGCATTAGTAAATAAATAATTGTCACTTTAAATGCTCTTAAGTCTCAATGTAATTTAACATTACATTTAATGTAACATTTTTTGTATATGCCATGGCTTCTGTTAACATTTAGCTTATTCCATTCAACCTTTATTTTTTGGAAAGGCCTCTGTTTTGTGAGGTCATTATATAAACTACATATATATATATATATATATATATATATATATATATATATATATATATATATATATATATATATATATATATATATATATATATATATATATATATATATATAAATATATATATATATATATATATAGTTTAGGGGGCCCCGGAAAAAGTTTCAGCCAGGGGCCCCGCAGAAGCTTAATCCGCCCCTGACTAGGCCTACCTAAATCTAGTCATACTCCTAGCCTAGGCCCTATGCCAGGAGTAGGCTAATTAACTCTTTATTAGGCCCTAAAGAGTTAGATAATATTAAAAAGTTTGCTGGTCAAAGAATGAAAACGAAAAAATAAACGAAAGTGCAACTTTTTAAAACTCACCCAAGCACTACATTACCTAGCCTGGCCTAGTAAATTGATAATCTAAACATTTCAAGCCAAATAGATCTATAAAATACTATAAATCTAGATCTAGCCAATATGATCTAGATCTAGAAAATCTATGACAGATTAAAATAATGATTTAGTTTTTAGAGATGTTTACTGTAGTGTTTAGTTTTTAGTACAGATTCAATTGTGATCGATCATCATTCATCAGATTACGAAAAGTAAAAGTAGATTCTAGTGAAAATCGGGAATTTTTTTGCCACTAGAATACTGCAATTAATACATTGATAATTCTAAATTATATTATAGATCTAATTATTTAGATCTAGATTTCTATCTAGATCTAGAATTCACACTAGCTAGCTGATCAGATCTAGATCTACTTGTAGACTACAAATTTACACTAGCCTAGACTGAAGACTGAGAAGTTGTGCTCTGTTCCCTAGACCCTAGGCCTATTCCTTAATAAGTTAATACATTGCCTTACAAAGTTACTTTTTGGATTGAAACCGGGGTAGTCATAGGAAATTATTATTTTTTTTCTTAAAAAATGTCTGTGCATTATGCGTCTGGTCTATCCCCCTATGAACACAAAGGAAAATGTGGATTACCAGAAACCTTTGATACTCCTGCTGAACTGTCTGAAAAGTTAGAAAAATTAGTAGAATTTGTGAAAAAGAGTCATCATATTGTTGTTCATACAGGGGCTGGTATAAGCACATCTGCAGGTATTCCTGATTTTAGAGGTCCTAAAGGTAATTCTTTAACAAGCTTTTATTTATTTTACAAAATCTGTTTGTTTGTGGCAAATCTTTAGCTCACTTTTGACCCACTTCTAATGCAGCAATTTTGTTCAAACTTTCCAGATGTGTTCCACTTTGTGGCAATACAACTATATCTATGTGTTAATTTGATTAGATGTTTAAAAAGTCATTAAAAATAAGTTTAACAGTTTCAAAACTAAGTGGAGATAACAAAAATTAAATAACTATAGGCTATAGGTGGTCAAAGCCCCGCTGTGGTCAAACCCCCTATGGTCAAAGCTCCGCTGTGGTCAAACCCCCTATGGTCAAAGCACCTGTGGTCAAATGTCCGCGCACCAGTCTGGTGAGCTATGGTTCACAAGAATGTTTACAATCGTAGAGCCAGTCGATCTAGTGAAGGTTATTAGGGGCAGATACTAAAGTTTTAAAAATGATTTAAACTATGGAGAGGTAACACGACTAAGAACTTGCTGCCATCTGTAAAATATGGTATTTGGACGTCTGCTTTCACTTTAATTGAGACAGAAGCTTTTATGAAAAAAAGCAAATTAGTTTTATTTTCTTATTTTCAGTGCATTTAATAGCTTATTGTTATAAGGTTGTTTTTTTTTTATTTATTTTTATTTTAAGTGTGTTTTTATTAGTGCCTGTACTGTGAAATTGTAATGTGTTAGTCATTAATGAAGAATGTTCATGAAGAGTTAGGCCTCCTCTCTGACATTCCTATTTTTTGTACATTCAAGTGTTTTAAATATTATAATATATTCTCACCACTTATAGGGGTGTGGACATTAGAAGAAAAAGGAGAATGCCCACAACATAATGTCACGTTTGACACTGCTGAACCTACATTTACTCACATGGCTCTGGTAGCTCTTGAAAAAGCTGGTATGTGGTTACAACAATTGATTAAAGTGACCTGGTTCCAGCATTAAATTGACCATTTTTACCTATTATTTTTTATTTAAATTTAGTGTTTACCCTCAAATAATTCTGCTTATATATATTTTTTTTTTAAATATGTTAAGTACAAAATAACAGCTAAAAAAAAAGTCCCCTTTGATATAATATAAATAGATGCTGAACAGTTACTTTGTTTCAGTATTATCACACTTTAGTGAACCTAAATACAAATATTTAAAAAGTGAGTAAAATCAAAGGTCTGAAATATTCATTTTTACTTTAAAATTTATTTATTGTAGGTATCATAAAGTATGTAGTTAGTCAAAATATCGATGGACTGCATATAAGGTCAGGTTTTCCACGCAATTGTTTATCTGAACTTCACGGGAATATGTTTATAGAAGAATGCAATAAATGTGGACATCAGGTAAGAGCATTACAATAGTAAACATAGGTAATTTATTTACATATTAAAGTTAATTTGTATATGAATATTTATTATTGATTTATTGATACAAAGAAGAAGTTATTAGTTTAATCTCAACTCTCATAAATTTAGTTACTTGGCTGCAGATAACAAAAACCACAATTAAAGCACTTAAATTTTATGTTTATGATCTGAAATGAATTATAAATATGTATCAAACTAATCATATAAATGTATATCATTTCCCTGTGCTAACTCTTCCTTCTAGTATATAAGGCAGCATTGTGTGCCAACTATGGCAAGGAACTTAACTGGGGGCAGCTGTACACAGAAAAAATCTAGAGGAACATGCAGGTAATTATTTTGTTATTTTTACTGTATATTCTTTATTATTAATTAATGATAATGTATAGAATTTAAAAACAACTCTGCTGTTCTAATGAAGTTTTTACATAAACTGAGTTAATTATTTGAATTTATTTAAACAAAATAGAATTGAGTACTCTAATTTTTATTTAAAGTTTATTTTAATGACTGACATCTTATACAGCTTTAATTTTGAATTTTAGAGGAAAGTTGATAGATACAATACTAGATTGGGAAGACTCTTTACCTGATAGAGATTTGGATGCAGCCTATCAACAAAGCAGGTAAAAATAGATTCAAATTTTCTTATTTCAAAATAACAGATTCCAACTGAAAACATTTTTATCGTATTAATATATTACTATTACTTATATAAAGACAACTAACTTAACAAAATTCTGTTTACAGAAAATCAGATTTAAGCATTTGCTTGGGAACATCATTACAGATTGTTCCAAGTGGAAATATTCCTCTGCTGACTAAGAAGAATGGTGGGAAGTTGGTTATAGTAAACTTACAGCCTACTAAACATGACAAAAAATGTGATTTAAAAATTTCTGCTTATGTTGATGATGTAATGAAAGCCTTATGTAAAGTTCTTAAAGTTGAAGTCCCTCAGTATACTAAGCCATCAGTCTGTCTTAGTTCCATTTATTCTCCAAAAGACATAAAAGATTTGCAAATCAGTGCAGATCTAGAACTGTTAAATAACTTTATTGAGGTATTCAAAGACAGCAATCACATCAAAAGGGCCTTAGAGGACTCTCCTGAAGAACCATGTAAGAAAATGAAAAAAGAAGTTATAAAAGATGAGAATGATGTTATAAAACAAGAAAGTGCTTCAGAAATAGAGTCTTCTGATAATAAGGCTGAGTTGTCAGCAGAATGTGTTGATGTTTAACTTTGAACATTTTACTGAATGTAACTGTATCAGAAAATGCAAATCTTCCAGTCTACAGCATTCTGAGTCAAACCCACCTAAAAGTTAGGATACTTCAGGGAGGCTTCTAATGATATGAGACCTTACATATGAAATACTAAATTTTCCTAACAACATACGGATGAAGAAGGATGGAATCTATTTTCATTATGCTGCTATGTTTTTATCCACAATTTGCATAGTGGCATTGTTTCAACCTTATTGCTAGTAAGCGAATATATTGTTAAGGTTGTATTAGTTAATGATGTTTTTTACATTCCGAAAAAAAATTTTCTTACTTTTTTTAAAAATTAAAGTAACAGTTACCACCATAAGATAAAATTCTCCACAAGCTAAACCTATATACTATGTTAAAATTTTTATTATTGTATTTCTACCCTAGGTACCTTAGGTAGAAATACTATTCTTTTTATTTATTTATTTAGGTTTATATTTAACCACTGTATTGTTAATTTCAAAACTTAATTACAGCTTTTATATTTTAAAATTATTTACACATCAAAAGTTATAGTTAGTTGCATGTTAAATAGCCTAAACTGTGTGAATGTCCTTAAAGAATTGATGTAACTCATGATGGAATCCTATTACAGTAAATAAATATATATTGTACAGTGATCTATGATGCTTTTGTATTATTTATTAGTCATTTCAAAAATATTTTTTTATCCAGTCGTGACCAAGATGATCCCACAAAACCAGTGTTTCTTTCAGACATTTTATCTCTAGAGGGCGGACACTGGTTAAAAACATTTTCTATATAAATGATATATTTTTGCTATTTTGTCCAAAGAGATGCCTGAAAGAAACTGCACTCTGCTGAGTAGGAAACATTTGAATATGAAAGTTACACTTAACAAGTTGTTCATGGACACTCATTAAGTTGTTGACCTATACTATATTATAGATTTTACAAAAAATATACAAAGCATATACTTGAGTTTTGCATTATAAAAAAGCAATTATAGAAAACGAGATTTAGCCGTTATTTCGGGTTTTAAAAAACAGTTTTAATAGTAGTAGGAATCAATCAAAAAAATCTATGTTGACAGAGTTCTGACAAGATTTTGGAAAAATATCGATGTTCTAAGATCATTTTGGGGGGTGGGGGTCTGGCTTTGTGTGACGGAGGGGAGTAGGGAGGTAAAAATCGTCAACAAAAAAAGCGTGACGTCATTTATGGATGACCCCTTTCCACAAATATTTTTTTTTTAAGTATAAGGAAGAATTCAATACTATAATTTTATTAAATATTTTTTTGTTTGATAAAAGTTGCAACTTTAAAACTTTGAAATAACACTTTCAGTCAGTAGTCTCTAGATCTATACGCCTGTATGTTGTATACTATTATTAATATTATATAAAGGCCAATAGATCAGCAAAAAAAAAAATGCACAATAGAATCTAGATCAATTTAGTTTTTAAAATTTAAACGAAACTCCCGTAAATTAGAGAGCACAACCATTGGTTGAAAACTAAACAGTAAACAAACACTTCCCTAGAATCTAAAACAAAGATGAATTAAAATGTAGATCTTCACTCATCACTAGATCTAGATCTATTAACTAGGCCCTAATTTTAAAAATCGATCTTTTGTCTTAGTGATATTAAAAATTATCTAGAATTCTAGATCAACTTGTAACTTTAAGTTTCGGAATCTAGAACTAGATTTCTAGTCGAGGAGCGAAGGGAAGATAACTTTCAGGAAAATCTGTGTAGATTTTCTTATTGAGTTTCCTGATATTTTTTACTAGATTCTACCATCTCTCTACTAAATAAAAAAAAAAAAAAATTAAATATACTCTAATTTTTTTTATTATAACTGAGGTTGACCAGAGTAGTAGTGAAAATTACTAAATTAGGTAAAATCTTAGTTTAGCGTCGTAAATTCCAACGTAGCTAGTAATGTGCGATGAAGGTAACTAATGAATATTTCTTTCATTTGGCCATATTTATGTCATATTTTACATAATATAACAGATAATTGAATAACAAATCACAATCCAAGACCAAACCAGTCATAAATATCCTGGAATAAACTTTAAACTACCCCGTTCGAGACAACAATGAGTAAATACAAGCAGCGGCCATGTTTTAAAAACAATAAATTGTCTATTCGCATGTCTTTTGTGTTGATTTTGTGGTTTAATATGATTGTTTTGTATTGTTTTAATATATGCCGGGGGTCGTCCATAAATGACGTCACACTCGTAGGGGGGAGGGGGTCCGTAATTTTGTGACGTTGTGTGATGAGGGGGAGGGGTTCAGATGGTGCGACGTCACACTTTTGACTTTTGCATTTTAAAAAAGCAATGTTACAAAACGAATTTTAGACGTTATTTTGCGTTTTAAAAAAACTGTTTTAATACATTGTAATAACAATTGATTAAAATACTCTATTTTGACAGAGCTCAGACAAGATTTTGGAAAAATATAGCTGTTTAAAAAAAATTCAACTGCAATTTTGAGGGGGGTTGTAGGCTGAGGTGTGACGTCATTTTAGGGGGGGGGGGGGTCTGGCTTTTTGTGACGACGTGTGACGGAGGGGAGGGGGGGGGTAAAAATCGTCAAAAAAAGCGTGACATCATTTATGGATGACCCCCTGAATAGTAATTTTTCTTTTTTTTTCAATATAGTTGACATGAATGACTAATAATAGACCTTTTCAGACTTAATAGTGTGCATCCAAGACCACAACAATTGTTGGGAGGTCGAACTTTTGAACACTTTATTTGCAGTAAGCAAATCAATATTAGATCGCTTATAAATGACGTCGCTCTTAAGATAGTAATGACAGCGTGCATTATTACAGAGCAAACATATGAGCATATTCTTTCAGATAGAAATTGTGATTTGTGGTGGGGAGAGGTTGAGTAGAACTCAGCGATGTGATTTTGGAGACGGGTCAGGTTTTTTTTTTTCGTGAAAACGGGATGGTTGTGGGAGAAAGACCAGCTGTAGAAGTATAACTTAGTAGTATAACGCGTCATTCCTTGGTGATCCATTTTCTCAGTGGGGACGAAAGAACTATTAAGAAGGGTCAAGAAATGTAAAAAGCTTGCCGAGTCGCATTTCTTGAACCCTACCTTTTTCATTCCCCCACTTAGCTCATCGTCACCGAGTTAACGCTCGCACGTAGCGGTACCGCCGACCGTTAGGCTAATTTTATAGAAAAAAAAAACAACAAGCACTGCCTTTTTGACGCTTTTGCGACGTTTAGTTTGATTACATAAGTTGGTGTTCATTTAACAGCCCTAACACATCTATCACTCGTCCATTTAAACGTACGTAGTTATTTCTGCAAGCTTGCTGTCTTGAGACTTTCGGCCCTTTAAAAATGTATTAAGCTCACACCGTATAGAACTAGACTACCCATATTAAACTCCAAAAGAAGCTTGGTGAAATCAGGATGGCCGTCCAATTTTGTAGCTGCTCTGCGCTTTATAAAAAGCACAATAAACGATAAGATGACACTTATATTAAAGTAAATTATAGTTCTGAATCTTGATACATTAAAAGTGATATTCGGAAATTATGAGCCAGACAGTCAACATGATATTTCAATTTAAGTCCAAGAAAATAAATTTCCTTAAACGATGGAACATTACTAAATTTTTGCGCAGTTTAGCGAAATTGAATTTAAGTATTTACGTCATCTTACAAAGCGCGATAGCCTACTGGTGCTCTAACGCGGCCCATGCTAATGGCCGTATTCTTAACGCCCCGCATTAGACGCGGCTTATTCGTCGGCAGGCATTTGGTGGCAAGCCTTTTTGACGGGGATAATGTGTTAAGTTAAGGCCGTTTTGCCAAATGTCTTAAACTAGCAGACTTGCAACATTTATGATAATTCGTTTTAAGCAAGGTATACGTATACTAATGCTTATTTATCGTTATTTTGATTGAACAAAGCATTATAGAGGTTCTCCATCAACCACATAGGTATTTTTCCCCGTTCACCTCCTTTCATGAGACCGACACGTCATAAATTGCAAAGCCGCCTGAGTTGACGTCACAAATCTTCACTCACTCCCGTAGCAAATCATATGTGACATCATTTATGGACAACCCCATATCACTCACTTGGGTACTTGATATTGACAATTTGACAACAAAGGATAACCAAAATGTGTCTGGCAGGTGGAGACTTGCGATCGACCATAATGACAACACGCACTTAAGGGGTGGAGTGGCTGATTATTTTAGATGATGCTTTACGAGGGAAGCTGGTGGATAATACATTTTGTCTCTCTGTATATATAAATGATGACGAACATTTATTGTTGTCAAAATTATGGCTAGAGATCTTAGATAAGGCAGAGCAAAGCGTAATTTTTTACATTAGGGGTCATCCATAAATGACATCAAGCTTTTTTGACGATTTTTACCTCCCCCCCCCCTCCCCTCCGTCACACGTCGTCACAAAAAGCCAGACCCCCCCCCTAAAATGACGTCACACCTCAACCTACAACCCCCCTCAAAATTGCAGTTGAATTTTTTAAAAACATCGATATTTTTCCAAAATCTTGTCTAAACTATTACAATTTATTAAAACAGTTATCTAAAACGCGAAATAACGTCTAAAATTCGTTTTCTAACATTGCTTTTTTATAATGCAAAAATGTGACGTCGCAACATCTGAACCCCCCCCCCCCCCCCCCCTCATCACACATCGTCACAAAATTACGGACCCCCCCCCCCCCTCCCCCCTACGAGTGTGACGTCATTTATGGATGCCCCCTTATGACTTGTTGTGACATTGACAACAAAAATATGACGGAGGTTGGGGTTTAATTAAGGTAAAGAGAAGTAAAAAAATGTCATAAGTTACGATAGAATCACTAGATCTAACTGATGAAAAGAAAAACCTGAAATGAAAATAGTGAACATTCAAACAATAAGAAAAAACTCAAACTATAGGCTATAGTAATAGTAAGATCAAATAAACATTAGAAAGGAAAAAAACGTGATTTAAAACATGGATACAAGTTGCATCTCACAATGCTTCTAGAATTAATAAAGTTGTTTCTTAGGTCATTCAGTTTTTAAAGAGCAGAATTTAAAAAAAAAATGCTTTGTTATACGGACTATACAACAAGACAATCATATTTAAATACATTTTCATACGAATAGAAATGAAAGGGAAGCTACTCTAAATAACATTTTCTTAAGATGGCTGCTGTTTTTAATAGCAAATTTACTATCTCGAACAGGGTTGATAAAAATTAATTTCAGGATATTTAAATTGATTTAACCATCAATGGTGATCTATTATTCAATTATCTATAATACTTTATCAAAATATAGTTAAAATACGAAAATATACTCTTATTTAATGACATATTCATTAATTCACTCTCTCCCACATTACTAGTTTTGGCCGAATTTACGACGCTAAACTAAGATTTTACCCTAAATTAGACTGCTCTTCCTTCAGACTTGTCAGACTCATCTGAATCTGTGTTTGTTTTTGGATCACACCCGAACCCAAGATTCACTCATCAGTCTCCCTACCCTGGTAACTGAAATTATTAATTAAAATCCCTAATAAATATAATAATAGTAATACTTATTACAAGTTATTAGGCCCAAGTTCTAGATCTATATTCTATAGGCTTATCCTTATAATTTATATCCTGTATATAACTTTGTTGATTAGTGTTGTAATGTTAGGTCTGTTGTTGGACATCTTAGTAACAGTACTCTAAAATTTTAAAGTAGAAGTAGAAGCATATTATTATTAATTCATCTAATTATTATGAGGTCCTGGTAAAATTTGAGATTTGTCTCGCATCAAGTTACAGCCCTCACCCGATTGCTAGATGTTCCAATGACAGAGCTTCTTTCTTTTGTGTTGAAACTGTTGCCGCCTAATATAGGCCCTACTGCTGTTTTGAACACCACCATACTTAAAGACACTGCCTCCAAACATATTTTAAAAAATTATCATATAAATATCTAGGAGGAATTGTCTAAAGCTTTAGGATACATCTATTGTGAAGGGAAGACCTAGCACGGATACTTGAGAACTTGAATCCCAGGTTCGTGTTAGTCAAACGTCCCTGAGTCCACCCAGCTCTGATGGGTAGCTGACTCACGTTAGGGAAAGTAAAGGTGACTGGGCGTATTGAACTCTACCTGCTCCATAGACCATCAGGTTCAAAAGGGTACTTTACTTGCTACTTTACTTTTTAAAATGACCATCGAAAGTAACTAAAGTACATTTATTTCAGATTGTTTTGGAAAAGAAAATGAGTTCACCTAGCCCTAATTTTGCCCCGCACCAGTTGCTTGATGAAAGGGAAGCATCGGTTTTATATTCTCCATTTCGAGAAAAGTCCTTAAATATCCAATCCTGGAACAGAAAGATGACCTTCTGGACAAATGCACTCTTCCAATTATTAAAAGAAAGGAAAATTATAACATTTAATATAAATCTACTTCAAACACACTTTGAAAGAAAGGGAATTAAACCAAAGTGCCTTTCAACTGTCCTTGAAGAATTAGTCAGGTTAGCTTTTTTTCAGCAGAATTTTAAATTTGATTGTTTAATGTTACAGGTAATTTTGCAGTTTCTTTTAAAAATATAAAAGTAAACACCATTTGCTTTTCTCTTGTACTATGCTAACAATATTTTTGTTTTGTTTTATCTTTTATACAAAGGTCAGTTGATGTAGTAAAGTGTTTGAATTCTAATTTAAATAGGAGTAAAAAGATTAAGAAACTAGATGACTTCAAAAAAGGCAGCTCATGGTTATCTTGGGGTTTCAATACACTGTTAAAGCAGCCATTCTCTTGGGGATTGAGTCATTTGATGGGACCTTCCGATGTTAATTCAACTCTTTTTATTTGTCCAGATGTTGTTAAGGTATTTATTTATAATTTTTTTCTTTTAAACAATTAGCTTCCTTTGTTTTCTTCATTATTGTAAAATTTTAATTTTTGTTTAAGTTTATTATTTTACTATTGCCTGCAAAAAAAATTCATTTCAGATGATATCAGAGCAACTTGTAGATCTTCACCATTCACGCATGAATCATGATAATGCTCTTATCAACATAAAGGAATTACGTAGTAATTGCCAGGATCTAGTTCCATCAGATCAAGATTTTGAAATTGTACTTTTTCAACTAGTACAAGATAAGAAAATAATTATTCATGAAATAGATGAACAAGAAACGGTATGTTTTGACATTTAGACAGGTGTAAGTTGTCAAATGTTTACAGCAAGTCTAATTAACATTCCAATTTATTAATTTCATATATTGTGAATTGTTATTTTACCGTAGCTTGTTGAAACTAACACAAAAAAAGTTATTTAAAGATCTCAAATAAACCCTCCATCAAATCTAACAATTTAATTTGAATTGTATTTCTTATTACTTGAAAATTACCCTTGTATTTGGTAATTGAGCTGGAACTTTTTAATTTTGAAAAGTTAGTATCCACTTTATTAAATGACTGTATAATAATTATAACTTTAGTCTGTTTTTGTTTCATTTTATATTTTAAACTTTTATCCAGGTTGTCAAATTTTGTACTAAAGGTACCCCTGCTGTTGAAGCAATAAAAGATATTGAACTTCAAGTTTACCAGTGAGTGATGTGGCAACATTAGTAAAAGTCTTCATCTTACATTTATACATTTAATTAAAAACAAATATTTTCTTTATTGTATAGAATACAAAAGACAATGAAGAAACTAGAAAAAGAAATTGAAATTTTGACAGACAGGATGGAAGGGTAAGATAAATCATTTTTACATGTCGCAAATTGTAGTAATTTATATTTTTATTGTGTTTATGTTGCTCTATAACTAATGTTATTAGCTTCAAACCATAAACATAGCTAGAAAATGGGTCTTTGAGAAACTTAAGCACACTATATAATAATGTTGATACAATTATTGAAATTAATGTTATGGTTTTCTAAATTTGATTTCCAGACATATGGCTGATGCAAGAAAGTATGTAAAGGAAACTAAAAAAAATTTGGTATGATCTGTTAACATTTGCTCATTTTAAAAGATTTGTAAGCAATTCAGTGATATTTTTCATTATTAATCAATTAAGCTTGAAACTGTTTATTTTAGGCTTTGCACAGTTTAAGAAAGAAGAAAGGTGTTCAAAAAACAATTGATAAAAAGTCTGCTTCCTTAAGTCAACTGCAAGCAATTGTTGAAAACATTGAAAATGCCAGCTCAAATGAAATGGTAACTTTTTTTTTATGTAATATAAAATCTATTCTTTATTTAATACCTTGCAACTAACTGTTTAAGCAAAAAATGAATTAATTTATATTATATTGCTTTTTATCTTATATTATAAAATGTTTTAAATTTGTAGTTAACGCAAACACTTTTTTTATTCTGTAACAAACAAAATTCAGTTATGTTTGAAACATTTGACTAGGTGGTGAGAGCTTGTGAAGCAGGAGTTGCTGCTATGAAGTCTTTAAATTCAAACAAGATGTTAGAGAAAGCTGAAGATGTTTTATTGGATGTACAAGAAGTAAGTTATATGTAAACTTTTATTTTTTTATTTTTAACCTTTTGAACCCTTAGCTCCTGACCCCAAAATGCTTGTTCCTCAAATAACAAAACATTTATTTAAAAACATATTTTTTAAAAAGTTTTTTATATTAGTAAAAAATGTCTTGTATTGATTTGTAAAATATTTTGTAACCCTACAGGCTGTTGAAAACATTGAAGATGTCAACCAAATTCTAAGCAGTTCGTTGAATAGCGAGGAAGACCTAGAGCTAGAAAAAGATTTGGAAGAATTGCTAGGTGAATCTAACAAAAATCCTGTGAAGAAAAACAAAACCACTGAGGATGAAACCCTGTTGGAAGCTTTGCATGGGCTAATGGTGGATGACTTAGGTAGGTTTTACTTAACCATTTTACCTTTTAATTACATAGTTTAAGGTGGGTAAAGTGAAAGAAAAAACCCTCTAAAGACTTGATGGTCCGAATAACAGGTGAAGTAGAATTCATCTGTATCTTTGAACATGAAAGATAGTGTGGTCAGTATTATGTATGGTCAGCTTTACATTCCTTGTGCAGACTAATCTTGGAACCAAGTTTATTACTTTCAGATTAACATTTGAGCACTGTTCAGCTTAGCCACACCATCCCTTTAGGGGTTTCCTCAATCATAATGTTTAAAAACAATATCTGCTAGGGTTCTAAATACATTTTTAGTAACTTTATGAAACCATTTGGTTTTTGTAGGATACAAGGGACATAACCGACTAAAATAATTTTTACTTTTTCACTTTTGGATAATTCTTCCTTGCACACAACACTATGGTAGGTGTTTTGAAGAGGTATAATATTGTTAATTTTATAAACTTTGCAGAGTTGCCGGATGTTCCTAGCCACTTGCCTTCATATTCAGGATCAGGAATAAAACAAGAAAAGCGAGCCATGGAATCATTAAACTCCTCTTGACAAGAAAAAATAGTGAATTAAAAGAAAATACCCCTACACCTGTTCATTGGAATGATTCAGTTACCACTTAGTCTGCAGTGGTAAAACTGAATTAAATTTATTTAAAATTCCAACTTTTTTTCTAAAAGCATTATAACGGTACCTAAATTTTAACTTAAATTATGTTCTGTATTTTTAAAATAAGTTTTGATCATTTAAAAAAACCTTGGCACATAATTTAACTGTAAAGTTTACAACTAACTAAAAATTCTCACCAATCATCTTCTATGTAAGCTGTTGATGGTCATTATTTAAAACATGTTAGTAAATTAATCAAGTATTTTAAAAATCCTGACCATACTATTTTTCAGTCAGATGTTTCAAATAAATTTTTAGTTTTTTAAATTGCTTAAATGTAAGTTGAAATAAAGTACTGTTTATTCTTTACAATAAACCTCATTGTACATTATAACCATCAAATCAATCATGTTAATACTTGTTTTCAGTCTGTATAGAGATGCTTAAACATTTTATTAATTACGCATTACATTTTAAAACGCAAGTAATTTCAAAGGGATGAGGTGAAGGTGGTTAAAAACCTTTTAAGGTTGATTCTGACCATTATTATGCAATTTAACATTCTAGATATTCTTTTGGCCTGCCCATTGTCGTTTCAGTTTGCTAATATTTGTTGGTAGTTTGCATAAAGCCTGTCCTATATAATCCTCACCGTAGTTATACTTTCGGGTATTTGGTCTTTAGAATATTGTAAATAAGCACCATCCTATAGTAGAGTGTGTATCATAAACTATAAATTTTTATAACTATAATTATCACAAACTTGAAAATATTGTGAGTTGCTGCCCTTGAAGGTTTTCTGTGTAATTAATTTTAAATACTGCTTACTTAATTTCACCGAGGTATTATGTAATTGTTACAATCACTTCTCAACATAAATTTATGGAGAAAACAAACCAACATTGTTTTTGAAATGTAAATAAATGTTGCAAGCTATTAAAATTATTGACTTTGCATTATTTGATATTAGTGCTCCTCAATAAAATCAGATCAGAAAATCAAATATTGTATTAGAGAAGCTACACAAATTTTATAAAGATGTTTCTGAAAATATTTTGTGTCGCTAAATATAAACCATATTATTCTTCTGTGTTTTAAGCACAATACGTTTTTGTATATGCAGTTTTTAAAGTAAGTATACACATTTTTAAAATGTACACCATTTTTAATCACTTGCATTCGCCAATGTTAGCAATAAAAGAATTTAGAGTTCGTGACACAAGTTAATTTAAGAGGACAATACCTTTTTGTAACTAAGGGAGGCAAATAATGTATAGAAAAATAGATTATCTTCCCGTTCAACAGAATGCACGCTTGATAACAGAAATCACTGTAAACTGTTTTGAGGTTTTTATTGAACATCAAAGTTTATTTTATTTGTTCACTATACTGTTTACAGTGGAACAAGTGGTTCAACGTTCTAAAAGCTGCTCATACAAAAAGATAGTTGTAATCTAGAAATCGTTTAAAAATAAATACATTGTGAATTGTCCCTTGGTTAAATTTTATTTACACAAGAAGTTACAGAAATAGTTTATTCCCATCCCCCCTCTCGCATACACACAAATACTGATATGTATTTGATTGGAAGTTCGAATATTGCCATCCCAAAAAATGACTGGGTAGCCACTGGCTTTCCTCTGTGGTGAGGTGAGCTCCAGCACTCCTCTGTTGACAAAAACGTTATGATGAACGTGAGTGGTCCTGTGCAGTTGTGTACTCTTTTCGGTGGAGTACGTATCGTCGTCCGTCCGTCCGCCCCCCCCCTCCTTTCTGGACCATATAGAAAAAGTATAAAATTGAAATAAATAAATCATATACGTTAACGATGCTTTGACACGCCCCCCCCCCCCACACGCACCAGAAGTTTCAAGTTGTCCCCTCAGTCCTGTGTTGACCCATACGTAGGAACTACTTGCAGCCATTCTGGAATATTAATACTGAGCTAATCCAAGTCCAGGGCTTCTCACTTCCCTGACAAGAAGGACCTCTCTAGAGGTTTGGGTTTTGTGAGTTGAACAGATAAACGTCTTGGTGCTGTTGAGGAGCTGATGGACGGCAGGCTGTTGGGACGCTCTTCTTTCTGACATGTAGAGGAGAGAACATTAGGTAAGATCCTTTATGTTTAGTTGTTTTAAGAGGGTCGTCCATAAATGACGTCACACTCGTAGAGGGGGGGGGTCGTCCGTAATTTTGGGACCATGTGTGATGAGGGGGGGGGGGGTCAGATGGTGTGACGTCACACTTTTGCATTATAAAAAAGCAATGTTAGAAAACGAGTTTTAACCGTTATTTCCCGTTTTAGAAAACGGTTTTTTAATAAATTGTAATGGGCATTGATCGAAATACTCTATGTTGACAGAGTTCAGTCGAGATTTTGGAAAAAATATCGATGTTTTGAGAAAAATTCAACAGGGGGGTTGTAGGCTAAGGTGTTGCGTCATTTTAGGGCGGGGGTCTGGCTTTTTGTGACGACGTGTGACGGGGGGAGGGGAGAGGTAAAAATCTTCAAAAAAAGCGTGACGTCATTTATGGATGACCCCTAAACAAAAGCTTCGTTAATTCAATACAATTACTAAAATAAATGTTACCTCAATTGTTTTATCGTGTACATTTGATAACGTTTTTGTGTCTTTTAGTGACCTCCCCTTCTCATTGGGTAATATTTGTTCCAGTGTAAAAGGTTGGCCGTAAGTTCCTGAATTTGCATGTTCTTGGGAGTTATCTAAAATAACCTCATCGTTAGAAATATTTAGTGTACGAAAGTCGGGCTGATTTTCTGGGTCTGCGCTGTCAAAGACATTACTTTTAACTACTTGTCTGTCTTTGTGAAATGTCTGTGGCAGAAAATTCGACTGCAGAGCTCCTTGTGGAGAGATTAAATGTGGGATAAATCCACTTCCGTTTGAGAGATTCAAAGCAGACGATTTTTTCCGTGGCTGCCCGGCTCGTTGGTCAAGCAATACCGGCTGCTTGTCAGTGAACATTCGGTTGAAATTAAAATCTCTGTTGGTCAGTTCCAGACGGTACTTCTGCAACTCTCGCCGCAACCTCTCTACCTCATCGCTACTTTCATCATCTTCTCTCGTTTTCACGCTTCTGTGATGGCCGTTGTTTGCCATTTCGGTGAGTTTTTTGTTGAACTGAATTTTCATTGTTTTTATCTCGTTCTCCAGCTGTTTACAGCGAGACTGGTGTTGGTCGCGAGATTTGTTGCTGCCGTCCAGCGCCACCTGCATTTGCTGGAGTTCCTTCTCGAGCTTTTCTTTCTTCTTGGTTAGCTCTCCTATACAACTCTGGTGATAAAATAAACACATTATTGCTCTTAGCGCTTTTGGGGGAGCTTGAGTTAAAAACTCCAGTTCCAACTAACAAAATATTGGGCAAGTCATTAAAAAGGGTTCCTGATAATATGGCTCCCAGTACATGTTTATCCTTAACTAAATTCGTCCCTCGACAATAAGGTCCTGGTTACTTTGTTTGACCCCGAAAGAGGCATTGAGGATGGTAAAAGACAGAAGAGGAAGACGATCAGAAGGACTTTAGTGGCACTCCAACGGTCAACCGAAACTACAGGACAAAAGAATTTCGTATATAGCCATTCGTTAAAGTTGTCGATTAGACAATGAACATTAGAAATATACTTTTATTAAAGAAAATGTTAGGCCGCTAACTATTTGAATATAGATAATCTAGTGTCTAAAACTAATAGCCAAGAAAATATATAATAGAAAATGCTGACCTGCGATTCGTTTTGAGCGTCGAGCAGATTTCTTTCAACAGTCAACACCCTTAAACGTAAGGCGTCCACCTCCTTGTCCCTTTTCCCGTTCTTGTCCCTGTTGGCGCCCAGCTGCTCCTCCAGGCGTTGCCTCAGCGTCTCAATGTCTCTCTGGGCATTCAGCAGCATGTCGCTCAGCTTCTGGCATTCACGCTTCTCCTCCTCCAGACTTTTCTCAGCCACGGACATCCTTTGGCGCCAATCGTTCTCTTTCGAGGCTAGCTGTTGCTCGTGCTCTTTCCTCAAGTTCTCGATATCCTCGCTAGTTCTTTTGTTCAACTCAGCAATCGATGTCTCCAGTTTGTTAATGCGATTTTTCGCGTCTTGAATGACGAATTCAATTTCGTATTCGTACGATTGTTTTAAGGCTTCCATCTCGATCTCTTTCTCGTGGTTTCTCGTGAACAACAGGTGAACGACCTGTGCGAGTTCTGCTACTTTTTTGGACATACGGAACTCGAAAGTGTTTTTGTGTGTGGTAGTCGCCATGATAAAACTGTTGAAGACGTCACTTCGCCAGTTCCTAGCGTCACATGCTTTGTTTTACTTCTTTCATTTCTCGAAATAATGCTGAAACAGATGTCTATTTATTAGGTTATTTTAACCAAAGTTTTAATGACAAAGATGTTTCCAAACGCGGAACCCACCAAATATGTTTCCATGGGCGGACTTAACCAAAAATATTCTCATGGACTAAATGACTAAACGAACAAAGCTCTTCCCAAGGGCGGACCCCATCATAGATCTTTACAAAGGTCACGCAGCATTTAATGTTGCATTTTCTTTGAATTAATTTCGTATAACGAAAGATCAGAGTTTCTTCCAGGCATCTCTTCGGGGGGGGGGGGGGGGGGGGGAAGGGGGGGGGCAAAGCCCCCCGAAATTTTTTTACCGCCCCCCCCCCCCCCCCCCCCCGAACGAAAGTTTACCCCCCCCCCCCCCCCCCGAAAATTTCAAGTGCCCCCCCCCCCCCCCGGAGAAAAAAGTCTGGAAGAAACACTGCGAAAGATGTTAACATATACAGATTTATGATGGTTGATGTTAGCATACAGATATATACGTGTTGAATTTAGCATACATATCTACGAGGGCTGAAGTTAACATACGGTTCTACGAGCGCAAAAGTTAGCATGTAGTGCTTGGCTTATACCTTAGCATAAGAGCAGAATTTACATAAAGGTATAAAGCAAACCGTTAAGATATCGCTAGACATATGCAAGTAAAGATAAGCGTTTTGTACCGATGCACTTATCGTCAACCCTTGTCTTACGGAACAATTTACTACGCGCCTGTCCAGTAACTAATCACATCTCATTTAACCTATGCTAAATGTTAGTTGATATATGACACGAATTAGTAAACCATTACTTAAAGAATTTTAGACCTAACATTGATAGTCTTTATGTCTGACATCTAAGCCTTATTTACATATCTAGTTATTGCTAGAAAATAAACACCTACCCACATAGAAACATACAGAGATCAACCTATATTTAATTACATACTCCCACTATACGTCGTGTAGGTTGCTGTCCTCAACGATTCGGTAAACAACTTGTATTGACATCAAGTATGTCTATTGACTTTCGTCCCCTGCACACAACTCCCCAAATGTGTGTGCCCGTAAAGTTCCATTCACGCTGTGCCCAGCTGTGCCCCATAGTTGCAGGCCGGCGTTGAAATCTCTAGCACTTAATTGGCTTGACTCCAGTGTAGCCGTCTCACCTGTTCGATAGGTAAATATGACTGCTGTGTTGTCTGGTACACAGAAGGATAATACCGCCGATCTGTGCGGGGCTTACATAGGGGCCTACCCGGGCTGTTCGACTTTGTTGCCGGTTCGATATCAAGGGGACGTCACCCCCTACTTACAAATGGTACAACATGGTTGTCTTGTCGAGGGGACGTCACCCTATTGATAAGTATACAAAACGTGCGTCTAGTCTTCTGATGTAGGGCGGAACGACCAGATGATTCAGCGCCTACATTTTAAATGAAGGCCTGTTAATTTTTTTTAAAGAATACAGCTTTTAATTTTTGTTTGATTGTAATATTTCAAGTTGATAGTCTTATCTGGCTTGATTTAAAGAACAAACGTAAACTGGTTTTAAAAATATGCAGGAAATAACATAATATATCCGTCAATCCACTTTATACTGAGCAATTAATTTAAAAAAATAATTTGAACTTTGTCCATGTCTAACCCATTTAGGGACCATCACTGCACGCCACCCCACCTGGGGTATGGGCCGCCAACCAAAGATCTCTCCTGCATCTGACTAGTGTTGGGAAAGAGGGAAGCTAGAGTTGTCTACAACGTCCAAGTCGTCAAGCTGTTTCCACAGAGTCCACTGAATTCCGTACCAACGTTATGTGATGGCTGTCTTCACATTCTGGTCGTTGGTTAGATGGAAGAGGTTGGTGACATCAGGCCAGGGCCGGCGCTACCTATAAGGCGAACTAGGCGGTCGCCTAGGGCGCTGGCCGTAGGGGGCGCCAAAATGGGTTGGAAAAACACATTGAAAGTTTGAGGGAGGGGTGCAAATCGAAAGTTTGAGGGGGAAGGGGGTGCAAATCGAAAGTTTGTCCCCGGGGCACGAAAAAATTGCGGGGGGGGGGGGGCGCTTTTAATAAGTTTTGCCTAGGGCGCTATATAACCTGGCGCCGGCAATGCATCAGGCATCATTGCCGGACTCCGTTTGTAAGCTCCCGTGTATACGTCCTGTATAGGACGTCTCCTCGCATGTGTCTTAAATGAGGTTTACTATTTTCATTGGAATGCCATTGTGTCGTATGAGCTTATGAGGGTATCTCGAGCCATAATGTCGTAAGCTTCTTGTATTAATGAAAGTAACGAACAGTGGTGAGTTACACTCTGTTGGCTGCTCAGTTATTTAGCTGGGTGTTGCGGTCCGGTCCATGCGGGATTTATTATGTCGGAATCCCAATAGTTCGTCTCTTAGCTCTGGGTCAGGGACATTCCTCATTCTATACAAGAGGACTGTTGAAAACTTTCCCAGGTACTGAGAGGAGTGGGGTTTTATCTTTGGCTTTTCAGTGACAAGATTTGTTTTACAAGTCCGGTTTACTGAGACTATACGCCAGAAAAAGTTTGTTTAAAATCAGTGACTATAAGAGATATACAACTGGCGGCAACTGATTCAGTAATGTTAGATTCGAGAAATGTCTTGTTACTGCATGCTGTTTTGTAAGCCGTCTAGTGTAAACAATTACTTTTTACTACTTATTAAACTGATAAAATATGAGGCGGAATTATTTTCCAGCAGAATTTCATTCATCAACTTAATACAAACTTTTTTTTTTTTATCACAACAAACTATTCACTAGCAGTAACGACGGGTTTTGTATTGCTGTCAGTGTCAGAATATTTTTTTTTCGTTAAAGCAAATTGGTGTCTGAATGTCAATATTTTGTGTTGTTAGAACGGTGACACATAGAGCAGTCTAAAAGGCAATAATGTATGCTAATTTTTACATGTCAAAGCTGAGAAGATTTATATTTTCGACATGACTTTAATGAATCTCCACCCCCACCCCCTTGAAAAAAAGGTGTGTTCGTGTGAATGGGGTCGGCTATTGTTAAGAATGTCAACTCAGGAAACGCACAAAGCTGACGTTCAGTGCACTTTTAAAATTTGCAGTATTTTTTAAACGCTGAATGCTAACGGTTTCAAAAGAAAAATCGTTAACGTGGAATTTGTAATCTTGTGTGCCATGACAATCATTCACCAAGTGATTATCATTGCCTATTAGATAAGCACATTATAGACATACAGTCGTGCACCGATTCAACCATTGATTTTATTATTATTTTTTAGTTATTCCAGAAGTAAAGGGTTAATATTTTAATTTGTTTAGACATTCTAATGATTGAATATCGTGGATTAAGATATGCAATTATTGGTGAACTATAAAAATTAAATGGATTGCTATTTTTGTTTTATTATTTTTCTGTTTTAAAAATGAACGTTTTCACAAACGTACAGAGTTTCTTCCAGGCATCTTTTCGGGGTAAAGTGGGAGGGGGGGGGGGAGGGGGGCGGACCCCCTCCCCACAAGAAAGTCTACCCCCGAACGAAATGGAATTCATATAGAAAATATATACTTTTAACAGTGACCGCCCCCGCCCCCTGGAAATTTTTGTCTGCCCCCCCCCCCTCCGAAAATGTCAAGTGCCCCCCCCCCCCCCCCCCGGGGAGAAAAAAAAGTCTGGAAGAAACACTACTAATATATACAACCAGTGTTATGCAGTGTAGACTAGTTGGGGGTAGACTTTCCTACATTGGTAACATTATTATAATTAAAATCGAGAACATGGCAAAAAAAAATAATTTTATCAGTTTGCGATAAAAATTGAGAACTACTGAAAGTAGTGAAAGTCTAAATCATGCATTACTTTTTTTACAACTGCAAAAATTACTAGTCTAGATCTAGGTCAAGGGAGGCTACTTTGAAAATTTACTACTGTCTACAACCATAGCAACAAACGTTTCCTGCACCAAATGTTTTGATCATTTGAGAATAACAAATAATTGAACTATCATAAAGTGAAATATTTATTACAACGATGGAGAATATTCTTACTAGATATAGAAGGAACACAACATTAACAAATGATGGACGTAATGAAATAAGAATTAACAATTCAGCAGGACGATGTATGCTAGAGAACTGGGTAGAAGAAGTAAGTCTTCTACTACTACTACTAGTACAAGACACTAGAAGTTCTACTCTAGTCTTCTGTCTAGTCACCTAGTGTCTTCTAATTCTATTTCATTTCTAGTAATTACAAATTAGATCTAGATTTCTAGATCTAGTAAATCAAATAGTGGAATTTAAAAATCCACCGTAAATAAATAAATATTAATTTAGTAAAGAAGGTAAACTAAAATATTATTTATTATTAGGAATTTTAAATTTATTAGGACCAACAACTATGTTACTATTATTAAGTATATTTTAGTATAGTGATAGTATAAATTAATTATTTTTATTAAAATTAAATATTGTCATATTACTGTCATTACCACCACTTTATTAAGTAAGTTAAATTATTAAGTTATTAAATTATTTATTAGTTTTAAAACTGTAAGAAAAAGTTGCTTATGATTAATACAAATGTCGCTATGCTAAAGTAGTGTTATTGATGTATCATTTTTTTTTTCAAATTTTAAGCGGGCAAACTTGGGCCGTGATCCAGCTTTGGATAGAGAATACAATATGAAAGAGCGGGCAATATTTTTAAGAAGTGGACATTCTGGTCTTTTAACAACTGATGACAAGGCAAAAGCAGAAAACCTTACCACAGTTAGAGCCACATACACCCCTCCAAAAGTTGATAAAACAAGAACAGTTGGTAGGAAAAGAATGCTTGCATATTTATAGTCATAGATCTTCAAATAGCTTAGAATGCATCAACCTAAACTAATGTTTTGTATACATCTGTCTATCAACCACCAATGCCAGAACAGAATCCATATACATATTTCTGATGACAAATTAAATGAGCTTTTATTTTTATCTTTGTTTTTAAGTCATAAATTTCAATAAATTAGGCTGTAAATAAAAATTGCAATATTAATTTGTCAACAAAAAATAAATTCTTAAAAAAAAGAAAAAGTCACATTTTTGTGTACAACACATTTCTTACATAATGTTTGTAGTTTTTTAGTGGAGCATAATGCAACAACAATTTCACTACATTATACATACTACAATTCTGAAATTTGTGATAAAATTGTGTTTTAATAGACACTTTTTAAAAAATCCCTAAAGTTAGAAGAAAAAAAGGAATTGGAGAAATACTTTCTATGCATGACTCTTGACATTAACTACTCATCTATAACAGGTGCTCGTAAAGAAATGATGGAACAAGCATTATCAAAGATTGCTTGGTAATCAAATATTTCAGCTTTCAAATTTAATTCTTTGTTCACCTTAACAAATTTTTTAAAAAATTGTTGAAGTTTAATTTTTCTTTTGATGAATTTTTATGGCACTTGCTTAAAAACCTTAAATCTTTTTAGTGAAGATATGGTTCGGGATAAGAAAGAGAAGGAAATCATAGATAGAGGCGAGCCAATGTGTTCAATTTTTATGCAAGACTACACCAAAGATTTTCCACGCTTGGAGCCTGAACAGACCAAGGTAAATGATCACCAAATGCAAGGGCAGAAAAAATTGGCCTGCAGATTTTTAGTCCACCATTAATTTTATAATGCTAACACTAAAACAACTATAAACTAAAAGCTTTTTGAAAACTTGAATAGTTTTTCTACTTTAACAAAACATTCAGGCTTAACTTATTCTATAGTTATTCATAAATTTACGTTATAGGAGAAAACATTATTTTGGGGCGAAATTGAATTTGTGCCTTAAAATGTTTAGTTTACATGTTACTAGATAAATTTTCACTTAGAGTAAGACACATTTCTGCTTGCATCTGACTCACGCCATATTACAGATCCCACTGATAGGAAATACTTACACTTGGGTTATTTGGGAGTGTCAAGTGATTCCCCCCCCCCCTTTTTTTTTCTCTCTAAAATGACACAAATGTCTTTGGCCAAACATGTCTTATAAATGTTTTAAAACCAGTCTATAGAATTTAAATTTACCATAACAGAATTTTTTTTAATGATTGGTGTTTGACCAAATATATATCAGCATATCAAAATGTTTTGTAAATATTTTTCTAAAATTAAAAAGTTGATTGCTTTAATCTTTACACCGGCCACCTTTGAGTTTTCCAAAACTTGTATTAATGTACTGTTTTACTTAATGACTTTTGACATAATTGTAATGTTTAAGTACAAACTTACTACATATCTTTCATTTTGTAAATGACAAGCTAATAAATCATCTATTTTAAAAATAGGACCATGATTATGTTAATGATCAACCAGTAACTTTTTGGTCTGAGCATAAGGACAGAATGCATGTGAGTACTCTACTGCTAATTAATATGAAAACCTATGTAGTTGACAATACTCTTTTTGAAAATTCAATAATGTGAAAAAAAATTTCAGGGTATGACCCAAACAAAAACAAGAGATTCTGCATTTAGACGGAATGATGCTTTCAGCAAACCTATAGGTGAATACTGGGATGAGCCCAAGCCTACTGAATTTGACAAATATCCAATGATGTAATATACAGAATAGATTTTTAGAAAAAAATGGGAAAATTTTTATATATATATAACAGGGAAAATTACATTGTGTATTATAATCACCAAGAAGTAAATATTAATTCATAATAAGCCTCATTGTTTATTCTATTTAAGGTTTTAGAAAAACTTAAAAATATTTTTTCTTTAAATAGTAATGTGGTTCAAAATAAATGCATACAATTGGTTTTTATATGGGAAGATGTATGAATTTTTAAATTATTATTTATCATGTGCTATATTGCTATTTATACTTATTCTAAATAAAGCCTGAAAAACATTACCACCTAACAAACTTTTCTTCAGTGTTTATAAATGAAAGAATTTTCAGTGTTGGATATATTTCAATATTTTCAATCAGCACTTATGCAATGGTCTCTGAGTCATAAGTATGAAACATGTTCATGTGCCTATGTTATTGGTTATCTTAATTGTAATAAAATAAAGTAACAAATTTTAACAATAATAGGCATTTATTACAAAGAAAAATATTCATTAGTGAAATGAGAAATCTGTACAATGGATGGACACCATCTACCTCCGCCGCCTGTCATCTTTCCTTGACCTTAAAAAAATTGTATAAAAGCATTAAAGCATAAAACCTATAGAAAAAACACAAACATTTAACCCCGCTATCAAACTTTTAAAAAAAAATATTTTCCAAAGAAATACAATCTTACCTGTCTTTTCTTGGACCTCGAACAAAAGCCCAATCCACATTTATTTTCTGACCCAAAATTTCTTTGCCATTTAGAGCATCCATTGCACCCTGAGCTTCTTTAAATGTTTCATACTCAACTAAAGCATAACCCTTGAAAATGAAAGTAAAAATACATTTAAACAAAAATCACCAGACACAATATAAATTGTCTAAAAGTAAAGGCCTTTGGATTATTGTAGTGTAATGTACATCATGAAAAGCATAATTATTGTTTTGTAGTAAAAAGGGCTTGGAGTGGTGTGGGGGGAAGCAATGAAGAACAGCAATAACTTCGTGTTATTAAACCTAGTTAGGCAAGATCACAGATAACTTGAAGCCTTTGAGTAGTTTATATTACTATGGCAACATTATACAAGAGCTGTAAATAAAGTTGAAAAATTATTTGGTTACTCTCATGCTGAACACACATTTTGTGTGTAATTACAAAATACTAACTTTTTTTTGTTAGAAGGGTTAGTTAATATAATAGTGGACTAAAGCTTTACCATGACATTCTAATGATAAATTAAGTCAATCCATTTTAAATAGATCAACTTTAGCAGTTAGTTAGCTTTAGCCACATGTTTATCTTTCTAAATTATGAGAGATTTCACAGCAGTCATTCTTACAGTAATAAAAAAATAAAGATTACCTTGAGAAAGCCTGTGCGTCTGTCAAGATTTAAGTGTAAGTTTTTAATTTCCCCATATTCTCCAAATTTTTCATAAATATCATCTTCCTGTGATTCTTCATGTACACCAGTGACAAAAAGGATCCACCCTTCTACAGCTGTGTTATATTATTAAAAAAAAAGTTGAATATTTAACATTTCCCTAATTTTTTGTTAGCATAGAAAGCAGTGCATTACAATAGGAAAAAGTTATATTTATAAATAATCTGCTGCAGAAATGGTCTTACATCTTTGTGGTCCAGGCCCTTCAGACTCATCGTAATCCACTTCCATACCCTCATAATGATCAACACCACTTCGTGTTGGTCCCTCTATAAAGTGATAAAAGAAATTATTATTGAACTAAATGCAGTCTTACAAGTTATATGAAAAATATTCTAGGTTCTTATGAACTTCAAATTTTAATGCATATAACACAAGACAAATAGAAGATAACGTTTTCTAATCAAAATTCTGACAGCATACCAGTATATTTAAGTAAGGTAGTACTGATGCTATCAAAGGGTTAAAATAAACATAACAGGTCTTAACAAAAACTCATTATCTTAATAAAAATAGATAGGTTGCTAGTATTTTACAGCTTAATTCACTGGGGGAAGGGGAGAGCAAGGAGAGAGAAACAGAAAGTGGAAAAAAAGTGAAAGCATCTTAGAGTTTATAACATAGAACCTACCATAAACTAAAAGGCAAGCTTATATTATATAATCAGATACATACCTCCACCGAAGCCTCTGCCTTTGCGTTTCTTTGCTTTTTCTTTCAACTTTTGAAGACCTTCTATAATATTAAACAATTATTATACTCATGCCAAAATAAAGTTTCAGCTGACCAATATGACTTTTTATTTGATTGGTAAAAATCATATTAGTATTATTGGCCTTAATTCATTGGGCCTAAATTATTAAAAAAAAAAAGCTATAGGCCTATATCTTTGTTTAAAATTTTTGGTGATTAAGTGCAGAGCTATAAATGCTGTATTTTTGGCACAGCTTCTCCAATCAAGCTGTCTTAAGTTTTAAGAGATGATTTCTGCTAAATTTTACTGCACCCAAAATTCATTTCTATAGGGCCGTAGTAGGCGTAGGCCTAATCAGTAAAACTCCATTTTAGCGTATTTTATATTTGCGCTTCATGTTCACCTCCGGTTGAGCGTATTTTATTATAACACAACTGAAACACAAAAACATTAGGAAAACACTAGGATTAGTGCTAGATCTACTTATTTTTTCATGAATGTGAGTTTTAATTAGAAAAGGTAAAAAAAAAACAACATAAAAAAGCATTAGGACAGTTCAAACATATATTGTGTGATCGTCAGCAGGAGAAAAATCCCTACACTGTTGAAGGTTCACCGCAAGTTCATATTGACTTTAATTATCAGCATATGTCATAGCTTGGGCAATAGCTATTTGAAATGATGTTGGCCTCAGTATTGGGGTCAATGTGCGTTCATAAAAGTTTATTTAGGTCTATAGTATCATGCGTGGGAGATACTTGTAACAATACAAACTTAACCGCCTTGCAATCGCAAGTTTTGTACTTCACCCCTTGCCATGAATATCTTAACTGACACACGAACATAGCACATGACATTCATCAATATTTCAAATTTGGATTTTTCTCAAGATTTGACAAAAGTAAATTATTAAAACTAAAACAAAACTTCATAAAGAAATAAGCCCAATGTTTTCCAACTGTGTTTTTCTGTTGTGCTTATAATAAAATACGTTGGAGGTTAACGTGAAGCGGGGAATAAAATACTTTAAAATACGATAAAATTAAAATTGTTTTAAAAGTTTAGTTTTACTAAAAAAAAACTTTTACCAGCCTAACTTTAGTAATGATTGATCAATTTCTTTCTGACTTATTTCCCACAAATACTTCTTCTCACTTACACAAGTAACAACAACACAGAATCTAAGGCAATGAAGACAAGTTTAAAACCAAATTATTTAAATAATTTTGTGGCCCTGGCTGAAGTCAGTGACTGACTGACTGAGTGAGCCAGCAGTGTGACTAGCTGAACGAGATCGATAATGCTTGCATTAGCTCGACTATCTCGTATTCGTAAAATAGATATAGACTCTACTTGAGAATAGCATACTTAATAAGTTTTCAATGTTATTAATTGCTACTTACGATCGCCTTCCTCGTCAATTTCAAAGTCTTCTTCATCTTCCTTAGTCACAAGTAAAACGTCAGCCATTTTCTTTCTCTTAGCGTGAAACTGTGGCTTGTCGTTAGTCAAGTCGAGTTTCAGAGACTAACGCGCACAGCTCATTTTGCAACATTTTTCTAAAATTATATTTTTTTTAGGAAACAATACAGGGGTTCCCAATATTTTGTGTAGGGTACAGCTAAGCAAATCAAAGTTTTAAAATTATGGTTTTTAAAAGAGACGTTAAATTTTTTCAGAGCACGCTGTTGTAATATTGTTATTTAATCAATCAATTAACAACTTTATTGGCTACGCCTTAATAAAGGATTAAAAGAAAATGATTATCAACTATTCAAATGTAACGGGGTCATCCAGAAATGACATAAGTGATTTGGCTGTTTTTATACCCCCCCCCTACGATATCGTCAGTAAAATAACGTCCCACTTCAGCATATCCAATCCACTAAATATAAATAGTAGTAGAATAATATAAGAGAAAAGAAAATGTGGCGGATAAGGCACACCCAGAAAAGCAGTTAATAACTGTAAACAGTACTAGACAGCTGCTGGTGTGGAGTTAACATGGAAAGAGTAGGAGGGAAGGACAAAAAGAGGTCTTTGGGGAAATCGTTTGAAAGAGACTGGTTAATTGACGAAGTGTTTCCTCTTTAGGAAGCTGACAGAAATAAAAAGATGATGTTCAAAAGGTGATTCGAAGAAGAGGCAGACAAATTTAGTTTAAGTAGTACATTACTTTTATGGATTGTCAGAATAATAGCAGTTGATTATCAAAGCAGTTGCATTCGTATGTTGTACCGTGGCCAGGCGGTGTAACTCGTTTAGTTGGCTTCACTTGGTATAGTGGCCTTAACTATAGGAAAATTGCAGTACTAGGGGGTTATGCAACAATCAAACTTTCATCTCCTAGGTAAAATTTACTAATTTTATAGTAAAATCGATTTATTTAATAATTTGAAGTATAGAAAAACTATTTTTCATAAGTTCTTAAAATTTCGACCTTTACAGCTTCACCTTCCACTCCACCCGTTATGACCGTCGACCCCGTGCTACTTCAGATAGCCAGCATTCGTGAAGTTTATTTTATTTTAATACAATGGATCCAGGCAAGATGTATTGCAATCAAGTAAAAGTTACGTTGAAGTTGATAAAAATGTTACTTTTAACTACATATACAAAGAACAGTAATCGCGTCATTTTTAACAATAATGGCTGGAGAAATCGTACATATATTAATGCATTAATACTTATAATACAATAATTATTGGTTTCTTTTAAAAGTGTTAAACTGTTAAACGATTTAACTACTCAACAATCCGGTATGAATCTTTCCGGTTTACGTTGGCAAAAATAAAAACGATCCCTTAACTTTCAAAACGTTGGTGAACGTTTTTTTTTAAAGGTCACGGTACTGACTATTAATGGTAGGCCGTATTTGCTTTACTAATACACAATCAGGGTTAAAAACATTTAAATCGGCATGTAGAGCCTTCTAGTCTTATTTTCTTAACTTAGACTGTGTGTAACTCAATACTGCAGTTCGTTCAAAATGAGCTTTGTATTTTTGTCCTACCCATTTTAGCGCCCCGTAAGAGTCCGAGCCCGGGGTGACCGCCATACACAGTTTGCTACTGTCAAGTTATAGTGTTCATATACACAGACACCTAGATTCTAGACAAGATTCAAGATTGCAAATATAAGTTTTTCTGACCCATGAAGGTGTAAAACGTGATTAGTCAAACCTCTATTTTCACATAATTCTACATACGAGAAAGTAAAAACGTGTTGACAGTGGCGTCGCTAGGTCGGGTGTCGCCCGGTGCGGCACTTCGTGTGTGTGTGTGTATCGGCCTATATAGGCCTATAATTTAAATATATGCCACATACGCGTATTTGTATGCTTATAAGCTTTAATCACTACAGAAGTAATAGTAACGATGTTTATCTATAGAATGTTAATATAGTTAGATGTAGCATTGTTTTCTCTAGTTTAGTACGATTACATCATGGTGCCACCACTACCCCCTTGTTATAATTGTCGATTTGTAATTAAAAGACTAGTTAACAATAATTAATTATTGATTAAACTGTCAAAAAAGCATTTTTCTTCAGTAAATTTTGCCATTTTTTTGCCTTGGTGTCACCCCCCCCCCTACTTGGTGTCACCCGGTTTGGCCCGCACCCCCCGCCCCATTCTCGCTACGCCTCTGCGTGTTGACATTTAAGGGTGCCCATAGAAAAATAAAAAAAACCCAATAAGGATTGGTATGGCACTTCTGGTGCAATCTAATACTAATTTTTGAAAATTCGCCCCCCCCCCCCAAACTTAAATGTTACTCAAGTTATAACCTTTTAAGAAACCGGACTAAAAAGTTGACAGAATAGGCCTACTACTAATTTGTTAGATCTATATTTATATATGAAATTTCTTCAGACTAAGTGAAACGGTACTCAAGACAGGATTGCAAAACTAATTTTTTTCCGGCTCCCGAAGGTTGTAAAAAGTCAAACTATGTCAGTTCATTAAAAAGAAAATACATTATTTATATTATGTATTTGAGAAAGGCAAAGGCATCATTTTTGCACTGGTATCACCCCCTAAATGTTGTCACTCGGTGCGGTCCTCTTCCTCCCTTCCAGAGGCGTAGCGACCCTTCCCGGTGCCCGGGGACAAACTTTCAATTTGACGCCCCCTCGGGAGCAAATTTTCAAGTTGCACCCCCCTCAACTTTTTGATTTGCACCCCCCCCTCAACATTTCGATTTACACCCCCTCCCTCAAACTTTCGATTTGCCCCCCCCCCTTCAAAAATGCAGCTAAATTGACATTTTAATTTGTTTTTACAACCCGTTTTGGCGCCCCCTAAGGTCGGCGCCCGGGGACATATGTTCCCCCTGCCCCCTCATCGCTACGCCTCTGCTCCCTACTCTCTCTTGACTCTCATTGTCACACTACAATGCAAGCAGTAGAAAACTGTTAACCATAACATTACAAACACATACATTTATGTTAGGCTAGGCCTAGGCTAGGCTAGCCCATTTCATCAAGTAAAACTCAAAGCAAAGGGGAAACTACTCTTCTTTATTTACCTCGAAATCTGATTGGCTTAAATGAAATCGAGGTCAAATTTTGAATTCAATACCTGCAAACTTAGTTTCTATAGTAAACTTGAAGTAAACTATTTTACTTGTTAACAATAGAGATAAATTTATTGTTCTACACTCCATTGATAACATTAAAATGTCTGTCAGTGGAAAAGCAAAACCAGACACGAAGGAAAAAAACCAGAACATCCATGTGGCTGTGAGATGCAGGTAATTTTGTTTTTTAAATTAAGTCGGGCTGCCGCTAAAGCGGCTAAGTATAACAGTATAACAGGACAGCTGGGGTCAGTTCAGATCTGAGATACAGTGACATCAGATCAGTCAGTGTGGTGGATTATAGATCTAGATTCTTGAAATAGATCTAGATTCTAGATACCATATTTCAATCTATTCGTGTTCGAAAAATACGAGGAATCAATAATATAATGATTTAAATTAATACTGCCTAATCATTCTCTCACATGCCCAAGCCAAAAAAAAACAACAAAAAACCCACAAAACAGCACATTGAATGCTAGATCTAGTTACTAGATCTAGATCTCTAGTAGTTACCTCATCCTCGGAAGCTAGCAAATGGCGGCACAGAGAAAGAAACAGCCACCAGAATAGCAATGGCAGCATAGGCTTTCAACAGACTTGCTAAGATTTGGAAATCATCCTCAATGCAGCAGATAACCAAATATAATGGACTCCACCTGGAAAACGAAAGATAGAAAGACCATTAGGAAAATGGAGGAGAGAGATGGAAGAAGAAGTGCAGGCTACTGGCAAGACATGGCATGAATTGAAATGGCTCGCCTATAACAGTGGAAGGGTGTGGGGAAATTGCGAGACGCGAAAAGCGAAATGGCGAGGCGGGAAAATGCGAGAAGGGCGCGAAAACGGTCGGTCACGTGACTTTTTTGTCTCGCATTTTACCACAAGCCGATACTTACGCTGGGTGGTGTTGAAATGCGAAGATTTCTGCGAAAAATTTACCGCACCCGATTTTCAGTGGTATTTGGTCCAGACTTCAAAAACGTTTCGTTTACATTGTTAAAACTTCCGATTTTTCCGTCGCTAGACATACTGATGATTTGTCAACTCCCCCAATCTTTTGTGTCGACTTAGAATACCACCTTGTTCGAAACCGACGGAAATACCGCCGACGATAGATCAACTTCTGTCTTTTGTGTGGAACACCGAGGCCGCCTGATTTACCGTCTTTGGAGATCGCCGTGCCCGGATCCGCTGCCGCCGCAAACATATTTTCTATTGTTGCATAGACATAGCCGCCGCCTACGATTTTTTTCTAGCTTTTTTTACCATATAAATCTAAGCACAAGGAAATGCCTACATCATTTGGATACAACAAAATAAAGTGACGTCACCGATATTATCAGTTGCTTGTGCTATATCGTAAGCTATGAGCCTACTTCAAATATTTTTAGAACCAAGTTGAACTTATCTGAATTTTTTGGTTTTGGTGGTGGTGTTATTTGGGGTCTTCCATAAATGACGTCACACTCGTAGGGGGGGGGGGGTCTGTAATTTTATGACGATGTATGATGAGGGGGAGGGTTAGATGTGAAGTCACACTATAAAAAAGCAATGTTAGAAAAAGAATTTTAGACGTTTTTTCGCGTTTTAGAAAACTGTTTTAATACATTGTAATAGGAATTGATTAAAATACTCAATTTTGACTGAAATTAGACAAGATTTTGGGAAAATATCGATGTTTTAAAAAAACTCAACTGCTGGTGACAACAATGAGTAAGACATTGCCAAAATTACAGAAATGATAAAAAATACAAATTATAAAAAACGGAAAACAGATGTTGAGCGTGCGGATGATGATGATGAGAACATGGGTGCCAGTGTTGTTTGTGGGATGAACGAGGAGGTCAACTGTGATGAGAATGTGAAATGTTGTGAATGTGGATTGGAAGAAGTAGCAAAAGAAAAATATATGAATGGGAGTCTAATGAACTGGGTTGGGTGTACTATGTGTGAAAGATGGTGTCACGAGGTGTGTTTGAGGACTGTTTCAGAAGATTTTGTTTGTAAATTTTGTTTGTAATTAAAATTACTTAATAAAAAAATAAATTGCACTTTTTAGAATTGTTTAAACTTTTACACTTTTTGCAAGCACAAAAATCCATAAATAGATGTTGCAAAATATCTCTCCTGCTGACAAGATTATACCAATTCACAATGACACAGCTCACGTTTGTATAAACATGAACGGGCTAGATTTTTAAATTAATGCCGACTGAGACGGGATTTTCCTCTCGCTAACAAGAGCGGGCGATGACAGTAGCACAGCAACGATGTTAGGATTTTTAAATAGATAGATCTAGATATAGATCTATCTATCTTCTTAGTATCTAGATAAAAAATGACAACATACAACACTCGTGTTAAAGGGTATGGTTAAATGCTTGTTTATTTTAAAAATATTTTAAAAAATAATTGAAATAAATAAAGATGGAAAAAAAAAGGAAAAAACTTTTTTCGCAAAAAGTGTCTCGCTATTTACCCTTAATTCCGCAGGTATGTCTCGCATTACATTCTCGCATTTTCCCGCCTCGCCATTTCGCTTTTCGCGTCTCGCAATTTCCCCACACCCACAGTGGAATGGTGATTTGTTGCTGTCCTATACTCCACAGGGAGTGATGAGGGTTAAGTAATCATAATGGTAGTGATTACGAAGTGATAAGACTACTCAGAAAAAAAGGTTTTTCCTCCAAGTGCTCTCTGGGCAGCAAAAGATGCAAACAAAATTATCTAAATATCTGCACATTGGGCTCAAATTAAGTACTAATAGGCCTAATATCAATAGCTGCACAAATGAACTCAATTTTTCTTTTATAGCTCCGCAATCAGATAAATTACTCAATTAGCTTTATTCTTCTTACAAAACTATCTGTACCATGTGGTTGAGCAGTTGCACTTGGGACGTGTCATCAGGGGTTGAGGGTTTATAATATATAGTAGGCCTATATTTAGCAAAGCGTTCTAGTCTATAATGTTTAACTTAAGTCTCACAACGCATAGTCTTAGAGTCTAGGATTTTAGATGAAATAGATAGGCATGCCTAGTAAATTATGAATAAATATTATCAAATATCCTGTCATCTGAAGTGCCTGCACAAATTTTATGTTGTGTCATACTGATAGAGGAACAGAATATTCACAAATTGTTGTACTAGTAGACTTTCTCCATTGCCATGCTCTAATGTTTAAATATATATTGCAGACCTATTAACAGCATAGAAAAGAAGCAAGCAAGCTGCTCAGTTCTCAGTTGTGATCGTATTAAAAAAGAAGTGACAGTCAAAGAAAGAACCGGAATTCATCCATACACCAAAACGTACAACTTTGATCATGTGTTCCCACCAGACTCAGAGCAGATTGATGTGTACAAATCTGTTGTCATGCCAGTGGTTGAAGAAGTTCTTGCTGGATATAATTGTACGATCTTTGCGTAAGTGAATATCTCAATCAATAAAGAATATTGAACTTGAATTGCATTACATTCAACTACTGTAGCAAGCATTTACAGTTTATAAATATAGGCCTAAAAACACTTGTTCCATATCTGAGGTTAATCCAAACAAAAATGATGATCCATATTCAAGTTATTGTTTTGTTTTATTTTACAAACTCTGTTGATCACAAATTTGTCCTTTTGTGGTCTAACTAGATCTAGACTTTCTTGTTTTTTTTCTTCAAATTAAATCATATGGTACTTGTTTTATTAAGCTTTAGATTTTCCATTAGCTTTGTACCAACAATGCACATGTAAATTATAAACCCCCCATGTTTTAAAGATATGGACAAACTGGAACTGGTAAAACTTTCACAATGGAGGGAGAAAGAAGTGAGAATTCACAGTTGACATGGGAAGAAGATCCATTGTCTGGAATAATCCCTAGAGCACTCCACCAAATTTTTGAAGATCTTCAAAACCAGGTTTTGAAAATTTTACAATAAAGTTATTAATTTGTTTAAAAAATAAACTTAAGTTACTTGTTATTAAAGCATTTATAATGTGCAAGATTACTACATCTATATATTATGTTAAATGTCAACACTGCATTATATTACATATCCAATTATTGAGAATTACTTGAGAGCTTGTTTTTAATGTACAGATATATTGATTTTATTTTCAGAATGCTTTTTTTAATTAGACTAACCTGTTTTTAGAGTTAACTGAAATTTACAAGGATAAATCATTTTTATTTTTAGACTGATGTTGAGTTTTCCATAAGAGTATCATTTCTTGAACTTTACAATGAAGAATTGTTTGATTTGCTTGGCTCAAGTATTGATCCTCTCAGACTACGTATTTATGAAGACAATACAAAGAAAGTAAGTACAAATTATTTTTGACATTACACATACTTATACAGTTCATATACATATATATATTTCTGTCAATTTTTGAATTGTAACCTTTATGTGAAAATTTTTTATCTGTATTGCTCCTTATTAATTTAACATTTAAACTCGTTAAGGGTTCAGTCATCATCTCTGGCCTGGAAGAAGTTGTGGTAAGATCTAAAGATGAAGTGTTTGAGATACTTCAACGAGGCACTGCCAAAAGACAGACTGCAGCAACTCTCATGAATGCTGTTTCTAGGTATAAAAAAAAAAAGTTAAATTGAAATAAAAGTAAACAGATATTTTTAAAATTTCGTTTGATTTGATAAAATATATGCATGTTTAAGATATTAAATAAAAGTCTGTTTTATATTCAGCAGTATGCTTTGTGAGTGAGTATATTATAATTCTGTTTCATTCCTTAAAATGTTTTCTTTTTATTCACAAATTTTAGCCGATCTCATTCAGTATTTTCTGTAACAATTCACATCAAAGAAAACACTATGGATGGGGAGGAACTTCTTAAAACAGGGAAGCTTTATTTGGTAGGTTTGCTTAATGTTTACAATCCATTTCTAGACACATTCAGATAAAAGTTTTTAATATTATGAGCTGTGAATGACAGTTTGTTGTTTTTGTTGGTTTAAGATTTAATGAGTATTAACTTTGCTATCCTTGGAATATAGGTAGATCTTGCTGGTTCAGAAAACATTGGGAGATCTGGGGCTGTGGACAAACGGGCTCGAGAAGCTGGTGAGTATGGGTGGTTCCATGTAAATGGTCTCTATGCAAATGTTAACAAATGTGCTTTGTAACAGGTACATGTATGTACTGTGCTAAGTCTGTTCTGTAAAGCTGCTGGTGCCCTGGCTATCAGAACTCTAGAAAAATACATTTTTATATTTGTGTTATTTTAACACTAAAGTCACGTTTGTGCCATTTCATTTTAGGCAACATCAATCAGTCCCTGCTTACGCTAGGACGTGTGATAACAGCTTTAGTTGAGAAAGCTCCTCATGTTCCATACAGGTAGGCTAAAATACTTTCTATTTCCTGTGACAGTCTTCAATGTTTTACATTTGAGAATCTTTTCATGAAGATTAGCATTGTATGAAACAGATTGTTTTATAATTCAGAGAAAGTAAATTGACAAGACTTTTGCAAGATTCTCTTGGTGGACGAACTAAGACATCAATTATTGCAACTATTTCCCCTGCATCTTGTAATTTGGAGGTAGGGATGCTATTTTTGTATCAAGCATTTTAGTGATTTTTTAGAGATTTATGTAGCTATATTTTAGCTATATTTCTTTCCATTTTCTAGGAAACTCTGAGTACATTAGATTATGCTTTTAGAGCTAAAAACATCACTAACAGGCCAGAAGTCAACCAGAAACTTACTAAAAAGGCATTGCTTAGGGTGAGCAAAGTTTAAAAAATAATCTAATGTTTATGTTTTCAGCAGTTTTGTCGTTTTATCATTTTTAACTTATTTATCTTTTAAAGTCTTTTGTTTCATTTTTATAGGAGTACAATGAGGAAATTGAACGTCTGCGCAGAGATCTACAAGCATGTAGGGAGAAAAATGGCATTTATGTGGCTGAAGAGAATTATGTGTAAGTAAAAATTAAATTTATTCATGGTATTTAGAAAACTCCTCAGTGTTCTCTTGAGACACTAATTTTTCTAGCTGTAAACCAAAAATACTGCGAAATGATTTGTGTGGTATTCATAGACCAGGAAGTGAAAATATTGTTTACCCCCCCTGAGTTGCGTGTAGTTTTTTTATAGGAATATTTTTAATGAGTTAGAATGCCTTTCGCAATAGATATGTGGAAAGAATGGACACTATGTGATTAAAAACCCATGAATTTATTATTCAGCTACAAGTTATACATATATATATATTTATAAATAACGTGCTTACATTTTACAGGGCTATGCACAATAAAATTAGTCAGCAAGAAGAGGCCATCCAAGAAATGGAAGAAAACATAGAATGTCTCAAGCTAGAAATGAAGAATGTGAGAATCCGTAGTACTTTTTGTCTTTTTCAGATTAATACTGTATAGATATTAAGTTTATACATTCTTTTCATACCATTTTGACTTGCACAAATATATATTTTTAAAATGTTGTGCAGCTGTCAGAAATGTTCACCGAGACCAAAGAAGAATTAAAGGTCACATCAGAAAACTTGACAAAAACCACACAGCATCTGGAGGTGACCACCGAGAAACTGAAAGAAACAAGTGAGGAACTGGTTACAACAAAACAGGATCGTGATGAGCAGAAATATCTGGTGGAAGAGCATACCAAAAATGAAGAAACTTTGTTCACACAGGCACAAGAAGTGAGTTGTATAATCAATATCCCTCCTTTTGATAAATAATTGTGTTCCACAACAAAAAGCAATTTTGCTAAAATTCTTTACACCTTTTTTTTAGCTGCTTAAAACAACTCAAACAACTATTTCTGATGTTAGTGGGCTCCATAGCAAAATAGACAGGAAAAAGGCTGTAGAGCAACATAATGAGCATGAGGCCTCAAGCTTCAGTGAAAATATGAACCAGCATCTCACTTGTGTGCAAGATTTCATCACAAAAATGCATCATGAAGCTACAGAGCTGAATGTAAATGCCTGCTCTCAGATTGGTAAGTTTGTGTTGAGTAAGTCTTAATCATATCGGTTTTATGTAGCATTGTTACTTTTTTCTTTTTTATACATCACTTTTTAAAAGTATGAAATTCTTTGCTCTTAAAGATGCCATTGCTAATCAATACAAGAAAGAGTTTTTGAGCACAAGGCAAAGTGTAGACAGTTTTACCAGCTTAATGCACAAAGACTTGGCTGATGCTATGAAACAACACGAAAAGTTTACAAACAAAGGCTTGCAATGGGAGGCAGCAACTAAAAGCTCTTTTAATCAGTTCCAGGTAAATTTACCTAGAAAAAAAGCTTCATTTAAACATAACTTCAGTTTTATTTGCTATATTATTATATAATGCAAGGGGATTAAATTGTCCACACTTCTACCAGATGTAGGTTATATGTTCTATTGGTTTCAAGAATCCTGACATGATGGCATTTTTTTAGTCCACTGTTGTGTTCTTTTTATCTTCAGGAAAAAGCAAAGGCATATTATCAAAGTGTGCAGAATGAGATGTCTGGAAAACTAAAAGAAATTCAGCAAGATTATCGTGAACAAAGTAATCTGTTATCTGAACTAAATGGAGTTTTATGGAAACAGGTAATTGGAACATTTTGATTATTATGTTATCATTTATTTTTATTGAGTGGATTGCAAGTTTACTGTGTTCATGCTATAATATGTCATCATTTTTTCAAAGCATGTCTGCATTAGTTATTTGTCTTTTTGAAAAAGGAATATTGGCAAAGAAACTAAGATTTTTTTCAAAGTATTTTAATATTCATACAATATTGATTGTGCCCTTTGACAGAAAGAAGAAATGTATATCAACTTGACAAAATGTCATGCTGAAATAATCAACTACTTGGGTAAAATAGTATCTAGCAGCCACCAGCATATTGAAGAGTTAAACAGGCAGAATGCAGCAATGAAAGAATATCTGAAGGAAGCATCAGACCAAGAGACTCTCTTAGAGGAGGTATTTACCTTAATATTAGCTGGTGAATGGCCATTAAAAATTGACTTTTTAAATGATTTTAAATTTGAAAGTCTTTGAAAAGACTAGCTTTAAATTGGATTATTTCGTTGAAAAAATTTTTTTTTAAATTTTGCAGAAGGTTCTAGAACTATTTGCCTTGAGAAGAAAGGCTTACAATGAAACTATAGAGAAAGTAGGTTTTAATATTTTGTCTTCAAGTTTACTTACTAACATTGGTTACTGTAACTTCATCGGTTTTTTAACCAAAAATGTTTGTTTTTTAAATTACTTTAATTAGGATTTCCTTTTTTTTTGTAGTTTTGATGTCACAAAAAAGTGACGCCATAATCAAATCTGAACTAAGTTATAGCTTTATTCTTGTTTAATTTAATAATCCAAATTCTCTTTCCTGTCATTTTATATTTTAAAATAGTTCAACCAAGCTTATAATGAGTTGAATTCTTTTTGTTTTAGCACTGTTAAAATTTTTTATTTTTTTCTAGGCCAAGAAGCATGTTGATACACATGTCAACAGTAACACAGCATACAGCTCAGAACTGAAAAGGTTAGTAACTTTTTACATCTATTTTTATTAGAAACTTGTTTCCAAGTTTTACTCTGCTTTTGAGAAGCTATTCCAATTATTTAATTTCAAGAATTTTGTGATAAAAATAATTAAACTTTTATGTAGAATCTTAAATATTCAAATTAATGAAGGATTAAATCTAATGGGAAAATGTCTGGGATTTAGATTTTACAGTATATTTAGTTAATAATATTTAATTGCTAAATTGAATCTACAGAAATTAATGTGCCATCAATGGGTGTTTATTTCCATAACACCTTTCTATGTAAAAACAAAGAATATTATCGGTTACATAAAACCCTAACTCAACTCAGCATCTTAAAATGCCTTTATTGATGCACATTAATATTTTTACCATTTTAATTTGTTCTCTTTTTACATTTTCAACATAGTTTCTAACAAGACATAATTAAAGATTTTCTTTTCTTTTTAAAAAGACAAGAAGATGAGCTGACTAATTATATGGAGTCACAGCTGAAGAATTTACAAGACAATGTCCTTACAAATGTAGAGGCTAATTCAGTGGTGGTAATAAAGGTATGACTCAAACTTATTTTTGTGGTAATTTATTAAAAATTTCTTTACCAATGTGGCTAAATTCTAAATATTTATTGTTGTTATTTAATCAATTTTACAAAAATATTCTTTAATATTATTGCATGTTAATCAGTTTATTAAATTTTGTTGTTGTAATTCTTTGTTCTCAGGCTTCCAAGGTTCTGGAGCAGAGAGATGAAGTGTTCCCTTGGACAATGAACAAAGCAGAAGAAGCTGTGCAACAAAACAATATGGTTAGAATTTTTTTAAATTGGTTTTTCAACATACTGTTAACACTGGAAGATGAATTTACATAGAGACCAGACTTTATTTGTCCTAGTTGCAACATTAGTCATGTTTTATTGTAGTCTAGTACCCTTTTGAACCTGACCATCCAAGTGGCTGGTGAAGTAGAGTTCACCTGTTTCAGTGACCACTGCATAGTGCTCAGCACTATACCCAGCCGCTTTCCCCAATGGACCCAGGGACGCTCTGCAAACTTGAACCCAAGTTTCAAACTTAAGGCTTTTGGGGTAGCAGTGTACTATTATCTGACCACAGTGTCCCTCGCATTGTAGATTAAATAGGTGAAAAAAGTATTAAATGTTGGATATTAAAAATATATATTAATAAAGAATGTTATCAATAATTGATTTCATTGTAATATGAAATTTCATTTGCCCAGTTTTGGAAAGAGAGTTCAGATTTCATCAACCAAAATACTGCTTCATGGTTAGGAAGTACAGAAGAATTTGTTACAGGCCAAGGACATTCATTAGAGGTAATATTTCATTCAGGTGCTAGTAAATTAGCCTTTTTGACTACTGCTCTGCCATGCTAAAAAAATTCTTGTGACATTTTTTCAGACACTGGAAGATCACTGTAACAAGCATGCACTGTCAATAAAGGCAGATCAAGATAAGAGCAGTGTGACCTTTGACTCCAACATCTCCAACACATCCACACTGTTACAGTCACTGTCTCATGTACTGGACCAAGGACGGGATAAACAGAATAACAACCTAGAGACCACCAAAGTGTTGGTCAATGACTTCATTACTAAACAGCTGAAAAAAGACATCCCAACTGGTAATAAAATATATAGACTAGATAAAATTTGTGCATGTGTTGAACTAAGGTTTTAGTCTATCAATAAACCTTTTGATTAAAAAGACATTTTGATAATTAAAACTCACTTCTGTAACCAGTTTTAAAACATTTAGACACCATTACTTTCACTAATGTGAATTAGACACGAATTTCAGCTGGGTGGGTTAATCTTTTTTAACTTGACACTTAAAGTTTAGCAGTGGTGCGCTCTACAAACCAACCCTGATGTCCCATTTGTATTCTGTCTCATGACTGACATCACATTTAGTTTACAAATATTTTAGCCTCCTTGCTATTACATTTAGATTTAATTTTCTTTTTATTAAAGGGCTAACACCACAACGGTGTGACTACAAGTATCCGGAAAATTTAACAAAAACAAATGATCACGAGGTGCTACTAGAAAATTTCCGGTCAAATAAAACAAGTTTAGATTCAGTTGTAGCAAACCTTGCTGAAGAAATGGATGCAGCAGTTGAGAATGGAAATAGTCCAGCTCCTCTTGAGGTAGAATCTTCTTTGAGTTAATCTCAAGATAGTTTTAGTACCAGTACATTTGAATAGTTGACTTAACATTTTAATCAAATTTCAGGATCCTCATGGAAGTCAGAGTAACTTAAGTATTACAGAAAGTGAAAAATCTGGTCTTTCTCATGTCAGTACTTCTGGTATCTCCACTTGCAGTATTAAAAGCAAAGTAAGTCTCCATTTCCTGCCCTAGCTAATTGTCTTAAAGTAGTTTCATTAAAAACACTTTATCAAATTTTTCATCATTATGCTATTAATAAATGCAAAAATTCACTTTTTTAAATGTTACACATTTTCATAATCTTATTTGGTAATATTTTACTTTAGTAACAGCAGCCATGTTAAAGAAAATTTTAATTTCAACAATTTTATATATAAAAAAAATATGTTGATGTACATAGTATTAGAAATGGTATAGGTGTAAAATGTTCACCTCATGTGTGCATAAATGGAGAAGTTTCTCCATTCTGATACCTATCTGTTTCATGGTTGGACATTATTTAAAATTAATATGCAAGTATTAACAATTAGTAGACCTATAGGACAGCCTAAGGAAATTGAAAAGCTTGAAATAATTTTGAATGACAGATTTTGACAAGTCACAATATTTAGAAGAAAACATTTGTTTGTATAAGTTATATGTAATCTAATAGTGATGATCATAACTTTACATACATAACAGTTAGTTATGTATTGTCAAATGTGTGTGTTATAACTTTTAAAATCTCATACCAATACTTATCAGAGTCTGGAAAAAAAATTCTTGTCTGGGCAGACTTTTAATCCCTCCTTTGTAAATTATGATGCCAAATCTTCCTTAAAAAACCTCAACACATCAGCTGAAAACAGCCCCAAACCTCTTGTGCTGTAAAAAAAATCCCCCACCCTACTGTTTATCTACTATATTACTAGACAAAGTAGGCTTATTTAAAAAAAATTTTTAAGCTTGGCAGAAAAAAAAGAAAATGAAATTTTTTTGCAGACTCTAGCATTTCTAATGTATTTTTGACAAAGGAATATTAACAAAAAAAAAATGTATAATGTAAGTTTGTTTGTTTTTTGCAGATCTCAGATGTTGAATCCACAAAAGAAAACAAACAGAAGGGGATGAAGCCACCACAAACAACAAACACAAAACGAGCCAAGGTGGCAATCAAGACCCCAACAAAGAATAAAACCCCCAGCAAAGTCCAGCCACTTCAAAATTCTGGTAACAGTAGAACCAAGCTGCCATTAAGGTCCAACAATCCCTCTTGATCTCTAGTATTTTAATTCTTTAAAGCCATGTACATTTAATGCAGCTCCTTTATACCGATGTAAAACTTGTAAATTAATAAAGCTTCACTCACATGTCTACATTTCTATAGATAAAGGGTTCACTTGTGTGTCTCAAGTTTAGACTTTGGTTATTGTTTTATTCCACAATTGTTTAGTAAGGAAATAGCCTATTCCTTAGTCACACGTTTTTCTACAAATGTTTTTGTTTCCTTGGAGCATGAAGTTATTTGTATTCAGAAAATATTTGTATTGCTTTGGGTGCCTTATGGTGTGTTTAGTAGTGACCTAAAGTTTGTTGAGAGCATCAAATGTGTAGTGGACTTGTACAGCCTAATGTCTTGATGATTTGTTTTTATTGCATTGGGTGCCTTAAGGTGTGTTTAGTGGTGACCTAAAGTTTGTTGAGAGCATTGGATGTGTAGGGGATGTGTACGGACTAGTGTTGTCATGGAGATTTGTTTTTATTTGCCACTGCCTGTTTTTATCATGTAAATAATGCTTTGTCTTGTTCATATTTTAGTGAACTGATTATAATTCTATAAATCATTAGAATTTGCAATTCTTCCTTAGGTCAATCTATATTTCAAAATGTGTAAAATATAGTGTAATTGATGTTGTTAGCTACAGTTAATGTTGCAAAAATGGTTTACTTTATTACTTACCTTCTCCTAATATGTATTGTTCAATTGTAATTATCTGAAACTGTAGCAAAAGAACAAGATGTAATTATGGAAAATTAAATGGATTTAAATAGTAGTAGAATGGAATCTTAAGATTTAATTATCATGCATAGAAAATTTAACTTGAGTCATTATTTATTTTTGTGTATTCACAATTAAAAGATATTGCAATTTTAGTAGACAAGATGTTTTTATTTTGACAATTTGCATGAAATATTTAATAAACTTATAAAGCAACAAAGAATTGATGAGGTTTTCTTTACACATTACTTTTCTGTTACTCTAAATACTCTAATAATATTGTAACTAAGGGTCTCAGAGTGGCAGAAGACCAAAATGGATTGCCAACAGTGGTTCCCCCACTATTCCAATAGGGGTTAAGGGATGATGAAGTAAAGGGGTACCAACCTAATAACTCATATACTACTGAACTTTTATGTTATAATCTGTTTTTTTATGATGAAACGGTTTAGTGGAAATATAATTCTGTTGGTTCTAAACTGGAAAACAAAAATCCCCTTACCTAATCCAGGTGAGGTGATTTACCAGGGGAGAAGGTAAAAGCCAGGGGGAAATTGGATGTGGCTAGCATTGGGTGCTAGATAAAGAACATTAATTTAAACAATGCTCAAGACAAATAGAATTTTGTGTTGTTAAAAATGTTTTTAACTACTAGTCGAATGTAAATCAAATTTGTATTAAGAATTAAAACTCGGTTCATAAACAATCGTGTTCTTACAGTGTTGTGAAATATTACAAAATTGCATTTATTTTCCCACGTTTTCTTTAACTTGCTTTCGCGTCTGTTTGGTTCTCCAATCAAATCTTGCGATCGATATTTCGGGCACTTCCCAGTTAGCTAGCGCGCTGAAATTTTCAGGGAAGCTTTGTTTCCGATGACCATAGAATATTCAATTGTTATTATTACTAAATTGATCCATGGAAACATTTTATTGAGCATTTTAGACCGCTATATAATTGTAGTAAAAACGTGGGGAAAGGGGGACATAACCCAGTAACTGTTATTTGATGAAAACAAGGTTCGGTACTCTCCCTCTTTGCTTACTGAGTAGTGTTCACGCGGTGTTTGTGTACAAACAACCGTAACAAATGGTGGCCAGAATGGGGGAGACGATATGGTCGAGTGGTTGGGCACACGATTGCTATCCCACTCGACACGGGTTCAAATCTATGTGTTCTAGTCAGTAACGTATTCACACAACGTGTTTTTTACGAGTTGTCTTTTTACGAGTTGTCTTCGTTTACCCAAAAAAAAGTGAAAAGATAAAATCGATAGCAAGATTTTAATGCAAACAAACAGACAAAGACTAAAAAGTAGAAAATAATCATTAAAAAAGTTAAAAAAAAACCCCACGTTTTCTGATTGAACTAAAAAGTAGAAAATAAATGCTATACATCACAATAATGCAAGCGATCACTCTACTATAAGCGATCAAAAACGTGGGGCGCCGTGATTTTCTTACAGTTTCTAATACTGTTGACTCTCTACAAGCTCCCTAATAAAAGTCAATAGTATTATCTAATCAATAGTAATATAACTTTTACTTCGGCGCCCCACGTTTTTCATCGCTTATAGTAGAGTGATCGCTTGCATTATTGTGATGTATAGCAATTATTTTCTACTTTTTAGTTCAATCAGAAAACGTGGGTTTTTTAAAACTTTTTTAATGATTATTTTTAACATTTAAAAACATGTTCGCCCTCTAGTAAAGCCCGGTGTTTCACATTTTTTACGGAAAGGGGCAGGCTGGAGCGCACTTAAATTTTCGAGAAAGGGAGGGCACTGGTAAATTTATTTTCTTTACATTTTCTAAATACAATAGGATATATTTTATCTACTTCGTCAGAGGGTGGGAGGCGGTAGACTTGCTTCAGAGATCCCTGAAAAAAAAATCTATTGATGTAAGTGCGGATCACACAACCTTTTTATACCAAGGTCATTGTAAACCGACAGTTTTGTGTTATAGGCGAATTTATTATCCAAGATAGATAACTCAGACACTTCTGGAGCTTTTTGTTCCCACGTAAATATTTAATGAGTGTCTTCCCTTAGTAGAACTTTGAACTTTGGAAAGGCTCAACCAAAACCTCATAAAACTATCTTGTAAGAAAAGAAATATCGTTAGTTGGTAACTTTTAAGCTAAGTTAGACTATAATATATATAATTAATATACGCGTGTCCCAGTACGCTCACATTTAATCTGGGGTCTAGGCCTAGTGAATTTTTTTTTTAAAAAGTCATTCGGTCCTACACTCAACTACACACAGACTGTGTTGTTCAGTTCTCTCCGTTTCTACTGCTAGATTAGTAGATTAGAGTCTCTAGCGTTGTTCAGACTTAGGGCATAGCTTTCAATAATTAAAAGTTATTTGTGTGTGACAAAAAAGTTTAGAAATGGTATATTGAATTGGTGACACATATGCTTGATTGTTTTATTTTTTTAATTTTTTATTTTGCTTAACTTGGGAACTTTTTATAAAATCTTAAAACATGTACAATGTACAGTATTGTACAGTGCGCACTCACAGTGACACACACAAGTGACAAGATCATGAATCTGGGACAAGTCAGTAATCAATTAATGCGGCGGAGGGAAGGTTAAAAAATAAAATTTGAGTTACATGTTAAAAAAGGGGTTTTAATCACTTCACCATTGTGACATTGATTTTCTATTATAAAAAATATTAATGGGCTTATACTATACAAACCTTAAAATTCCAGGGGAGGTAATAGTGTAAACATTATGGTGTTAATAAATGTGCAATGCAATACACCTTTGTAAAAAAAAAATGTGATATCTATTTATTTTATCTCAAATTACCCCACGATGCTTAAAGTTTTAATTTAAAAAAAAATTAATAATAGCTACACAACTTATGATTGTTTTTCCTACAGGTAAAAACTGAAATGAAGTTATATGAGAAAGTACTTTTGGGATCTGCTGGAACTGCCAGTGCTGGTGTAGTTGCATGGAAGACAATGTTCCCATGGATTGGCCATGACCTTAAGGTCATCAAAGCAGGAGGAAAAATAAAAAAACAAATAGATGTGTCTGTGTTGTCACTTCTAATTGACAAGTTTGAGAAACATGTTGTGGACACACCCAAAAAGCCTTTTATTATTTTTGAGGACAACATTTACACCTTCGAATTTGTTGACCAAATGGCATGTAAAATTGCCAACATAGCTAAGTCATGGGGACTAAAACCACGTGATTGTGTAGCTATTATGATTCAGAATGAACCATCTTTCATTTGGACTTTCCTAGGTATGAAAATATAGGCCTATAGATCTATATATATATATTTTGTAATATAGTTACATTAGTTTAAGGTACCATCAGAGGCGTATCCAGGTTTTCGATGTAGGGGGAGCGAAAAGAGCAAAAAAAGGCGCCGAATTTTTAACACGTTCTATATACGTGTATTATATATATATATATATATATATATATATATATATATATATATATATATATATATATATATATATATATATATATATATATATATATATATACATATAATTACTAGCGGTATGTCATTACTTCGCTATGATGTAAAATAAATTGAAAGTAGCACTCTGAAGAAATAAAAAAAAAACACACAATGTAGGCCGACAAAACAAAAATTGTATCAATCTAAACAATATATATATATATATATATATATATATATATATATATATATATATATATATATATATATATATACTACAACCAAACACAATGGACGTAACACAATCTCTGACATAATAATTCCTAGGAAATTATTTATGACAAGTGAAATAGGGGAAATAATCACTCTCTTAATATAAATATGTATATATCTACACATTTATTTATAAATGTGAAAACAAATAAATAATTATTTTAGAATATAATGAAATTGTTTAACACTATTCGTGTTTGCAAAATGTTTTTGTCTATAATCAGAATTTAATATATCGTCATCATAAATGCTAAAGTATTACAGCATAATGAAAGTTTTTAAAATCAGAGTTGGTATAAAACCACTTTTTTCGATTTAATAGAAAAACATACGGAATAACATCCTACATTTAACTAAATAACGGTCTTTTAGTTCAGATCATATATTTTAATTAACTACTGCTTCTTTGTGTTCTTTAAAGATAATTTTTTAACATAGTGATAGGTATGGGTTAGATCACTGTATTGATCACACACCTTTTTACTGGTAATTGCAAAAACAATATTCACAGAGTTTTACGTTTAAAAGCTAATTTTCGGGCGGCATGGTACTTTAGTACATCATTACGGGTTTTTCTACATGTACTTAACAGATCAGCCCGGGGTGTGTTGGGGGGGGGGGGGGTTCAACTTCATTCACTACTGTCCGTTCACTTTAGGTCAATTATCCGACCCAGTGTATACCTAGGTGTGACATTAATGTCGCTCTACACAATTGTGGTGGTGAGGTGGGGGGGGGGGGAGATAACCAACTCAGAGTGAACTTAGCGTCAGTTTTTAGATGACTGTTTTAAGCATACATATATATTACACAAATATATATTACACAAATATATATTACAGAAATAGATTTAAATAAGTAGCAGTGGTATTATGACAATATTTTTTTACAGAGGGGTCCATGGGGGAGGGGGGTTGTAACTGTTTCATATGATTTGTAATCGTAATCACTATCGCCCAAAATTTCCCCAATTTAAACAGAGGTGCCACATCAGTTGTATTTGTTTCTGTATTATATTTTTTTAAATTAATCACACGATTCAAACTGTAGGCCTATATATAAAGTAATTATGTCTGAAGTTTTATGTATAACAGTTTCTAATTCAATTATTCGTAAGCAAATACATTATACAGTTGCCTTAAACCACCCCTCTTGCCAAGTGGTACTACCGTAGAGGTTTCTTTAAACATTGCAATGCATCGTAATGGTTATTTTTAGAATGGCAAACTGATGCAGCTGTTAATACGTGTTGTAAACGTAGACACTACTAGACTAGTACAATAATGCTTAATTGCTGCATGAAAATAAATCTTGTGATTTACATAGATGTGCCGACCAAAAATATTTTTTAAACAAATATCATTGTTTAAAACTTTGAGTTTCAAAAGTTTCCAAAAAGGCGCCACTTTGCTGAAAATGGCCAGAGGGGGAGCGGCCGCTCCCCCTGCTCCCCCCCTGCGTACGCTACTGGGTACCATTAAATGTAACAAATCAAAATTCCTGTAACAAGTATTGAAATTTTTTTGTATTGACAGGTTTACAGAAGCTGGGTGTAATAACAGCCCATATCAATTTTAACCTCAGAATGCACCCACTTATTCATAGCATTTTAGCAGCAGATCCAAAATACCTTATTGTTGGTCCAGGTAATATAATTAAAAATTGTCTAACCTTTAATAAACATATTATTAGATTAACCACTTGACTAAGTTAGTTTATTATTAACAGATGGTGTGACCTCTGAATAAAGATTGTTGGATAAAAGTTGACAGGAATTTGTGTGGAGTACAATGCTCTTGTATACCCTGGCCATTGCAACAGATCTACTAGATCTTTTACTATTATTTTATAAAATTGTTATTCTTTCATTCTTAAGCTAGTGTTTTGTATAATAATCATTACTAATATAATTTGTGTGTAATTTTAAACATTAACTGGTGGAATTTTTAAGGAGATGGCATGCTAGAGGCAGTGATAGATGTAGTAGACAGCCTGGGTAAATTGCAAGTGTATGTACAGGGTCTGGATACATTACCCGCCCCTCATGGCCTCCACTCTCTGGATCCACTGTTAGCCAAAACACTACCTTTGCCTATCAGTCCACTGGTCAGACAAGGTATAACACAAGAAGATACCTGCTGTTATATCTACACCTCTGGCACTACAGGTGAAGATCTGCATAGCTTTGCTTTTACATTTAAAATAATGATGGCAAATTTTTAACTTTAAAGCTATTAATTTACCATTTAAACAGTTGTGAGTTCCATTATGATTTAAAATTATTTTTTAAAACATTTTGTCCTTAGGAAATTTTAGACTATTGTGACTCATATTAATTAATAAGGTATTGTTATTATTGTAAATAATGGTTTAAGACATTTTGTGTTTTGTTTGCAATGAGCTAACAATGAAGCACTACATATACTAATGAACTTAAAACTCCTGAAGCTGTAATTTAACTGTTATCTATAAAACACAGCATGTAGTAAGAGGTTATGATGTTAAAGTTTAAAAAAAATACATTTTTTTATTTAAGGGAGTCCAAAACCAGCAATCATCAGACATGTAAAAGCAAATGGTTTAGGTTGTGGCATGTGCTGTATTGATCTGTCTTCTGCTGATAATCTATACATAGTACTTCCATTGTACCACAGTTCAGGAGGAGGTCTAGCTTTATGTGGAGCTATTGTTTCAGGTATTTTAAAAGGCTACGTTGGCATTAAATTTGATTACAGAACCAAACTGTTCTAATTTTAAAATATGGTACTTTAGAAAAACCCAGCAGGACATAATATATTAGGCCAAATTCGGGGGCAGTATCACTACCATATTTCTCACCTAACCCTGACTCTATTGCAAATTTTTTAAATATTTAAATAACCTGTTGTACAAGATCATATTATAGCTATGAATACAATAAAAAATACCTTACAGGAGCCACTATAATATTGAGAAGAAAATTTTCTGCCAGTAATTTTTGGTCAGATGTTTGTCGGTACAATGTCACAGTGTTCCAGTACATTGGAGAGTTGTTTAGATATTTGTTATCTCAACCACCAGTAGGTAAATTTTTATATAACATTAATTAACCATTGTAAGATAATATCATTGACTGAAATTATAATTGGCTTAATGATAACATAATATTTTTTATGACAGACAGCGTTAAATAAACATTTTTTGTACATTACTTTGCTGCTTCATTTTAGAGTGACCTTGAAGCTGCTCACAAACTGCGGGCTGTGTTTGGTAATGGACTTAGAAAAGACATTTGGATTGATGTTCAGAAACGTTTTAAACTGCCATTGATAGCGGAGTTTTTTGGTGCAACAGAAGGAGTTACAATGATGCTGAACATGTCCAATGTTCCTGGTGCCATAGGCAGACTCTCACCTTTTTTGGTAACATTCATGAAATACTAAATTGTAGTGTATAAAGGGCATGATGCATTGTTTCTTTTCGTGCTTTTCCATGTAATCCAGGAATATAATTTATTTTCAAATTTCAATTTTATTTTTGTGAATAAAACTGAATAAATTCTTTTATTTTCTAATCCATGACAAATTACTTTGATTATCCATCATTAAAACAAAATATCTGAAGTAATAAATACCAATTGTATTAAAATAGCGAAATACATTGTTCATTGATAGTGATGACTCAAACATGTTAAAATTTAGAAAGTAGAGTGGTGTAGCAAAAATAGTTAAATTAAATTATTTTTTTCTCTTTTAGAACAGGATAGATCCTTATCCCAAGGCTTTAGTAAAGTTTGACTATTCAACAGCTATGCCAATAAGAGATAAAAATGGGAACTGTATAAAAGTTGCTATTGGTAAGAACTTTGGATTAAGTTTATATAAATTTATTTTAGCCACTTTTAACCTTTTTTTTTTCAAACCTAATTCCAACTTTTGCATAATGTTTGTTATATTTTCAGGTGAACCAGGTCTATTTATAGCCAAAATTCCAGAAAATATTATAAAAGATGGATCATTAAATGTGTACCGAAGTTCTAACGAAGCTAATGAAAAAAAGCTTGTTAGAGATGCCTTCAGCAAAGGGGATTTGTGGTTCAACTTTGGGGATGTTATGACCCTTGACAGAAATTACTTTTTATATTTTAACGACAGAATAGGTGATACATTTAGGTAAAAAATACACTTTAAGAATATAAATGATACACTTTTTATTTAACTAAACAAAATATGTTATATTGCTAAAATAACAGTGAGATCATATTTGTTTGTCTGCTGAATTTGAAAATAAATCTTATTGGGCTATGCAGCTGTTCCTTGTCTATTAAAGTTCGATAAAAAAATTTAATTTTAAATACTTTATTTCCAAAGCTAAATTGTTATTGTTTTTGTCTTAGATGGAAAGGTGAGAATGTATCAACTACTGAGTTGGCTAATTTAATAGCTGGGATGTCATTTGTACATGATGCTAATGTATATGGAGTAGCAATTCCAGGTACTTTTTGTTTTTTACCTTGGATAGAATATTTTGAGCAGAAACTCAATTAGATGTTACCAAGAAAATGCATTCATATTTGTTATTACTAAACACAAATATGTACAGATATTTTAATGTTTTTCTAAAACTTCTTACTGAAAACAAATGTTAAGACTAAATGTAAGCATGTTTGATTGTTGTTTCCTTGTTGTTCTATGTTAATGGTAATACTTCTTTGAACTTATAAATGTCAGCAAGACTAGATAAAAGTTTTCTGAACAATATGGATAAAGTTTTTATAAAGTTCACAATTTGTTTTCAGGCCATGATGGGAGAGCAGGTATGGTAGCTATTACATTAAAGGAGGGCTTGAAGCTAGGTGAGGGAGAGCTGAAAGAATTGTACGACCATGTTTGTCAGGAGCTTCCAACATACGCCAGACCATTGTTCCTTCGGGTTTTGGATGCAGCTGTCTTGACCAACACATTCAAGCAGAGGAAGGTGGAACTGGTCAGTGAAGGTTTTGACTTGAATCAAGTCAAAGACCCTCTGTACTTTCTGGACAATGAGAAACACACATACAGTCCATTAACAACTGCTGATTTGTCCAAATTTCTCTCCTCCAAGTTATAAAAACTAGAGCAATAAACTATCTAAAAAATGGTTTATTATTTCATTACACAGGATTTTGCTAAACAGTTTGTATACTATAATAAAGAGGATACATTTCATATGAAACTAAACAACAATATGAAATACCACTGTTTATTGTATACTTTTGAAAATAAATGTTACTAAAAACAGGGTAGCTTGTTATTAGGGCATGACCACTAGCTCCTTATAATGTTCAGTGTTGTACTGTTACAAACATCTTATAAGATCCTATTTTTTATAAGAGCAAAGAGAGATATAAAAATAATTGCATTTAATATTACAAGATACATAATGGCAAATCTCTGTGTAGCAAGTAACTATTGCCAGATTTCACAGTTACAAGAATATTGCTAACTTAATTTTCTGTTGGTTTATGAAGTTTTAAGGTGTCTTGTTACATATTTAATCCAGAGCTAGCAAGTATGGAGCTGGATGTTAACTGTCCTAGGAGATTTCTAGTACTGGACACCTGGTTTCCTTGATGACACCTTAGGACATTGCTAAATATAATAAATAAAATACATAGATCATTTTGTTGATGAATGGACTGTTGAAACCGTACCATCATATAAGGAATCAGTGCAATATTAACTGTTAATTGTAAATGATAGTCTTTCCTTTTTTTCATGTTACGCAATTATTCTATTAAAACAAACTTACAGATTAGAAAGGAATTTATTATTTTTGTAGAATTGTATAATTTTGATACTCTAATTCTATATTATGCTTAAACATTTTTTAAATTTACTCTTTTAGTTACTAATTTTACTAGAAAGTACCTGTAATTTTCTTTTATGCTGCTGTTGACTTATTCATCAACCTGATAACTTAATGGATGTATGCATTTTATTTATTTTAAAATATTTATTTGAGTTTAAAATGGCAATATAATTTTTTTTTTCACTTTTTTTGCAACAATTGGTTGTGGATCAATCTACCATCATGTGTTGCTGATTGGCTTTTAAATGGCATTGCATTAAATTTTAGTTCTGTTACTGAATATTTTACAAAACAAATTATGATCATACATGTTTTATACCTTTGGGTAAATTAAAAATTTGATCTGGCTAGTCTCTTTGCCATTCTCAATGAGGGCTACTTAGAAATTGTAGGCCTACTGGTTATGCAATCTTTTGTTTGCAGTTTCTTTTCAACTGTCATTTTTATCTGTTGTAGATTTTGAAAGGGAAATTTCTCATAAAGACAATGATTTTTTAAATTAAAAAAATTAAATCAGATTTATAATTATGCATGTATATTTCACTCTTGAAAATTATTGTTAATAATCAGAATAACTTGATTTTACTGGATATTTCACTTATAAGCAGTATTAAAAGTAAAGTATTTTAAACACATACATCAATAACTGGATGTGTACCATAAGAAAAAACAACTGAGATAAGAACTTATAGCTGGCATTGTTATAAAGATTTGATACAGTGGGGAAGGGTTTATTTGCAGAGTTTCTTCCAGGCATCTTTTCGGGGGGCCTTACCCCCCGAAAAATTTTTACCGCCCCCCGAACGAAATGAAATTTATATAATTTATATAGAAAATATATACTTTTTAGAGTGTCCGCCCGGAGAAAAAAGTCTGGAAGAAACACTGTTTATTTGTAACTCAAGTTGTGGAATTGTTTCTTGTTGATTTATGTTTTTACCAGTAAGCAGCTAAATACATGTACATATATTTTTTGGCAAGAGTATTTATTATATTTATTGATGACACAATACTAAGATAAATTTAAATTTTCATTTTTTTAAAACAATGTGCCATTTTTATTTAGAAATATTTATTTTATGCCATGAATTTTCTCAATTCTATTTTTTTTCAATTTCTAAAATTATTTTTTATAAAAAACCCCCACCTTAACAACATTTTTATTAGTTATTTAATTATAATGTTTGTTTAGAATATATTTATTGTTAATGTAGTATGATTTCTCTTTGTTTGCATCTAAATATTTTGTATTAAAAAAACATCTACACATTTTTATTCTAAAACTTATAGTTTTTTAAGAATAATTCAAAGCTAGAATTATTTTTATAAGTCCCTAAAATAAAAAAAATCTATCAAAAATAGACATGTGTAACCTATTTGAAAGGTTATTGATTCTTTGCTATCTTATTTTAGTATCAATTTATTCATTTGTAAGCTGTTATGATATACACCTTGATTTAACAGACATTAAGGTTTCATTCATCAGTATTCAATGTAAATAAGTTTTATGAAAAATCACATTAAATAAAATTGAAAAATTGCAGGGGATTAAATTGTCTCTGCCAATTCATAATTTCTTGTTAGGAAGAACAACGTAGATTCAGCACAAAGTTACTAATGAGATCTATTAGCTTTACTGGCCGGGCATTAATCCACATACATTTTGTTAAAGTAGTGTAAATCTCTGAGCTGAGTTAGACCACATTGAGCCTCACAAACAAATAAATTTAACACATTATATAAATAGAGAAGTGTTTTATTAAAAGAAAATATAACTGCAGTTCCTGTTCATCTGGGCATAGTACGGACCACACTATCTCTACATATGTTAAGGACAAGAAACATGAACTTTACTTCATCTACCCAATAGATAATAGGTCTAAAGAAGAACTTAACTTTTACTTACGTTCTGTTTGTCAGTATTACCACTACAGGATACAAAATGTTTTCAGCATATTTCTCTCCCACTACCCAGCTTTTAGTTTTATTGTGTGTAAAGTTATGGTATGATTATGTACAAGCTGACAAGCATCTTTTTAAAGTATCTAATTACATTTTTTTTTTAAAAACAGATCACATTTTTTTTATGTTTTTCTTAAAATAATTTTTAACAATTTTCATAATTAGGAGGATTGTCATAAAATATATTAAATAATAATACTAGAACTCTCGATCTGCTGAGAGTTTACATTGGAAGGTATAATGGGAGTAAAATCTCATTCTTATCTTAGCATATCATCTAAACATTAAAACAATAAAAGGGGTCATGCATATATATTATAATATTATAATATTATTAATATATCATGAAAGCTGTTAACTGGTGGCTATTATTTTGTTATATTGTTTTATATGGGGTTGGTTGTGCTCAAGAGTCACATATAACTCTTGCTTTTATTTATTCAATAAAATCACATTAGTGTTTCATTTTTTTAAGACATGCAAAATGTATGTTTGAATGTTTAAAAATGTAAGCAGTGCCACAGATGTAACCTTTATTAAATAAAATGTTGCAAACTAGTTTTCTGTTGTTGATTGTTTTGAAGTGTGTTGAAATCTTTAGTTAATCTTTCTAAAACACATTTTATATACAGAAACTTTAGAAAATTGTGTGATATTGGGTGGGGTGGGCGTGGGATATTGAGAGTGCTCCCTGACCTGAAGGAGGAGATACTGCTGACTTATTACCAACCTGATAACTTAATGGATGTATGCATGCTTGATATTATTCATTTAATGTGTTTTATATTACCACTAGTAATTAGTAGTAAACCAGCTGACACTCCAATGGGAATAAACCTTATTTGAGAACAATATGGTGAACTAAAAAATATATATATTCCTACTTATAGAAGTCTAATTTCTTAAACAAATTTTAGATTTTAAAATAATAAAACATAAAAGGTGAAACGTAATATTTTTTTCCCAAAAGGAATGGGAGACCACTCCGAATCCAAAATAGGTCAGTGTACTCTGTACATCACAGGCTAGTTAGTTAGACTAGGAGTTTTCTGAACAAAGTGAGTGTTGAATATTGATTCATGGTTTTATTTAATTATGCACGGATTGCATATTGAATGGTAACATGCTTTATATAATTTACTGGACACAGCACATTGTCATAGTATTCATTTCAATTAGTCAATAGTTTTGTACGGGAAAGAGAGGAAGGGGGTGGCACAGCCTGTAGTTAGTAGTACTGTACTGTAGTAAAAGTAGTTTCAAGTCACTGGGTAACTGACAACTGTAACTCAGTAACTGTAACACAAGTGCTATTTGTAACTATTAATTTAGATTTGGCTCAATCAACTCGCAGATAATGGCACATAATCTAATTAAAGGCCTATAAACTATGATGATGGACTAGTAACTTAAGTAACTAGTTGCTGAAGTTTATTTTACAATTGAACATGTAAATCTAGGTCATAGGTTATGTAAATTATTCAAATTGAATGTATCATCACTGTTGGCAGTATTGGGTTCAAGTTCAGTGCAGTGATTATAAAAAGTTTGTGGGGCTTGTGTCAGTAAACTTAAATTAAATAAATTAACCTAATCTAGTTAGTAGATTAGATAGCTTGGCTTTGGGCAATAGTTTTAGTAAAGTTTTACTGGTTTTTGTTAGCAATGCTATCACTGTATCCTAGGATTCAGACTGGTGACTTGTCAAAATAATATCTAGAACCTAGATCTTTAAAGTTAAACCTTTACCCCTCCTACAAGCAACTAATTTAGTTCAGCTTAAACTTCAGACTATGTTAAAGTGGGTAGTATTCAGGGAGAGGACACATTTATTACGATTGCTATTGATTTTTCATTTTTTTCTCATTTTTTATTAAAATTACTTTCATGCTGTATTCAGCTCTCAAGTAAATGTAATAATTTTTATTAATTTTTTTTATATGTGTAGGCCTATACATTATTTATAAAATTTTTACTTGATTAGTGCTATAAGATCACTTGTTTAATATTGTATAAGCATTTACCATTGTGTAAACATTATAATAATATACTTATTAAGTTATTATAATAAGTTTAATAGAATTTGTTGCCATACATTTAACTGTTTTTCAACTGTAATATTTAATTCATTTTAAAACAAATTTATTTATAATTTTACAGGTTCTGAAAGGAAACTTGAAAATGGTTCATCTCTAGCTTCATTGTTTTTTTTCTGATGCTTACTAAAACTTACAATAACTATACACATCTTGGCATAATATCTCCTCAAGAAAATGAAATTTTACGAAAAAGTTCTTATAGGATCGGTTGGAACCGCCAGCGCTGGTGTAGTTGCATGGAAGACAATGTTCCCATGGATTGGCCATGACCTTAAACTGTTAAAAGCTGGCGGTAAAGTAATGAAACAAAGAGAATCAGCTATGTCATCACTTCTAATTGATAAGTTTGAGAAGCTTGTAGTGGACACACCAAAAAAGCCTTTTATTATCTATGAGGATAACATCTACACCTATGAATTTGTTGACCAAATGGCTTGTAAAATTGCCAACATAGCTAAGTCATGGGGACTAAAACCACGTGATTGTGTAGCTATTATGATTCAGAATGAACCATCTTTCATTTGGACTTTTTTGGGTAAGAATATTTAAGGTACCAGGCAACCATGTCTGTCATAGCGTAGATATAAAGAATTAGACGACTAGTAGAGGTTACAAAGGACGGTGCGAACTTGACTGTAGACGATTTGGTGCGAGAGTATTGTGCGCATGTTGAATACAATATTTGTGGCGCGAATGTGACATGAGCATGACGCGACAATGTACCAAGGACGTAGACCACGGCAGTAACGTTAGTTGGGGGTTAGTAATTGTAGGAGACGGATGTATTCTTTGATATTGTGCAAATAAGTGTGTGTTAATAAAGTTAGTGTTCTTTTCATAAACGAAGTGGTTGACTTTTGTTAATTAGTGTCTGCGGAACATAAGAGTGATTCCCGTCCTACTCACAAGTATAATAGTTGTCGTATGAATAGTAGCAGATCAGAATATAGAAAAGATATAGAGAAGATATAATTATATAATATATATGAAACCCCCCATCACAATGTCTAGGTCTAGTTGTTAATCATTCTGACTCTTAGCTCTTAACACTACTCACCATGCAAATAATTTTGTTAGTATTAATATATTTGATCAGTAGCCACCTAGAAAGGGTAGGACAAATACAGTCCAGTTGAGATAACATCATGGTGTCACCTGAATTTGGATGATAAAAAAATATGAGTTTGTCCTTCTAAGTATTAATTTTTAAAAAAAATGCAGTTTGTAATGTTTGTTTGTCATTGTTTACTATATCTTATTATGGAAGAATTACTGTGGAGAAAGACCAAGTTATTAAGTTATTTGTTTCCTGATTAATCTTGTAATGTATGTTTTTATTTTGTTTGAAGTTCCTTTAAGATCTGATTTCTCATTTGGCAGATGGAGTAGAGTTCATGTATTTCTGTGGCATCAGTGTAAATAGAAATAGTGTGGTCAGTTCCTCTGTACCCAGTGACCTTTACTTTCCATAGTGTGAATCTGGATGTGAACTCAAGGCTATAGGGTTGACAGTCATGTACTCTTCCATCTGACCATAGCATCCCAAAAATGTAGTATACTTATTCTATTGTACAACAGACACATCATTCTCAATAAAATTTGAACCAATTTGTATTCATGTGTTTACAGGATTGCAAAAGCTGGGAATTACTGTGGCTAAAATCAACTTCAACCTCAGAATGCACCCACTTATTCACAGCATTTTAGCAGCAGATCCAAAATATCTAATTGTTGGCCCAGGTAATATTACATCTACATTTTTAAATTTATAAAGTAATTTAAATACTACAGCACCTCAATTAACCAAGTTAGAAATGATTTAGTTATATATTTTGTGTCCTAATAAAATTGATATTTTTCACTAAGTGGATGATTACAAAAAATGACTAGACTAATTCCTGACTAATTTTAAAGGAGATGGCATGCTAGAGGCAGTGATAGATGTAGTAGACAGCCTGGGCGAATTGCAAGTGTATGTACAAGGTCTGGACACATTACCCGCCCCTCATGGCCTCCACTCCCTGGATCCACTGTTAGCCAAAACACTACCTTTGCCTATCAGTCCACTGGTCAGACAAAGCATTACACTAGAGGACATCTGCTGCTATATCTACACATCTGGCACTACAGGTATTTTTACAGTTTTGAATATAAATATTGTGGTATACATTTATTATGGGATAGTCCACTCAGATTAGCACACAATGCAGTAGGCTTGGTGAACATGGTTGGACAACACAAGCCCCTCATAATAAGATGAAAATTACATTCTGAACTCTACTGCAACTTTGGTCAGGAGGGTTAATTGATTAAACTTATACATTGGTTGAAGAATTGTCACAGTTTAAAAAATATACCATGCCATGTTTAATAAAAAAAAAAATTTAAAAGGAATCATCTGATCCTGTGTGTAAATGTACTTTTTATTTCAACAGCGTAATGAGGTGATATGATAAACCAGAGGTGGTTGTTTTAGCAGCATTGTTTGACACTTATTTAGCTTTTTGTATAACACTGCTATTATTTCCAGTAACACTTGTATACACTAGGTTGGTTTTGGGTTATTTGAGATGGACCATTTCACATATCTCTACTTCATTTAGACATAGCTGATGTATTGCATGTTTAAATTGCAATAAAGGTTGCAGTATTTTATGCAACTGTACATATAATTCTTTATTGTTTTGATTTTTTTGCTTTTCTTTTAAAATTTCTTTTATACTTTATTGTTTTATAGATGTGTTTAAACTTTATTCATTTTGTCTATCTTAAAGCCCATGAAATAAATGACTATATTGCTTGATACAAATCACATATTTTGTTCTCTTCCCAAACTGCTCTGATAATTTATTTAACTTGAGTTATGTAATCATAAAGCACTTACGACTGATGTTTTAACGCTGTTGAATGTGTTAGATGCTTTTTTTGTGTAGGGAACCCAAAGCCAGCAATAATCAACCATGGTAAATCAATAGGCATTGGATGTTGCTTATTGTTTGTAGACCTCTCTGCTGATGATAATTTATATGTAGTACTTCCACTCTACCACAGTTCAGGAGGAGGCATAGCATTATATGGAGCTATTTTGACAGGTATTTTTATTTAAGGGTTTAGCATTGTATGGAGCACTTATTTCAGGTATTCTATATTTAATGCTGCTAAACTTAAAAATGACATTGTTTAAAGTAATCTCAAACAACATAAAGTGTATTGAAACATTAGAATTACAATATAACCTATTTTTTACATGAATTAAACAATTTTCAGGAGCCACCATAATATTGAGAAGAAAATTTTCTGCCAGTAATTTTTGGTCAGATGTTTGTCGGTACAATGTCACAGTGTTCCAGTACATTGGAGAGTTGTTCAGATATTTGTTATCTCAACCACCAGTAGGTGAACTTTTTTTGTTGTTGTTGCCTAATATAAATAAGAAAATATAACTTTACAGTAAGACTTAGTTTGCCAAATATAAAATAAGAAAATATAAATTTACAGTAAGACTTTGTTTAACATGTAGGTTTTTTAATTGGATGTCAAGTAAACCTTAGTTGAAAAGGTTGACCTGTTCTCATAGTTTTTCTATCTCTATTTTTCATCTCATATTTATTGTTCTTTATTACTTCATTAGGGCAGTTGCTTTCGAGAAGAATTAATTTTTTAAAGCACTGCCTTAGTGAGTGGTGGCAGCATGGGCAATTATTTTGTTTTGCTTGAAATTGGAAAAGTAAAATAATTTAGTAATCAGTGTAAATAATTAATAGCTGTTTCATCGTTGTTAAGTGATTTCATCCAAAGCAGCAGCTTACAAAGTTCATAAGTTAGTTATTGAAACAACATTTACAATATTAATTACTTAGATCAAATTTTAAAAAAGCGTTATATCAATATGTTTAGTTTTTTAATTACAATGTTTTATAACTTAAGTCATAATTCTTCAAAATCTTTGTGATTAAGACTTACTATTCATGATTTGCAATCACATTAATTATTCTGTTGGCTTAGTTTCATTATTAAGTTTCACTGTTTTAGGTAAAAACTTAAGGTGATACTAAGCAGTGTCTTACTGTATGCTAACATCTTTGGCTTGATAAGTACAATCATGATTTTGTAAACTTAATTATTTAAGCATCCTTTATTATTTTATTTTAGAGTGACTTTGAATCATCCCATAAAATAAGGGCTGTGTTTGGTAATGGACTTAGAAAAGACATTTGGCTTGATGTTCAGAAACGTTTTAAACTGCCATTGATCGCGGAGTTTTTTGGTGCAACAGAAGGAGTTACAATGTTAATTAACATGTCCAATGTAACAGGAGCTATAGGCAGACTCTCACCTTTTCTGGTAACATGTTAGACATTATAGAACCTGATGCGAAATTTTAAACATTTGTTGTATAAAATCATCTTTTTTACTAGGTTTCATTTGGAACTTTTTTCTGCATTGATTTTCTGAACCTAATTGCATTAAATATTGCAATAAAATGTACTTATGTTGTTTTGTCTGTATTACCAGATTTTAACAAACTAATTTCAAGATTATGTTTCTCATTATTAAAGTTTAATTTCTTCAGAACAAGCTAGATCCAGCTCCCAAGGAGTTAGTGAAGTTTGATTTTACAACAGCTATGCCAATACGAGATAAAAATGGACGCTGTATAAAAGTTGGCATTGGTAAGAGGACAAATTTAAACCTTTGATGATTAAATTACTTGCTGTTTACTGTAATAATTTTCTTTTTAAAAAAAATATAATGCATTGTTAAATTTTTCTTAAAGTTCGAATGAGAGTAATTGTTTTTGAGCTTCTAAGCATGTGAGGCTATATGTGTTAATAAAAGGGTAATCACCAAATTCATATGTGTAATCTTATGTTTTTCTACTAGTAAAGCAAAAGTTTAGTTTTATTCATCAAACATCTCTCCTTTTATTGCCTAATTTCAGGGGAACCTGGTCTGTTTATAGCCAAAGTTCCAGAAGAAATTATGAAAGAAGGATCGCTAAATGTGTACCGCAGTTCTAACGAAGCTAATGAAAAAAAGCTAGTTAGAGATGCCTTCACCAAAGGGGATTTGTGGTTCAACTATGGGGACGTTTTCACACTAGACAAAAATTACTTTTTATATTTCCATGATAGAATTGGTGATACATTCAGGTGAACATTTTCTATCATTATGGCAATTGTTTTATTATTTGTTGGCTAGTATTATTGAGTGATTTTAGTGCTTTGTATAATATTTAGTTGAAATGTCCCACTACACAGAAAAATATATACAAATTTACTTGTATATAATAATTCATATAATTTAATTATATACATATTTACTTGTATATAATTATTTATATTATTTAACTATTCACTAAAATTCTGCCCAAATTATTAATTATTTTAACTATTTTAATTAGGTTAACCTTTTCACATCAAACCACTATCTTAATTGATCATATTACATTATGCAAAATGGCATAACTCTTTCAAAAACTGAGAGTGAAATTTTAAAGTTAATTAAAATGTAACTACATATTTCACCTAATAAAGCCTATAAAACAGAATCCAAAATAAGCAGTGGCACAAACATACAATTTTAACAAAACCCAAAATGGTATATCTTCATTACAGCAACAAAATTTAAAAAATTCCAAACATGAGGTAAAAGTACATGGCCAGAAATTTGTCTCATTCCTGGATGTTGTTGCTATAATATAATTTTTATCTGTGTTAATTTCCTGTGATAGGTGGAAAGGTGAGAATGTGTCAACCACAGAGCTGGCCAATATGATAACATCTGTTTCCTTTGTAAATGATGCTAACGTGTATGGTGTAACTATTCCAGGTAGTTCTTTGGCTTAATGTAGTATTTTTCTATTTATGTGTTGGTATGTTATTTTTGGAAATTGCTAAAAAAAAAAAAATTTGTCTGCTTTTTAAAAGTCATAGCCTCAGTTAAGTAACATAGTTTAACAGTGAAACATTTGTTTTCAGGCCATGATGGGAGAGCGGGTATGGTAGCTATTACATTAAAGGAGGGCTTGAAGCTAGGTGAGGGAGAGCTGAAAGAACTGTACGACCATGTTTGTCAGGAGCTTCCAACATATGCCAGACCATTGTTCCTACGGGTTTTGGATGCAGCTGTCTTGACCAACACATTCAAGCAGAGGAAGGTGGAACTGGTCAGTGAAGGTTTTGACTTGAATCAAGTCAAAGACCCTCTCTACTATCTGGACAATGAGAAACATACATACAGTCCATTAACAACTGCTGATTTGTCCAAATTTCTCTCCTCCAAGTTGTAAGAATTATAGCTCTTTTAATATGGGTTTATTATTTTGACACTCATTACACAGGATTTTTTTTTTCAACTGCTTCTTTGACAAATATATAATGCTAATGAAAAAGAATTGGAGTTTATTATATTTACACTTTGTACCCGTGACTGTGAAAAGTGAATGCGCAAATGACATAAAATTTTAGTGCCATTTGAAACGGTGAGCATCAGAATACTGTCCCAGGAATCAGTGCAATAAAAATAAGTAATAGAACATAGAAATGATAGATGACATTGTGATTTTTTTTTTTAAATGTCCAAAAACATTTAACAAATATTCCAAGAAACAAAGTCTCCAAAGCAGCACATATTGTTTTAATATTTAGCAAATATTTATTAAACTACTATTGACAGACTAGTGTGGAGATAGTTAAAAAAAAGACTGGACGTGACTTTTGATTACTGTAGCCAGTGTTCCACCAGGTTGTGGTTTGTTTACTCCCTGCCCTTTGTTTTACTTGCTTGTAATTTTATTATCTGTCTGGGAAAAATGTCCCGTATAAGTTTAATGAAATAAAAAAATATTGGAACTTGTAATTGAAAATTTGGGCTTTAAAAATGTTGATTGTTCCAATGAAACAATTCTCAGATGTCAAAGTAATGTTAACATTTATTATATGCATTAAAAAATAAATAATTTTAAAATTTTGCTGTTTAATTTAGCAATATTTTATATTGAAATATCAGAAAAAACAAAAATTGTCAAATAGCAACCAGTGTATTAGAGCACTTTAAAAGAAGTGTACCCCCTCCCCCCATTTTGTTGGTGTTTTCTGCTCAAACAATTGTTAACAAAGAAAAAAAACCAGCTTTAACTGTTGATTTGATAAAACTATTTGCTTTGTAAGTGGTTGTCCATTAATGAGATACTTTTTTGGCTCTGTTTTTACCTTACACCCCTCCCATCATCACACATGGTCACAAAATGTCAGTTTCAAAATTTACTTTTTCAAATTCAAAATTGTGACATCACATCATTTGAATCCACCCACCTTTTCTCATCACAAATTCTCACAAAAGTGTAATCACCCCTCCTTTAGGAGTAAGACGTTTTCTGGACCACCCCTTACATGTAATTAGTTCTTTGTTTGGGAAGGCAATATTTAATGGCATATTAGATTTATTGGTGTTGTGTGTTTGTATGTGCAAAAATTGTGTTTCTGGAAGTTAAGGCAGCTATGATCTTTTAACAATAAATCTTGTTATCTTGACATGAATAGCTGCTTTACCCAAACAGCATATTTTTCAATGTACTTATTATTTTTATTATGTTTGAAAAAGTGTTACAAATTTTCTGATATTTTTATAGCTAGTTAAAGTTTCGGTATTTTTTTTTATATCTAATAAAATTTTCTGGAATTTCTATATCAAGTAAAAGAAGACTGTACTAGTATATGGTTAATGTGTTTTTGTTGCAACTTAATGTATAAATGCATTTTAACCATACATTTCTCATTATTAGACCCACATTTTCCATAAGTGTAGATTTGTAAAATGAGGATCAGAAAAAAGTCCACTGAAATACCAATTCTCTATAATATGCTACACATATTTATAAATCACGTTAACAAAGATTCTAATGACATAGGTGATAAAATGTGACATTTTATGATTATGCAAATATTTTTGCAGTTTTTATGTGTATTTTTATCTATTGCAAATGTGTCCAAAATGGAACGTCAGTTTGAGTTTTAACAACCCATATCAGGATATATACACAGGGTTATTGTCTAGGTCATTAAATTGTACTTAACTTTGCTCCATTATGCCTTGTTATTACTAGACGACTATTAACTTACTATTTTGATTGTTTAATTCTCTGAACTGGTATTATCTACAGATATGCATCGAGGACAGTATTTATATATTTTTTTAAATGGCATAGCTTTTTTGGTTTTGTTTCATTTTTTACAGATAAATGGACTTGAAGTGTGTAGTTTTTATTTATTTTATTGCCATAATGCGCATTGCATACAGTTTAATAAAATGTGTTTAACAAATATTTGTTTAATATAGGCCATTCAAAAACAAAAGGCTGTTTATTTAAAGAAAATATTGTTAATTATTTCTAAATTAATCTATTACTTGATACAGTTTTGTTGATCTAGAAATTATTTGTGATTTTAAGTTACACTTTTCATGATGTATATTTATTTAAATAACTAATACTAATCTTATTCTCCTTACTATATTGGCTTGAGTATTTTATTGGTTTATAAATACTAAATTTACCACCTTTCTCATGGAATAACAGTGAATAAAGTGCGCAAATAAACTATTAATGTGCCAATAAAAATATCCAGTGAGTTTTTATTATATTTGTTACATGCCTAAATAGTGTTTTTTTCTGCTTTACTTGCTGTTTAAGCTGTCTTAAATCCTTGTGTCATAAGACAAACTAAGCACTACAGATATTTCTGATAACTCATAAAAATGTTAATCTAAATCAAAGACAGCACATCATAGTTAAAATTTAAGCTCAAAAAAACAACTCGCTTTCCTGTGTAGGCCTACTTTGCATTTTAAATTTTTTATTTTAACTGCATACAATATAAATAAAACTTGTAAAAGTTCACCAAAGCTGCTAAACCTGGCTAAAACTCCGACCCTAAAAGATATACCAACAGAAAAGTGTACTCTTACTTCAGAGGCGTATCCAGGTTTTCGGTGTAGGGGGAGCGGAAATAGCAAAAAAAGGCGCCGAATTAGTAATATCTTCTATATAAGTATATATATATATATATATATATATATATATATATATATATATATATATATATATATACATATATACATAGATATTTCTTCGATATGATGTAAAATAAATTTAAATTAGCACTCTGAAGAAATTAAAAAAAAAACACAATGTAGGCCGATGAAACAAAAAAAAATGGTTTCATACTAAAGATATATATATATATATATATATATATATATATATATATATATATATATATATATATATATATATATAATCACACTAGAACCAAAAACAATAAACGGCATAATCTGTTTCGTAATCCTTGTAAAAAAAATGCATAATAATTCCTGGGACATCTATTAAGACTATCAAAAATTGGAAATAATCAATATCTTAATATATATGTATATGTCTACATAAAAAAAAAAAAGTAAAGTTTCCCTTTCAAACCTTACGGTCTATGGGGCAAGTGAAGTAGAGTTCATTTGTTTCTGTGACCTCGGCATATGAAGAGATAGTGTGGTCAGCACTATGCCCAGCCGCCTTTACTTTCCCTAACGTGAGTTAGGTACCCATCAGAGTTGGGTGGACTCGGGGACGGTCTACTGACTAGAACCCGGATTCGAACTCGATACTTACGGGTTAGCAGTCCAGCTCTCTACCGCTAGACCACTCCGTCCCATGTCTACATATTTTATTATATTTTTTATTTTTTATTATTTTTTATTATATTTTTATTATAAATATCAAAACAAATCAATAATTACTTAAGAATCTAATAAAGTAATTTAACACTTCGTTTTTACAAAAATATTTTATCTACAATCAGAATTAAATATATTGTCATCATAAATGCTAAACTTTTACAGCATAATGAAAGTTTTTTAAATCAGAGTTGGTATAAAAGCCAGCTTTTATATTCATTAGTAATAGATTCGGAATAATAGCCTACATTTAACTATAATATCGGTCTTACATTTCAGATGATGTACTTTTTAATTAGCTACTGACTTTTAGTGTTCTTTAAAGATAATTTTTTTTACATAATGAGAAGGTATGGGTTAGATCACTGTATTGCTCGCACACCTTTTACTGATAATTGCAAGAACAATATTCACAGAGATTTACGTTTCAAATGTGCCTACCAAAGATAATTTTTTAACAAATATCAATGTTTAAAACTTTGAGTTTAAAAAGTTTCCAAAAAGGCGCCACTTTGCTAAAAATGGCCAGAGGGGGAGCGGCTGCTCCCCCTGCTCCCCCCTGCGTACGCTACTGTCTTACTTATTTCAGACATTTGATTTAATAAAAAAAAATTATATTGACATAAAATCGTATTTTGTTTTGTTTCTAATTATTGGAAAGATATAAATCATTAAAAAAGTGAAAAAGAAATATCTAACCTTTACATCCTAAAAGGGAGATCACTGTAATGTTTTTTTTTCAGGTGGAAGCATTATCAATTTTGGAGTCGTGTTTTAATTTATGTACTTGGAGTGTAGCTAATAGAGCTAGATCTAGATCTACTTATAATTTATATTAAATATCAAGGCAAAGAGTATTAGTATTAGATATACCAGCAAATGACAATCATGGATTCTAGAAGTATTGATTTTGCCAAAACGGCATCTATTGACATGATGGCCCTGAACAACAAGGTTGGCTTTTCTCTGCATTTCAACAAAGTCCAAATTGAAATTTTTAATTTTTAAAAAACTTTATTATTTATTTAATTATTTAGGCCTATTAATTATTATGTAATGTAGGCCTACTTTTACTTAGTTTAGCCTAGATTAGATAATACATTATTAATATTAAATATTATAAGTGCACGGTCAAACCACCGCTGCAGCAACCCTCCTGTTTTTTGCTTCATATAAAAATAGGTAAAATCATGATATAGCATCGGTTATTATACCGGAACTGTACAGCAGTAAAAAACAGTAAAACCATGGCGTAGTCTGTCGAGCGTTCCAGAAACCACTGGAAATTCTGTAAACCATCATTTATTTTCCGCCATATTATTTAATATTTTTAATACCTAGGCCTAATGTTTAAAATGTGCAAGTGCAAGGATTGATTTTAGTTGTATTTTAAATACTGTTTTGCTAATTATTTTGTATTTCTAATTATTTTAAATTTTAAGTGTATGTGCTAATTATTGCTGCTACTCAACATTGTTATTGTTCTTCTTACTACTTTTAACTTTAGTAAATCTAATGGTCTTATTTTACTAACAGAACTAGAGCTAGTTGTCGCAAATCTTGTGCAGGTTTTTTTCTGTGTTTCTTAAAAAAAACATTAATTTCTACATTCGACTTTATTAATAATATTTAGATTTACTAATTGTTGCTAATTTTTTGTCAATTAAACATTAAATTACGTTAATACATTAATTTAATGCACTTGACTCTATTATTATTTCAACGGTCAAATAAACTATGGTTTAGAGTAACGAATGTTACCGAAACTTAACAAACATTACCAGATAATTTCCGATGCTATATCGTGGTTTTACCTAACAATAATTGTTTGGATGTTTTATACAAAATCTACCAATATCTGCTGTATGTATGTCCATTTCAAAATACTCACTAAAAGAAGACAAACTGTATATTATTAATATTAATTAGGCCTACTATAATTTGTGGTCTCCCAGTTTTAGCACAACAAGCAGCATATGTATAATTAATATTTTTACCTGTATAGTTTTTTTTTAGATACTAAATCTATACCTTTTAAAAAGCTTACAGTAATCATTATCTGATTTGGTTTAAACCCCCATTAGTTGTGGCACTCTCAGTTTAGTGAGATTTCAATAGTTATTCTCAGATGTCTTTTCTACTTATCACAGATTGTCAAAATGAGACAAACTGTGAAACGGAGTAAAGTGCAAGTTATCAACAAACTTTGCAAGTACATTACAGAACTCAAAAAGAAAAAGTAAGCTATCTAGTCTAATTTAGAGAGTATTTTCATGTTAAAGTTTTGGTATGTACCTGTAGTTTAATTTTAACAAAATACCTTATAATATTTCAATTACATTACTTTTTAGTTGAGCAGCTTGTAATGTATATATTTATAACTAGGTGAAATAAATGTAGAGATTGTTTGGCCTTTAAACTTTACTGAAATTTTTCTTTCTGATTCCGTTTTAGAGGCACAGAGGAGCAGAAAGAAAAAAATTTACGCAAAGCTGAAAGATATATTGAGGAAATTGATTCAATTAAGGTAAACATTTATATGTTAGATGAAAGCTTTGAGCCTTAGTTTTGGTAAAAATATTTTAAATTATCTTTTTGTCTTCTGTGTGCTACAACAGTTGGTAAATTGCTCTGTGTACATATACACACAATGTTTTTGGTTTATTTGAAGTGTTTAACTGCCAGTAAGATCGTTTACAAAAATATTCTCTTTTAAATTTGTATGTTTCAGAAATTAAAAGAAGACAAAGTATCCAAGTATGCACTTGCTAATACAAAGTCATTTGCAGAAGTGTCTAAGGCAAGTGTTAATCACCACTCTATTTTGTTAATTTATTCGATATTAATAATCAAAAATGTTTCAGTTTAAACAATAAGTAAAGATTTGCTTAGGATCAAGTTAATTAAGGTAAAAATAATTCTAGATTCCTATTCTGATTTACTTAAAATTTATTTTACAGCTAAGCTTATTGGCTGGTCCACGGGCTTTGGCTCGTCTTGCAGATCATCCCCTTATGAAAAAAGTTGTTTCTGATTTTCGCCAGCAACACCAGGATTGGCAAGACCTAGCGGCTTATCTGCTGATAAAACAAACCGGGCGTAGATTCAAGACAAAAAAACAAAAACAAAAAAAACTAGCACATTGTGTTGAGAACATTAATGCTTCAGAGACAATGACTAAAGCTTATATACATGAAAGGTTTGGGAAGGAAGGTCTGGAAAAAGCAGAACAAAGATTTGAAAGAAAAAGAAAACGTTCTAAAATTACATCTGGTGCTGAAACAAGTGATGATGCTTCAGTCCCTAAAGTGGTTGTTGCTGAATCTAAAGAAATACAACAGAAAGCAAGTCCATCTAAAATAATAAATCAAAGTCTTGCAGACACAGAAAAAAGCTTAGTTATAAATGAAAGTTTAGAAGATAAAGATAAAACCTTAAATTCAAGCGAAACTACTGAGAATAACGATGAAAACTTACATTCAATTCCTATAAAACCTAAGACTAATATAAAGAAAGACATTTTAAATAAAGAATCAAATGAAGTTAAAGATATACTCTGCACAGATAAAATCAAAGATGCAAATATTGAGAGAGAACAAGCTGGTCTTGAAATAGTTTGTCACAGTAGCAATTTGTTGGTGAAACCTAGTCTTGACCAATCTTCTTCAGACAAACATAGTCAACATGACCTCTCTTCAGACAAAGATATTGAACAAGATCTCTCACATGATGAAGATATTGAACATGATCTGTCAGATGATGAAGAAAGCAGTTCTAGTTCAGAAGATGAAAGTGCTGAGCAATCTTCAGCCTCATCAATTGTGGAAAATGAAGAAGAAAATAACCCAGAGACTGAAGCTACTGATGAGCATCTAAAAAATAGCAGTAAAAAATCAGAATCAAGAAGTGAATGTGTTGTGAAAGAATTAAATCTGGGTGAGGACAATAGCAGTGATGTAATAGAGGATTCTTCTTCAAGCTCTTCTTCAGATGAAGATGAAAGTGACAAAGAAAGTGTAGATCATACGCCTGCCCGTAATAAAAAAAATAAAAAGAAGGATGTTCCAGAGTTTTTGACTAAGCCCAATAAGAATGTAATCAGTGACCCATTTTTCGGCAGTGATGATGAGGGGGAAGCTGCACAGGAAGAAATGGAGTTTAATGAATTTGATAATGGCGAAGATGATTTTTCATTTGCAGATAAAAAAAGGAAAGTGGGGTCCATGTTTTATAACCCACATGCCACTGATGATGAAAATTCCAAGAGAGCTCGTTTTAATGCAGGAAAATATCGCGGCTCATCGACTAAACAATTTGGCCATGACAGGTTCAGCAAGGAGCACAGGCCTACAAGTTGGTCTGGTAGAGGAAGTAGAACAGCACCTAGGGGTAGCATGCGTGGGAGAGGCTCATTTGGAAACAGAGACAGAAAACCACCTCATGTTAAAAGTGATCAACCAGCCAATACTAACAGGTAAGTACTTCTTTTTTTCTTTCTGTTGCATTATGTTCTCATGCTGGGTTCATGAGTTGAAAGAAATCTGTGTAAGCATATCATTAAGTTGTCACCTTACTATTTAGCTTCTTAAATCTCAATTGCATCTATTAAATTAAAGTAACATCTGCTAAAATAATCTAATGTTTTTATTATTTTGAATTGTTAGGTTTAAAGACAGTTCAAGTAAGACAAAAGTTGAACCCAAAACAGGTAAACATACATTTTTGTTCTTAAAAAACATTTCCAACTATAGTTTATTCAGAATGATAAATAAACCACTTTTCCACCATGTAATTTAAATATTGAATGGCCCCAACTATTTTCTACATAACTGCATATGAAAAATAACTAACTTAACTGGGATTGAGCATCCTATGCCTATTTTCAGTCCACTGTAGCAATTTACAGTCAACAGACTTAGGCCAGTCGACTGGGAATAGGGGCCTCCAATATTTCCTCATGAAGTAGTGTTAACAAAAGGTTTTTGTTACAACATACCAGTTTGACATTGTCTCAACATTGAAAATTTGACCATTTGATTGATGCCATGTTTATGTTAATGTAAATGCATAGTTTACCAAAACAATATTATCACTTACTAAGTTACTAATGTAACATGTTTTACTTTTTCCAGTTTCAAATACAGAAAAACTTCACCCGTCATGGGAAGCAAGTAAAAAACGCAAAGCAGAGCAAAGTAGCATCGCAGCTTTTAAAGGCAGCAAAATTGTATTCGATGATTAAAAATGACATTTTAATGTACTGATTTATTTCCTCGATTTACCAACACTAAATATGACTTGTTGGATCATAGAGTGCATGACTGCTAGCCTGAAAGTCTCTAGTTCAAATGCTGTGCTCTTGTCTGTAGGCACCCTTACTCCACCCACCCAGCTCTGAAGTAAACTCTGCTCATATAGCACTTACCACTTTCTATTCATATGCTGAATTAACAGAAACAGGACCATCAGATATGAAATAACTTAATAATTTCGTTCACAATGGTTTCAAATCCAAGGAAAATAGCTAATTGTCCAGATTAAGGAGTACCATAATTAAGTCAAAGAATTTAAAAAAAGTGGAGGATATTCACATGTATTTAAAATAATATTTATTAAAAGCAACATGGTTTGAAAACAATCACAACATAAGAATCAAATCATAATTTCAGGTAGTGTAATACAACTCCTGCTATTGAGTATTGTATAATTATTATATCTACATGATTTCTCTTGACACCAGTATCATTACTGCTGTGTACATCGTTTATTTTAAATATTGAGAGATTATCAATTTTAGATTAGCACTTGACTTATATTTCAAAGCAAAGAAAGGAGCATGTTAAGTATTGATGCTTTAGTCATATTTATAAAAATCAATACTGATTTCAGAAGGTAAATATATAGCAGTTCTGATAAACAAACTTCCACTTCTGATAAATGCTTTAATTCACATCATATGTTGCTATAAATAATTATAAATAAAGTAGTGTGACCACACTTTGTCATAATGAAGGTTTTGCTAATTGATATGTAATTAGCATTGTTATAAATGTATATTACCCTATACAGTCTTTATTGCGGCAGACTGATTAGACTTTTTGTCTTTTCTGCCTTATCTTGTAGTTAGAGAACACTGAATTAAAGTTTTAGATAGTAATTTTCTTAATGGAAACTACTAGATCAATAAAATAAAAATAATAATATTTTAGAAAGTAATTTTTCTAATTGAAATAAAGCATTTTCTAAAGTAACTTTTGAACAGAAATAGTAAATGAGCAAGAGTGCAGTTATAATATAATGGAAAAAAGCAGCCTAAAGCCAAGTCACAGGATATGTTTTTAAACGTTAGATAAGAACCTTGGAATTACTTTCATCCTTTTTAGTTTATTTTTGCTTGTATGGCATTTCAATATACAAAATACCAATCTAACTACAGCCAACTGATTTTAAATTAATAATTATTAAAGATATTAGCAATAAAATGCCAACTATTAGGAGAAAAGCTAATAATTTAAGAATCTAGATGAAATAATAGTAATATACATTTGAAAAGTACAAAACAATTTAACTATTGGCTAGCTAATAACTGAATTATTTTGCACATTACAATTTATGACTTAAAGCTCAAATTTTTATTTACATTGAAAGTAATATTTTGAAAGTTCTAATTAAAAAAAAAAATCAATTTCTTCAATTACATGTTAAGTAACCAGCATATAAATTGTATCTCAAAGCAGGATACAAACAAAATTTTCTGGAATGGAAAAAGGTTTTTTTAGCCAGTCGTGGCCTGTGTAGACCATCACAGGTAAATTTTCTGTAGCACCATATTTTTTTAAATAAACAACAGGGAGGGATTACTCTCAGATTGAATTATAACACACACGCGCAGCATGACTCCCTGAAATAGTAGCATAGGCCAGCCTGAATCACTCTACGGCAGTTCCAATATGAATCCTGACAAGGAATGTCCTTACCTGAAAGCAAACAGAAATATGAGTGGTTCCAACCCTGATATTGCAGAGAACCCTTAGTTGTTAAATATCAAGAAATAAAGGGAAGGCGTAGCCTAGTGGGAGAGAACTAGGCTGTAAACCAGAGTTCAAATCCGGGTTCAAGTCAGTAGAATGTCCCTGAGTTCACCCAGCTCTGATGGGTACCTAATTCACGTTAGGGAAAGCAAAGACTGCTGGGCATATTGCTGACCACAGCTTCTCTTCATATGCAGAAGTCCCTGAAACAGATGAACTCTACTTCATCTGCTTCATGTATCTTGGACACAAACGGGAAGAGATGATGATCAAGAAACAGGTTGTTTTATTCTGATAATAGGAGTAGAAAGAAAAATTTTAATATCTAACAATGTAAATTAATTAGTTTGTTGTGCTCAAAATGAAAAAGTCATAAATACTTGTAAATTAAGAGTAATAAAAAACAAAACGTTTAACTAAATTACATTTTTTTTAGTATATCCGTAATGTTTGATTTTTTGCTGATTAAATAAACAAAAGGTTAGAGAGTTTACCTGGCCTAGCCTGCGAGCCTGGTACGACAAGGTTCTGTGGTTTCTGATGCTGGTACTGTTCTGTGTAAGGTCTGTAGTGGACTTCTGTTGTGTTGGTCCTACTGCTGTGTACTCTATAGTGACTGTTACTTGCTTGAGCTAACACAAAATTATCAAAATACTTTGAAATGTTCAAATCAAATTATTTTAAAGTTCATTTAAACAACTCTATCAACACAAACTGTCTAGTTCTATGCCATAATTGAGAAAATAAAGTTTAAGACACTCTTAGATCCTAAATTTATTTTAAAATCCAATAATTTTTTGTTTATTATATAAACAAAGTAAAAAAAAAGCAACACAGTGAACAGGATTTATAGACCTTGGTGTACAAGATTTATAGTCCTTGTTCAGTATAAGAGCACAAAATGACATTAAAAAAACGTGGAGAAAATCATAAGGCTTTATTTATAGCCTAGTCAGGTGATAGGGAAGATTTTTTAAAATGTCAGTGCAGTAATTCATGAAATGATTCAGAAAGTAATTAAATGTATAGATCTTGTAGCAGGGCATGCATCCTAGGATTATCAGTTATTTCATGTTTTCAGATATTTCATGTTACCAGATATTTCATGGTATCATTTAATTCACATTATCAGTCTATTTTTTTTACAGGAGGGTTAGGGAGTTAAAATAATCATTACATTTTAATCCTGATAGTTAAAAGTGTTGAGACTAGTTAAGACCAATTTCATATGCAGTTACAGAATGCACAAAAAAATTCTAAGTCACAAGTTCTTACATGGAAAAAAAATTACCCACATTACTATACTCAAGAGGCTAAGTCTTAGGTTTCCAACAGACAGAGTTTCTTCCAGGCATCTCTTCGGGGGGCCAAGCCCTCTCCCCCCACTGAAATTTTTTTACCGCCCCCCGAAAGAAGTGAAATTTATATAATTTATATAGAAAATATATACTTTTATCAGTGTCCGTCCCCCCGAAGAAAGTCTACCGCCCCCCTGAAAATTTCAAGTGCCTCCCCCGGAGAAAAAAGTCTGGAAGAAACACTACCACATTATTAAGTATCTGGTACTCACCAGATACTTAATAATGTGGTACCTAACAAATGGTTAAAGTGTAAATGTTTACCTTGTGCAACATCTGGTTCGTGTTGATGTCTTGTGTTACAAGACTGCTGGGAGCAAACTTTCTGGACCTCTGGCTTGAGCAAGTTATCACAGTTGGATGAGGGTCTCCTGTTATCTTCTATACAGCGAACCTGTCTTGTTCTGCGGCCTTCTCCGCATGTCACTGAACACTAACAAATATAAAAAAAAAATTACTTTAACTGGTAATTAATGATGGTTAGTTATTAAAAATAACCTTAGTAAAAAAAATCTTACCTCTGACCAAGGAGAGGTGTACCATTTGGCACTGCATCCTGTATTGACACATGGCTCAGAAATTGTTGGCTTGAGTGAGCTTTGGCAATCTTCATCTCGCACTATAGACAGCACAGACTGCACTTCTTTAAGACAAACAACCTGGCGCGTCCTTACACCATTTCCACAGTCTGGTGTACACTGGGTCGACAAAATTATAACAATTAAATAGGTCAACAAAATTGTAACACTCTATACTCTATAAATATGTCAACACAATTGTAACATTCAATTAAATATGTTAACAAAGTTGCATTAAAGTAAATATGTAAATAAAACTGTAAACCATTTTATTCAACAAAAAAAACAAAACTTGATTGAATACATTAGTCCTGCAATATGTTGTTTACCTTGCTCCAAGTTCCCACAAACCATACACCACCACAGCCTGTATCATGTTGACAAACTTCCTTCAGCTTTGGGACATCCTGGTGGTCACAGGAATTATGGGAAATCACATGACCTTTGTCATTAACACAAACAGCTGAACGGCTTCGCTGGCCTTTTCCACACGATTCAGAACACTAAAGCAAAATAAAAAAAAAAAAAAAAAAAAAAAAAAAAAAAAAACAAAAACAAGAAATAAAATGGTCACTTATCATATTTGGTAACTTAGACATATTTTAAATATTAATTTTATGTGTATTTTAAAATATTTCAACAAATTGAGAGATTCCCCCATACCTCTGACCATTGGGATATCCACCACTGTGTTGTACAGCTATGTGTGTTGCATTGTTCGACCTCTACAGGTGCTGGCTGTGTGCAGTAGTTGGCGGGAATGTGCGAGTCTGTCTTGTCCACACATCTGACCTCACGCTGTCTCTCACCACCACCACACTCTTTGCTACACTGTGGACAGGCAGCAGGCAGGAAATATAACAATACATAATAACATACAGTGTGGACAGGCAACAGGCAGAAAATATAACAATACATAATAACATACAGTGCTACACTGGATAGATAGCAGGCAGAAAATATAACAATACATAATAACATACAGTGCTACACTGGATAGATAGCAGGCAGAAAATATAACAATACATAATAACATACAGTGCTACACTGGATAGATAGCAGGCAGGAAATACAACAATACATAATAACATACAGTGCTACACTGGATAGATAGCAGGCAGGAAATACAACAATACATAATAACATACAGTGCTAAACTAAGGACTGACAAGAGGCAGAAAATATAACAATACATAATAACATACATGAAATAATACACTGATACCCACATGTAAACATCAAGATGTTCATATCAAATCAACCTAAAAAACGTTATCCTTACAGACATAATGGTCTATAGGGCAGATTGAGTAGAGTTCACCTGTTTCTGTGATGTCACCATACGAAGGGACAGTATGGTCAGCTAAATGCCCAGCTTACTTTCCCTAACATGAGCCAGAGCAGGGTGGACTCATACATCTAGAAAACTTGAGCACTGGATCTGAACTCAAGACTTTCAGGTTAGCTCTACCATCTGACCATGTCAATCCCAGGTCAACACACAAACATTTATACAAAGTCAACATCTAGACATGTATAGGAAAACTATCAAAATATACACAAGGCAACAACATTTGTTCACTAGGCCTGCTAAACCCAGATATGGAAATGAAAACAGAACATATTCAAATATCCACATGAAGCCAATTTAGCTTATGCAATTACAAATGAAATCATGCATCCAGATACACACAAGCTAACTAAAAGTATAGATCTAGTCTTGGTAATTTTCTAAATGAAGTATATATGGATAGACAAATGTTAACTTCAAGAGGGGTAAAGAAGAAAATAAAGCATTAAGGGAGGTAAGAAGAAGACAAAGCATTAAGGGGGTAATGTAGAAAAAAAAGCATTAAGGGAGGTAATATAGAAAATAAACGTTAAGGGAGGTAATGAAAAAAACAAAGCATTAAAGGGAGGTAATAAGAAGACAAAGCATTAAAGGGAGGTAATAAGAATACAAAGCATTAAGGGGGTAATGTAGAAAACAAAGCATTAAGGGAGGTAATATAGAAAATAAACGTTAAGGGAGGTAATGAAAAAAAACAAAGCATTAAAGGGAGGTAATAAGAAGACAAAGCATTAAGGGGGTAATGTAGAAGACAAAGCATTAAGGGAGGTAATGTAGAAAACAAAACATCAAAGGAGGTAATGCAGAAAACAAAGCATCAAGGGAGGTAATGTAGAAAATAAAGCATTAAGGGAGGTAATATAGAAAATAAAGCATTAAGGGAGGTAATGTAGAAGACAAAGCATTAAAGGGAGGTAATGTAGAAAACAAAGCATTAAGGGGGGTAATGTAGAAAACAAAGTGTTCACCTGGCTCCAAGCTCCAGTCTGCCATCCAGCACACAAGCTGACCTCACACTGCTGGGCTACTGCTGGTTTCTCCGCTAGTCCACACTGGTCAGCTGAAACTTTGAGGGTCAGGGATGGAGAGAGCCTCTGCTGGCACACGACTATCCGGGTTTGTGTACCTGACCCACACGTCACACTGCATGCAGACCACTCTTTGGCTTCCCACCTGAATTGATTTTACATTTTAAAAGTTCAGTTCACCTTGGGGCCTGATAATTAATTTGGTGCACGTCTCTCGGGTTAGCAATAGCAATCATGTTCTCAAACATGTCATCCCATTAAAAAATAATTAAAATCTAACTATCCTTTTAAATACGTAATTTAAATTTTTTAAAAAGTTAAACACATGTTACAGTTTTAGAATATTGAAATATGCTTTCAACTTTTAAAGCTATATGTTTGATTGCTAGTAACAAAAACAACATAATTTTACTTACACAGGTTCACACGGGGCAGTATTGCACTGAACTGTCTGGGAATTTGGCTTCAAATGAGCAGCACAGTTTTCAGGTGTGACAACTACTTGTGTCCTTCCAGTGCTTGATATACACACAATATTTGTGTTTTGAGTACCTAGTTTAGTTATCAAATATTTTCTTATAAATTTCTAAGAGACCAGGATTTGATTAGTGAAAGTTAATGGTCCACTCTAAAATTTTCTACACATTTAATTAAAAAAAAGATTTCCATTTTTGATTAAAAGTAACATAATTAGTTTTTCTTATACACACATTAAAACTGAATTAATAAGTAATTAAAAATGTTCAAAAGTTTTGGAACTTTAATTACTTGTGCTGTTAAAATACATTCAAATTTACTTTCACAAAACCTAATTTCATTGTAGATTAGTTAGAATCAGAACAAAAATTACAGTGTGTATTGTTTTATCCTGGCTTACCTCCCCCACAAGGATGAGAACAGTCTGTAAATCCTGCAATTTTCCAGCGATATTCACTGCTCCCTTGACCAGGGTAACCAGAATCAATTGGGTGATAGTTTTGGCCATCGTAATTATCTACCTACAAAATACATTACATTATGTATCTTTAATAAAAAAAAATGAATAAACAGGTTTTCCAATAAGAAATATTTCATTAGTTTTAATGTAAGTTGAAGAATCTTGTCCAACCAGTATTTGGGCTACTCCATAAATATTAATATATTGGCTAATTGAGTTGGAAAACTGAGTGAAAACTCTAAGCCTGTTAAGGTACTGTGTTACCTCTTCCTATCTATCAAACACAATACAATACATCAAACATAATTTTTCAGGGTTGGAGAGGAAAGTCCCTCAAGCACCCCCTATGGTGCAGCACACTAGCTTCTTTGAAAATTTGGTGTTGGCTGTTACACACAAGTGTGGTGTTAGGCTTACATGTGCAACACACTTTTGCCATGATCTCTATCATGGTTTAAATATAGATTCTAATTGTCCTGGTGCAACACCCCCTCCCCCTGGCTATAGGCCTAATCCTAATAATTTTAATAAATAATATGTATTTACCTAGGCCTTGGGGGGGGGGTCATCCATAAATGACGTCACGCTTTTTTGACGATTTTTACATTCCCCCTCCCCTCCGTCACACGTCGTCACAAAAAGCCAGACCCCCCCCCATAAAATGACGTCACACCTCAGCCTACAACCCCCCTCAAAATTGCAGTTAAATTTTTTTCGTCTGCAATATGTCAAAATAGAGTATTTTAATCAATTCCTATTATAATTTATTAAAACTGTTTTCTAAAACGCTAAATAACATAAAAAATTCGTTTTCTAACATTTATTATCTATAAAGCAAAAGTGTGACGTCGCACCATATGACCCCCCCCCCTTCCCCCTCATCACACATCGTCACAAAATGACCCCCCTACGAGTGTGACGTCATTTATGGACGACCCCTTGTAGAATATTTAAATAATAATCATTAAAAAAGTTAAAAAAAAAACACGTTTTCTGATTGAACTAAAAAGTAGAAAATAAATGTTATACATCACAATAATGCAAGCGATCACTCTACTATAAGCGATCAAAAACGTGGGGCGCCGTGATTTTCTTACAGTTTCTAATACTATTGACTTTTATTAGGGAGCTTGTAGAGAGTCAACAGTGCCCAACCACTCGACCATATCGTCTCCCCCATACTGGCCACCAGTTGTTACGTTCTGGTTGTTTGTACACAAACACTGCGTGAACACTAGTCAGCAAGCAAAAAGAGGGAGAGTCCCGAACCTTGTTTTCATCAAATTACAGTTACTGGGTTATGTCCCTTTTCCCCCACGTTTTTGTACAATTATATAGCGGCCTAAAATGATCAATAAAATGTTTCCATGGATCAATTTAGTAATAATAACAATTGAATATTCTATGGTCATCGGAAACAAAGCTTCCCTGAAAATTTCAGCGCGCTAGCTAACCGGGAAGTGCCCGAAATTTCGATCGCAAGATTTGATTGGAGAACCAAACAGACGCGAAAGCAAGTTAAAGAAAACGTGGGAAAAATCGCTAATGTTGGCTTTTCTCTGAAAAGTTTATATTTCCAGTTAGGCCTAGCCTGGTATAATCCAGTACTTTGAGGGGGAAGAGGGAGGGATTTGAAACGGGGGGGGGGGCAAAGAAGATACTTAAATAATTATATTCTGGGGGAGGGGGACAGCAGACACTGATTTATTAATCAAAGAAATATTTTCTAAATAAATTACAAATTATATGTTTTTCTATATTGTTCATGGGGGGGGGGGGGGGGGGGGGTGGGGTGCTCCTCCAAAGAGATACGTGAAAGAAACTTCTGTACAAACAATCAATACAGTAACATTTGATTCAAGTGTGCAGCCAACTCACAACATGATAGGCCTCTTGATACGACGTTGTTTGTGGATAAATCTGATGGTGTGCTGCACTGAGCGGTTGGTTTGATTTTACTTGCGCGATGTGTTCCGGTACGTGCTGCCTGCGCAAGACGTTGGGGGCGGGTGTCCGGTGTCTGCTTGTGTTTCTTGCTGGTTGTCTTCTGATATTCTTTCTCTACAGTGAGGAGACAAACAAGTTACTTTACAGTAAAGATGATGTCGATAAGTAACGTCATGCGTTAAGAGCCCATTGTTACCCCTCACCGCCTATCATAACAAAACGTCAGATACGAGGTAGCCCTTGGTACATCGACAAAAAAGCAAGCTTTATTGTTGTGTTGTTACCATATGAAGAGCGATTTTCTCTGATATAATACGCAAATGTGCAGAGGCGAAGCGAGGGGGGGGGGCGGGGGGGGGGGACATATGTCCCCGGGACGCCGACCTTAGGGGGGGGGGGGGCGCCAAAATGGGTTGGAAAAACAAATTGAAAGTTTGAGGGGGGGGGGGGGTGCAAATCAAAAGTTCGAGGGGGGGGGGGTGCAAATTGAAAGTTTGTCCCCAGGCGCCGGGAAGGGTCGCTACGCCTCTGCGAATGTGTTTTAATTAATAAAATACTCGCTATATGGATGGCGAGGGTGGAAGGGGGAGGGGGTTGGTGAAATCAAAGTTTGAAGAGTCTAAAGTGACATTAAAATTTATGGATTGCGTTGTTTGCTCATATTTAACCTTGAGCCTCGTAGTGAAGCTGGTAGGCCCACGGTTGGGAAACTAAGCTAAAATTCGTATCGCTTGTCTCTGAGCCCGTTTTAAATAAATAAAAAAATTATACTACAATAGTAAGCCTTAATAAACTCAAAAAAAAAAAAAAAAAAAAAAAACAAAAAAAAAAAAACAAAAAAAAAACAACAAAAAAAAACAAAACAACTAGACCTCCCCTCTTACTTTCCCCAACATCAAGAATATTGGTAATCCCCTGGTTTTTCCTGAACGACCATTCTGAAGCTGTGTTACCACGCTATCGGAAACCTTCCGGCTTTTAATAAAAATACACCCGTCTCTATCTTCTCTCGGTATATTGATGCAGCGATTAGCGGCCTACACCTTGGCTTGCAGAAGATAAAATTATATAAACATTGAATTCACACTATAAGCTTCTCGTTACACCAAGTTTTAGAAAATTGATTTAAGTTCTGTAGGAAGACGGCACTTAGCTTTCTTAAAATCGTTTCAAAATTGTTCCGTGTTATTCTTGTTTTTACAGCAGTCTAGTTTTTAATTTACTGACGTCAACAAAACGACAAAGTGTGGTGTAAGTCAATTTCAAGTTGGAATCATAGATTTCATGTAGATACACGCTGGCGTCGCTAGGTTGGTAACTTAGTGATTGTGGTAACAGATGCGGTAACTTAAGGTGTCATCAAATATAATGTTGTCACCCGGCGTCTCAGGGTATCAGCACCCTTTGATGGTGTCACGAGGTGCAGTCAGCACCCCCTCCTCCCCGTGACGCCACTAATACACAAAACTTTAAAAATTTACTCACAACGTGGGACTGTGAGTCTCCAGCGTGGGTGTAGCTCTGCCCCCGGCCCCCTAGCGTGTGTGTCCCGTACCTTGATCCAGTATAGTCATATCTGCCTCTGACTCCAGTGCCATCTGTTAATGAAGACGTCGACTCAGGTCGACCTTCTGATCTGTTGGACTGTAAAGGGAAACAACTTTAATTTTTCACTAAAAAACAAGCTCGAATCCATAAAAACGTAAAAAAAAAAAACGCGCAAAACCTCAATTTAATTAAACTAAAATTTAAAAAATAAAAAAAATAAAAGCTTTTTGACGCCCATGCAGATTTTATTTTACGCCCGTATTTAGTTACAATACGGGTGGTGGCGGGGCCTCTTCCCACACTATATCTTTTAATAAAACAAAACTAATCATAGGCAAGCCGCATCACATTAGCGTTTACTGGATAATTTCATCGTTCTTGGCAAATGATTTTCATTATTTGTATGGCTTCACATACCATTGCCCCGTACCCTCTCCCCACCACCGTTTAAGGACTTCGTTGTTGATGTTGCCCCCCAGTCACCACCCCAGCCTCCCAGCCTCAGTCACCACCCCAGCCTCCCACCCTCAGTCACCACCCTAGCCTCCCACCCTCATTCACCACCCTAGCCTCCCACCCCCCAGTCACCACCCTAGCCTCCCACCCTCAGTCACCACCCCAGCCTCCCACCCTCAGTCACCACCCCAGCCTCCCACCCTCAGTCACCACCCTAGCCTCCCACCCTCATTCACCACCCTAGCCTCCCACCCCCCAGTCACCACCCTAGCCTCCCACCCCCCAGTCACCACCCTAGCCTCCCACCCCCCAGTCACCACCCTAGCCTCCCACCCCCCCAGTCACCACCCTAGCCTCCCACCCCCCAGTCACCACCCTAGCCTCCCACCCCCCAGTCACCACCCTAGCCTCCCACCCCCCAGTCACCACCCTAGCCTCCCACCCCCCAGTCACCACCCTAGCCTCCCACCCCCCAGTCACCACCCTAGCCTCCCACCCCCCAGTCACCACCCTAGCCTCCCACCCCCCAGTCACCACCCTAGCCTCCCACCCCCCAGTCACCACCCTAGCCTCCCACCCCCCAGTCACCACCCTAGCCTCCCACCCCCCAGTCACCACCCTAGCCTCCCACCCCCCAGTCACCACCCTAGCCTCCCACCCCCCAGTCACCACCCTAGCCTCCCACCCCCCAGTCACCACCCTAGCCTCCCACCCCCCAGTCACCACCCTAGCCTCCCACCCCCCAGTCACCACCCTAGCCTCCCACCCCCCAGTCACCACCCTAGCCTCCCACCCCCCAGTCACCACCCTAGCCTCCCACCCCCCAGTCACCACCCTAGCCTCCCACCCCCCAGTCACCACCCTAGCCTCCCACCCCCCAGTCACCACCCTAGCCTCCCACCCCCCAGTCACCACCCTAGCCTCCCACCCCCCAGTCACCACCCTAGCCTCCCACCCCCCAGTCACCACCCTAGCCTCCCACCCCCCAGTCACCACCCTAGCCTCCCACCCCCCAGTCACCACCCTAGCCTCCCACCCCCCAGTCACCACCCTAGCCTCCCAGCCTCTCACGATTACCGCACCCTCCCATCCCCCAGTCTCCACCCACCACTCACCACACCCCCAGTCACCACCCCAGTCTCCCACCCCACACTAGTCTCCCACCCCACACTAGTCTCCCACCCCACACTAGTCTCCCACCCCACACCAGTGTCCCACCCCACACCAGTGTCCCACCCCACACCAGTCTCCCACCCCACACCAGTGTCCCACCCCACACCAGTGTCCCACCCCACACCAGTCTCTGGCCACGACACCAACACGACACGCGTGGATCTCTGGCCACAGGGCCACAACGACACGTTCTCCCAACAGCACATCAACAGTTCACCTGTAGCAGGCAAGACATACCCACACCTGTAAGACTGAATGGAGTCTTGGGTCATCTTGACCTAACCCATGCACTCCTCAAGTGCCTTATTTACATTTCATTAATTTCAAATCAATTACCTTTTTTGTGGGCCTCTTCTACCAACTTATTCACCTGTGCTAAACTTACCTGTGACATTTTTACCTACGCCCTGTACAGCAGAACAAAGATTGGGGGGCCTATCATCCACTGAACGCCGTTGGTAATTGGGAGAAATCAAAAGACGGTTATTGAACAGGGCTACTTTGTTTATATTTTTTTAATGAATATTGACGCCTTCCCAAACACTACTTACATGATATCAATAGTTTGTTCTTATTCATTCCTCATTTTTTATACTTTTCCACAATTATTTAGTTAAAAATGTTCACACTTTTAACCCTTTTCACAAGTTTTTAAACCTATATTTAGTAGTCAGTGCGCACAACTATTAACCTCTATTATTTTGTTGATTAAAACTGAATCTATAACTTTCACTTTGCTAGAAACAGACGAAATCTATGATTTATATCTAGTTTCAAAAAGGATTTTTGCCGTATGAGATTTACGATTTTTGCCTTTTGACTTGTAAAACTAGGCCTACACGATGCTCAGTTTAAAAAAGTAGTAAATATTTTTTTGTGACCGAACGAAAGGATATTTTTGAAAACTTTCTTCGGCAATATTGTTTTAAATTATGGCAGGAATCGATTGGTAAATGTTTCAAGTCGCTAAGTGGTCTGGTTGCCGAGATATGGGCTAAAAACTGCATTTTTTCGAGGTTTTTTGGCTTTTCCGGGAAATCCAGGAAGGAATTCCGGGAATTTTTTTGGCCCACAATCATCCTCGGAACTTGCTTAACATATTTGCTTTTGGAACTAGTCCTCGATATTGCTTCGTTGAGGAGGAGATACGACTTAAAGCTGCGGACACACTTCCATCCATCCATCCATCCATCACCAGAAATGACGAGTTAATAATCGCAATTGTCCAGTATGGAAATTGCGCTAACAATTGTCCAGTATGGAAATTGCGCAAAAAAATTATCTCGAGTATTTTTGTTAAATAATTGATTGAAAAAAGCAGCGGAGCATTAGTTGTGTGTGAGATTCTAACCCACTTATTTACTGCAATACAAGCTTAGGGTATCCTGGCGATGAAGCTCATTCCTTATGCCGAATATCATGATTTTAAAAAAAAAACCGTCCGTTATAAGTGTCTGTCATCCCTCCTTTTGTATGTCGTACCATCCGTTATATGTCTGTCACATTTTGTCTACCGTTCTTTATATGTGCCTGTCATCCCTCCTTTTGTATGTCGTACCGTCCGTTATATGTCTGTCACATTTTGTCTACCGTCCGCTATATGTCTGTCACATTTTGTCTACCGTCCGTTATATGTCTGTCACATTTTGTCTACCGTCCGCTATATGTCTGTCACATTTTGTCTACCGTCCGTTATATGTCTGTCACATTTTGTCTACCGTCCGTTATATGTCTGTCACATTTGTCTACCGTCCGTTATATGTCTGTCACCCTCAGTCATGTGTATTTCACAGTTCTACGTTTTCATCGCAAATAGACTTCTAATTACGTCAACGTCCGTTATATTTCAGTCACAGGTCACAGCCAGCTATGTTGTGATGGATTGTGGGGAGGTGTTGGTAGATGGTGTGTGGGGAGGTGTTGGTAGATGGTGTGTGGGGAGGTGTTGTGAGATGGTGTGTGGGGAGGTGTTGGTAGATGGTGTGTGGGGAGGTGTTGTGAGATGTCGTGTGGGGAGGTGTTGGTAGATGGTGTGTGGGGAGGTGTTGTGAGATGGTGTGGGGAGGTGTTGTGAGATGTCGTGGGGAGGTGTTGGTAGATGGTGTGTGGGGAGGTGTTGTGATATGGTGTGTGGGGAGGTGTTGTGAGATGGTGTGGGGAGGTGTTGGTAGATGGTGTGTGGGGAGGTGTTGTGAGATGGGGTGTGGGGAGGTGTTGTGAGATGGTGTGTGGGGAGGTGTTGTGAGATGTCGTGGGGAGGTGTTGGTAGATGGCGTGTGGGGAGGTGTTGGTAGATGGTGTGTAGGAAGGTGTTGTGAGATGGTGTGGGGAGGTGTTGGTAGATGGTGTGTGGGGAGGTGTTGGTAGATGGCGTGTGGGGAGGTGTTGGTAGATGGTGTGTAGGAAGGTGTTGGTAGATGGTGTGTGGGGAGGTGTTGGTAGATGGTGTGTGGGGAGGTGTTGTGAGATGTCGTGGGGAGGTGTTGCAAGCTGATTAAAGGTGAAACATATTTAAGGATTTGTGTTATAAAAAGCGAACACAAAAATAAAACCGTGAAGTTTGTGAATTCTGTCGTCACAACTAACATCTTATCGCAAGTAGTTCTCCACTGTTTTTATGGCCACATATATTATACGTCTAAAACAACAACAATTGTTTAAATTAACGTCTCAAGTGATGCTAGAGAAACATGCAGTGGTCATATACAAGACTGAATTACCCAGCCAATGACCACTAGGTCTAGGTATAAAAAAACACGAGCGAACCAACAGCCCACCTGTGCTGTAGACGCCTCATTCACCTGCTGGGGAATGATTTATGGGGAATAAGATAACACCAGCATGGATTTGTTTGCATGTGTGTTCGCTCGTCTGCCACCATTGTTAACAGCTGATAGAGTTTGTCTTTATGCTTAATTAGCTATTTTACAACAGCAATGTTGTCCCCACTCGCAGGAGTGGCGACGAAGGAATGCTTTGGGCTGTGACGACAAGCACAACATATTTGCTTTCACTTTGGTGAACTCCAAGTGTTGTGAGATAGACTCTAGATTGTTGGTCCGTGTTTGCTTGGCGTACTTCAAGCGCTGGGTATTCCGTATTAGAGTGTTACATTTTTATTGAATGCTAGACTGTAACAACTGGGGATATGAAAGCTGATTTATTGAGTTGGGCAAGACTGGGCTATGTTTGTCTATTCATGTCAGACTAAGTTATGTTTGTATTTGTCCGACTAGGTTATGTTTGTATTTGTATGTATGTCTATGTCCTAATAGGATATGTTTGTATGTCTATGTCTGATTAGTCTGCTTGTCTGTCGTTATGTCAGAATACCCTGTGTTTGTAATGTCCGACCTGGCTATGTTTGTATGTCGTTTGTTTCTACTTTTGTTACTGTATTCCTGATGAGTCAAACACATATTGTGTCACATTTTTTTTATAGTTCTAAAATTCTGACGGACATATTGTAATAAACATTCAACTCTATCCCCTGCCTACTACTTTAATGATGTCAGTAAAAAAGATGTGCTAAATATTAACTAGACAATTGAAAAATGCGAATTTAAAAATCTTTGAAACATCCACTTTTAACTCTAACCAAACAGAATTCGCTGAACGAAATTAAAACAACTGTGAGTTAATGATGTCGCCTGTATTACACAGACTTGGACCCCGAACTGCGAACACTCCACGTTCCAAATACCTCGAGTTCAGAACATTTCAAGTTCCGAACACCCCGAGCTCCCAATACCTCGAGTTCCGAACACTTTAGTTCCGAACACTTCAACTTCAGAACACCCCGAGTTCCCAACACTTCAAGTTACCAACAGAGTTTAAAACTCTTCAAGTTCCGAACGCTTCGAGTTCCGAACACCCAGATTTCCGAACACCCCGATTTCCGAAACCCTGATTTCCGAACACCCCGAGTTCCGAATCGTACAGTTACCAACTCACTCTCCACTGTACCTGGTGCTAGAGTATCAGAAGAAGAAAGCGTGAGCTCACCTGAGACCCCGTGTAGACCTCGCCCGTAAACTCCTCGCTGGTCCTGTTCATGGACAGCCGCTGTCTGTGTCTGCGCAGCGCCTGCAGACGGGTGATGTTGTGTCGAGATGCAGAGGGCGCCTCGTGTCGTGAGGTCGAGGGCGCCTCCAGACGTAAGTTCGAGGGCGCCTCGAGTCGTGAGGTCGAGGGCGCCTCGAGTCGTGAGGTCGAGGGCGCCTCATGCAGCGGCTGTGAGGGCGACTGTATCCTGCTCTGGACGCCGCCAAAAGGCGTGAACGAGACGGAGTTGGGTATCGTGAAGGTGTAGGCTATCCCAGGATTCTTAGCGTGGTAGAAGATCTAAAGATCACAGAGTTAAGCAAAAGTTAGATCTAAAGATAGCATTATCATAGAAGCCAATATCATTCATATATTGTTTGAGATTTTGTTGCAATTACACACTATAAATGTAATTGTTATTAATATTTTAAAATTGTGTCAATAACGTGAATAATCAAACACCATTGAAAGTTATAATAAACACTAAAATACAAAATCTTGGGCCTATATTATTATTATTTATGGACTTTATAATATTATATATAATAACTAAATGTACAACAATTTACACCTTAGTTTACACTATAATTATACATAGGCCTACAGCAAGCACCTCACTAGTTGGACCATAATTACCTGTACAATCATCGCATTAATGGGACCATAATAACCCGTACAATATCTAATTAATTGGACCATAATTACCTGTACAATAATCGCCTCATTAATTGGACCATAATTACCTGTACAACAATAGCCTCAGTAGTTGGGCCATCAGCATAAATACAAGTCCCTCTGCACCTCGCTGTGTTTTTTTCGTATGTGAACTGTGTGCCCGCCCCTCTGTAGTGGCCAGGTTGGTCCAGTGACCAGTAGCTGTTGACGATTCCCTGGTCACTTTTAGTCTTCACACCTGGTGAAAGAAATTATCTCGGTCACCCATAGGCGTAGCTTGTGGAGCAAATATCTTTTAGAGATGTTATGATGGTTAATTAAATACACATTGTTATCCACAATTTAAGCAGAAATAAATAGGTACAGGTATTTTCATTTGTATGTTTTTATCATATTTTAAAATTTCTTTGGCCACTGTATATTTGCTATGGTATTATAAAAGTTAAATGTATTCTAATTTGAATTTTAAAAAAAATGGACGCCGCTGTTTTTATAGCTAGAACGATTGTTCGTTGTCATGGCGACTTTTTTACAGGCGCAAGCTAGAGTTCAGATTTTTAGTTATTTCAATCAAAAAGTAAATTAAAAAAAACCCACCCTCAATGTTGCCCGTTATAAATGTGGACCCATACACATATCGTGGAACAATACACATATGATGGACCCATACACATATGGTGGACCCATACACATATCGTGGAACAATACACATATCGTAAAATAATACACATATCGTGGACCCATACTGATGACACAACTACCCATGTGACTTATAAACCCTCGGAAATTACCTACACGTAGAAAGGATATTTGCACGCACAGAAAACACACACAGAAGACACACATACAGTAGGAAGACACATAGAAGACACATTCAGTAGGAAAACTCGGAGAAGACACACACGAATGCTGTAAAAAAACTAATTAATGAGTGTGTTCCTTTGTATGTTGGCTCTATTGGACTTCACCAGGTTCGCGTCCAGGTGCCGAGTGACGTCACTTTATTAATGATATGTTGACTTATGCAAATGATTGACGACTTTGACGTGGACTATTTATACAAGAAGGCTTCTTGAGGCAGGTGAGGGGAATAGTTTTCTCCCCTGGTGTAGGGGCAGCCTCTCTAAAATAGTTTTCTCCCCTGATTGAGAGGCAGCCTCTCTAAAATAGTTTTCTCCCCTGATGTAGAGGCAGCCTCTCTAAAATAGTTTTCTCCCCTGATGTAGGAGCAGCCTCTCTAAAATAGTTTTCTCCCCTGATGTAGGAGCAGCCTCTCTAAAATAGTTTTCTCCCCTGATGTAAGGGCAGCCTCTCTAAAATAGTTTTCTCCCCTGATGTAGGAGCAGCCTCTCTAAAATAGTTTTCTCCCCTGTTGTTTTCTCCCTAATAAGTACCCAATCCTTAATAAGTACACAATCTCTAATATGTACCCAATCCTTAAAATGTACACAATCCTTAATATGTACCCAACCCTTAAGGGGTCATCCATAAATGACGTCACACTCGTAGGGGGGAGGGGGTCCGTAATTTTGTGACGATGTGTGATGAAGGGGAGGGGGGGGGGTTCAGATGTTGCGACGTCACATTTTTGCATTATAAAAAAAGTAATGTAAGAAAACGAATTTTAGACGTTATTTCGCATTTTAGATTACTGTTTTAATAAATTGTAATAGTTTAGACAAGATTTTAGAAAAATGTCGATGTTTTAAAAAAAAATTCAACTGCAATTTTGAGGGGGGTTGAAGGTTGAGGTGTGACGTCATTTTAGGGGAGGGGGTCTGGCTTTTTGTGACGACGTGTGACGGAGGGGAGGGGGGGGGAGGTAAAAATTGTCCAAAAAAGCGTGACGTCATTTATGGATGACCCCTAATATGTACCCACTCCTTAATATGTACCCAATCCTCAATATGTACCCAATCCTTAATCGCGAGTAGAGAACTGAATGAGAAAGTTTTACTTTTTTTTTCAATTTTTTAATTTAGCTGGAGCTCTACAAAATCAAAATGAAAAGGAGGAAAAAGAATGCATTATATATGCGTTACATTTCATCTTCCTTCCCACACAGAAGGTGTCTTGTCTAGGACACAGAGCAGCGATTGAAGCTATTAGTCTAGCACCCACCGGCTTTGATCACGGCGAGTTTGCCGATCATGTCCAGGTTCTAATCTCACCAGCTCCAGCCGCCGCGCTAAACCGGATCACGTTTCGAGTTTCTCTTTTTTTTTCGCGCAAAGCGACGCACGCAGTTGAAAAGGTTGATGTGTAATGGAACATGGCGGCGTCTGGTCTTGAAATAATCTCCCACCCCCGGGGCAGAAGACAAACATGCATGTATGATTCAGTTTGTTAAAAGCTGAAGCATTAGGTACGAAGAGAGCCCTCAGACAGGAAAGAAAATAGCACCCTATGTTAAATTACAAAGATGTGTTACGGGGAAATACCAGATTTATTTAAAAAGGGAGGTAAGCCGTGTCTATCAACAAGGGCAGGTAACTGAATAAAAAGTACTTAGTTTTTCGAGTGAGCGTTTTTTACGTCATATTTTAACTACAGTTGGTATATAGATCTATGTCAAGTATGGAAATGATATGGTTTTATTTATGTCAATTATGGCAATAATATGGTTTAACCGCTGTTTTATGCAGCACTTAAGTGAAGCTATAAACATGGATTTAATACCAAGAGGATACATTTCCGTTAAGAGTGGGGTGGGACTTGGTTTGTAGGCGGAGGTAGACGGATGCGATTCACGGTGGATTTTACAAACTTAAAATGTATAACCTACACGTTGAAGTGGGGAAATTAATTAATTGAAGCATGTTTAACTCGTAGAACATTTGTGGAACTAGAGATTTTAGCTTTCAAGTTTTAGAACATTTGTGGGTGTAGAGATTTTAGCTTTCAAGTTTTAGAACATTTGTGGGTTTAGAGATTTTAGCTTTCAAGTTTTAGAACATTTGTGGGTCTAGAGATTTTAGCTTTAAATTTTGAGAATTTTTAGGACCCAAAGAATTGTTTTTACGAAAATAAAAGCAGGTCATAGATAATCAAGAATTAAAACATTATTCCATAGACGCTATGTGTAAACATGGTAGTTATGTGTGTATGAATGTATGCGTGTGTATGCGAGTGATGAAGTTAAACGGTACGGGGAAACAAACATAATCCATACAGTTCTGTAATGTAGCACCTGCAGCCCTCGATAGAGTATCAACACACTCGTGTTATTTCTTTGTCCAAGTTCCCTGCGTACATTAGGTGCATATCATTTGTGATCAGCCATCATTTGCTGCTGGGGTGGGGGAAGGGGGGGGGGGGGGTCGTGGGGTGAGGCACTCTCTTGTATCAAACCAACCAGCTATTTCATTTCACGTGCGCTGTGGCGCTAGTTGTGTTTACGTTGACAAAAGGTGAGAATTACGTAATGTAAGATTGCGAAATGAGAGTACTCGAAGCACATGATTAGGGAAGTACTGGGTGCACATTACTAGACAGACGCATCGGAGAGAGATGTACAGTCTAATGATCATAAGAGTCTCAAATCATAAGTCAAATCATAGAAGTCACAATTCTCAAAGTCACTTTTTCGAACCTGGCGATTCATGTGGCAGATGCAGTAGAGTGCATATGTTTCTTTGACCTCGGCATTGGAAGGGATAGTCCTAGCATTAACGGTAATAACGTCACAATTCAAATAATAAAAGTCGTAATAAAAGTCATAAGTCAGCATGCATTTTATAGAGAGGGTTTCTTTCATACAATCTTTCGTAGAGGAAGGCGTACTTGAAATTTCCACTGGTTAAAGTATATATTTTATATATAAATTATACATTTCGTGCTGATGGGGTGGGAGGAAGGGCCGCTGTGCATGCCCCCCCCCCCCCAGGGGTGGGGGCGACACACCGAAAAAAGAGATGTCTTCTTCTTCGTTCTTAATTTTTAGTGTTGGAAGGGATCGAGCCTTTTCTGCCAGAGGGTTTGAACTCGAGACTTTTTCGAATTTATCAACCATGAGCTTTTGCCGAAGAGATGTCTGAAAGAAACTGATCAGCAGCCAACTATGAGTCACCATAAACCTGAGCTTTATTTTGTCAAATTGTCTAACTCCCCCCTCTCTCCCCCCCCCCCCCCCCATGTAACAGATCTGGAGATCTCATCCGGAATCTTGTCTTACACGTGACCATTGCAGTCACGTGACCATTGCAGTCACGTGACCATCTGCGGTCACGTGACATTCTGCAGACGGCGTTAAACCTGGAAACATGATCCTCACATGCAGGAAAACATTTTTGCTGTTTTTGTACGTCGTTAAAATGTCGCGGAGTTTGGGTTTCATTTGACAAGATTTTTAAGCTCCTTAACAATGTCGTGTGATCAGGTGCATTAAATACGTCAGTCCTACCAACATCTGACCAGCATGAACTTACTTAACTTGTTATAATTCTGTTCATACAAGATTTCAATTAAGTCAGATAAGTCATCTCGGGTTAGGGTCTAAATTTGTAACTCAATTTTAACCTATTTCTAATGGAGCCGTTTTATTCAATTTCCAGATAAGTTTATCTTCGATGACAAGGCAGGAATATATAATTTTCAATCAAATTTGATATTGAATTTGTCATTAAAATACAACCCATATTCAATATTAAAAGGGGAGATAACTAGGTGGTAGATGACAGGACTGATAAGGTGATCTCGGCCTCACGTTAAATGTTTACAAATGTTATTTATTTTATAAGAAAATATTGACGACTTTAAGTTGAATAGAAATCAAGCAAACTTTGAAAAGTCTTGTGGGATGTCGACTCAAGAACGGTCGGCTAGAAAATACTAAATATAGAAGGCATTGTTTGTAAATGTTACGTATCGATTAGCTGTTTATAAAATTGGAATACAATGAAGTGGAAAATAAAACAAGCATCATAAACGTTATATAGGTAATACCTGCGTTTATTTTTATTTAATTTTTAGAACATTATAAAAAGTTTATTATTACAACGTTGTATACTCGTTTTGTTAAAATACAAGATCTATGTAAAACACTATTTAAACTTTTAAAATCTAGACTCAATTTTTATTGCAATAATTCCGTAATAATTCTTGATTTTTTAGAGAGGGGGTGGGGGTGGGGGGTGGGGGGTATTATGTGACCTTCAGACACAAGAGGTAGCAAAACTATACATTCGTCTGGAGGTGGGGTGGTGTCACATATCAGACATCAGGTATTTCACTTCTGACAGTCTGACGGTAAAATAAAAACACCCTCAGCCTGTCATGTAAACGACAGCTTTCACTGGTGAGTAAAAAAGCCACTGACCAATAAAAAGCCACTGACCAATAAAAAAGCCACAATAAAAAAGCCACTGACCAATAAAAAAGCCACTGACCAATAAAAAGCCACCGACCAATAAAAAAAAGCCACTGACCAATATAATTCCTGCTCTCCTGAAACTCTGTGATGTTGATGTTGCATGCCGGGTAGGGAATCTCCACCACGGGGTTGTACGAGCCTTCCGTCATGACCGTGACGGTAAACAGACCGGAAATACGTCGGCACGTCTTTGGGTGACGTCGGCATTCGTCACATGCGTCATGCTGCTGGGCTAGTCCTATCTGCAGTATCTGTAGAGTGGAGATATTAGATAATCTATAGAGTGGAGATATTAGATAATTATCTGTAGAATGGAGATATAAGATAATTCTCTGTAGAGTGGAGATATTAGATAATCTATAGAGTGGAGATATTAGATAATAATCTGTAGAGGGGAGATATTAGATAATCTGTAGAGTGGAGATATTAGATAATCTGTAGAGGGGAGATATTAGATAATCTGTAGAGGGGAGATATTAGATAATCTGTAGAGGGGAGATATTAGATAATAATCTGTAGAGAGGAGATATTAGATACTAATCTTTTAAGGGGAGATATTAGATAATAATCTGTAGAGAGGGGATATTAGATACTAATCTTTTAAAGGGAGATATTAGATAATAATCTGTAGAGAGGGGATATTAGATACTAATCTTTTAAGGGGAGATATTAGATAATAATCTGTAGAGAGGAGATATTAGATAATAATCTGTAGAGTGGAGATATTAGATAATAATCTGTAGAGAGGGGATATTAGATAATCTGTAGAGAGGGGATATTAGATAATCTGTAGAGAGGAGATATTAGATTACATTTTCATTCTCTGAAGACAGCCGGACAAAATATATTCGTTACCAAAATTAACGTTTAATTTTTTGTATGCACTACCACCCCATCCCTTTTTGTTATATAATATGTGTATGATCAATATATTAGTACATTATTAGGCACACTACCAGCATTGGGGAGGGGAGGGAAAATATAAGTAATCTACGTCTTTAATTAATTAGCGACACCACTAATTAATTTGCAAATTGGCCTTTCTAAATATCCTGATTTGAGATCTACAATCGCAACGTATTCAATAAAGTTTACAAGAGCCGTAAGTTTAAGAGTGACCATGTTAGGTCGGGGATTAGCAGCACTAAACGCCCCTTTTGTTTTCTCATACAACATCAACGACAGCAACTAGCAAAAATATTCAGTCTAGGTCGGTCATTTTAATGCAGTCAATGCATGTTTGCTGACGCTGCATGTCAAGGGAGTCTAGCCAGGGTCACTTTTTGGGACGTTCGTACTTGGAAACTTCATAAAACAGGGTTCAACAGTGATGTTCTCTATATAAATACTATATTTTTTGCTGTATTTTTTACGTTTGTCCAATGTTTAATTCAAACACGACAGAACAAACACAACCCGGGTGCTACACAGGGAGACTAGACTTTACAAATAAGACAAGACTCCTGGCAAATTGTCACTGAAAGGTCAAATCTATTGTTAAACATCCCAGTCTGCGCAGATAACATCATAATATCTCCGCTTAGATATGGAATTACAATCTGGCATTTGACGCTGGGTACGACATAGGTGATAACTCGCCGAGTGGCAAACACCTCGGGACTATTTGTGTTTTGCTTGACATGGCACCGCAGTTTTCTCCCCTACTTCAGAAGGTGTTGTCCCCCCTACTTCAGTAGGTGTTGTCCCGGCCGGCGGGATGAATCGTAAAACAGATAAGTGCTACAATGGTGGAGATTTCATGGGCGATACGCTGACGCCGCTGTAGACACTGTAGATTTACGCGCATGCGCGGAGTTGGTGCTGTGCCAGGTGCCCTGCCCAAAGCAGACGACAAAAGATTTTTTGAGGTCAGCTGAGGTTTGCCTTCACGAAACAAAAGAATTTCGAAAACAAATTGTTGCGAACTTTTGTAAGAAACACCAGTAAATACATCACGTCTGAACTCAAACAGTTGACATTTATTGTTAATTGGAATGAAATTTATAACATAAAAAATTCAGACACAAAACGAGACCAATTTTGCTTAGATTTGAGTATATTGTTCTTAAAATACATTTTTAAGAAATCAATCATAAATTCTAGAACATAGTTGTTGATGAAAGTGCATGCTTGAAACATACTTTACATTCCAGTTTACTTATCTAACCGATTTATTTCTAACTGCAGGTATTTTACATGTAACATTAGTATTGACTAGAGAAGAATTTACAATGACTTAAGTAGCTAATTATGATGAGGCTGTGATGGGGTTGGGGTGAGGTTGGAGTGAGGTTGAAGTGGCGTTAGGTTAAGGTTGTGGTGAGGTTGGAGTGGGGTTGGGGTAAGGTTGGGGTGAGGTTGGGGTGGGTTGGGGTGATGTTGAAGTGGCGTTAGGTTAAGGTTGCGGTGAGGTTGGAGTGGGGTTTGGGTAAGGTTGGGGTGAGGTTGTGTTGAGGTTGGAGTGAGGTTGAAGTGGCGTTAGGTTAAGGTTGCGGTGAGGTTGGAGTGGGGTTGAAGTGGCGTTAGGTTAAGGTGCGGTGAGGTTGGAGTGGGGTTGGGGTGGGTTGGGGTGAGGTTGGGGTGGGTTGGGGTGGGTTGGGGTTATGTTGAAGTGGCGTTAGGTTAAGGTTGCGGTGAGGTTGGAGTGGGGTTGGAGTAAGGTTGGGGTGAGGTTTGGGTAAGGTTGGGGTGGGTTGGGGTGGGTTGGGGTTATGTTGAAGTGGCGTTAGGTTAAGGTTGTGGTGAGGTTGGAGTGAGGTTGAAGTGGCGTTAGGTTAAGGTTGTGGTGAGGTTGGAGTGGGGTTGGGGTAAGGTTGGGGTGGATTTGGGGTGAGGTTGAGGTAGGGTTGAGACCTTTGTTCAAAATATAGGCTCCAGAAATATTTCAGATTTTTATGAAGACAAATAAAAGCATGAAGAAACAAAACCCAGATGTAAGCGATACAACCCTGCCATCTCTTCACACACTTAAAAACTTGGACCTCACTAGTGCACCGGGATATTTAAACCGGGGTGAGATTAAAAAGCAGCACCGTCGCATGGATGAATTTAACTTCATGTAATACTGTAATACTCCGGTGGCAATTTAATAGCTAGAAATTCCCCACTTCACCCAAAATGAACGTCTGAAATATTTTCCAGATTAAAAATGGGTGAAATTCTTTTCTGAATGTGTCGTTCCTCACGTTGGTTGGGGAGTTTGGAGTAATAAAAGAATGTGTTATGTTGTAAGCTAAATCCCCGGATGTATTTTGTCTAAGTTTAGTATAAGTCCCCGGCTGAAAACATCTTAATCCACCAGTTACCCAGTAAGGGCGAGCTTGCAATGTTTCGTCGTTACGTTCGGTAACTCTCGGTGACACGATATCTCACTTGGCGAGTTGCGCCGCTTGAAATTTGAGGACACGGGACTATCTGGCCGGCAGGACTAAATATACGGCGTGAATTGTTCTCGTACGAATAGTTAAACCAGTCCACTTTACGGCCGTATCACTTCCAATTGCACTTTTAGAAATATTTTTTAAACTACGATGCGTCGTTTTTTTAAAAATTATTTTCAGTATACATTTTGTTCCTGAGATTCCCCCTTTAAATACAAGAGGTAAGCTCCGGAACAAAATTAAAAAAAAATACTTGACAGGGAACAACTATTTCTCTATAGCTATATTTTAAAGGAACATCAACATAAATATGTGTTTCATTTTTTAAAAATTGGTGGCGGAATTTTGGTAACTATGACAACGGCGGCCATGGTGAAAAATTGCATGATTTCCAAATTTCATAAAGTAACAAACTTTAAGCCTAATGAAGTATTAATTCATAATATTATAACATCGATTGAGAAACTCAGCTCTAAATTTTAAGAGTGTATCTTCAAACTAATTTATTAAACAATTTCAAAACAGCAAAATTCGGAGTGTTAAATTAATAAAAGTTAGTGTTTTAATTGGAGTTTTGATAAGTCATCCACAGAAAATACCGTTGCGTCTGAGAGATTTTTAGCAGAGCCTGATGATGAAATTAAAATGATTAATAATTAACGATTTATCTAGGTAAAAAAGACCAAACTATTGCGTGTATTAGTCAGGCAATGACCGAGTATCAAGCACACCCTTAAAGTACCAAGATCACCCATAATCAGCAAATTAACATCAATCAGACCCCAACAAGCATATCAAATATGTATCAAGTATACCACATGATTTTCAAACACACCCCACAAGTACACCACACGACTTTCAAACACACCCCACAAGTACCCACACGACTGTCACACACACCTCACAAGTACCCACACGACTTTCACACCCCCCCACAAGTACACCACACGACTTTCACACCACTCAAGCACCCACACGACTTTCACACACACCCCACAAGTACCCACACGACTTTCAAACACACCCCACAAGTACCGAAACGACTTTCAAACACACCCCACAAGTACCGAAACGACTTTCAAACACACCCCACAAGTAACGAAACGACTTTCAAACACACCCCACAAGTAACGAAACGACTTTCACATACACACACCACAAGTACCCACGCGACTTTCACACACACCCCATAAGTACCCACACGACTTTCACACATACCCCACAAGTACCCACACGACTTTCACACACACCCCATAAGTACCCACACGACTTTCACACATACCCCACAAGTACCCACACGACTTTCACACACACCCCACAAGTATCCACGCGACTTTCAAAACACACGTACCCAAACAAACCTAGCATGCACACAACACTGTCACATGACCTGTATCACGTGACCGCGAGCACTGACAGCGGGCGCGAGCTAGAAGAAAAACCGTTAAAATTTTAACTACCCTCATGGCAGACTCTCTACATTATCAAACGTTAATGAGGGTTAGATATTCTCATGACCTAATTACCCCCCCCCTACCTTCTACAATAAATGTTTCCCCTTAACGAATCGCCTTAGCTAGTCGAATTTCAGGTTTTACTAAGTAGCTAAACATGTAGTGGGGGGGGGGGGGGGAATAAAATGACTGCAGTGTGTGGTGTTCGGTAAGTCTTTTGTCAACAGTTTGTTTAGCTGCCATATGCAAGTCATGACAAAAACACTGAACGCTATTCGCAGGTGGACTGGTGGTCTTCATAGTGTGGGTCATCTCCATGAAACCAGAGATGCTAGTTTGAGACTTGTCTGTATATAAAGCAGTATTTAGATAAGATTCCCACTAACCAGAACTGCTAGGCGGAGACGTATATATCTA